GATGATTGCGTCAGGATACAAATGTTTTTGCTATTCACCAAACGTTTTTGTCATTTGCAGACGGCTTCGTCCCATCGCATCATTCGATGCAGTGATATCCAGCTCACAAAACCATCTCAGGCATGTTCTAGCCATCAAGAGCTCCTAAAATCGCTGAAGGGTAGCATACTATAAAAATTGAAGCTCAAGAGCAACCTAACATAGGAGAAGACTCGCTTATTGATTGCGTCGGTGAAGTCATTTTGTTTCGATATGACGAACAATGACTCTAAGACATCGAGCAAACATCTGTCTGTCGACATATTTATGTTCTGTAATGACATGATGAACATTCCAAGATCCAGACAAAACGGTTCACCTCTTATATTCACCAAAACTATTGGCTGAATTGCACTCCATATGAATACGATACGACGACAACTAAGATGCAGGAAGATTTAGTCAAAAAGATTTGCATTTTATGTTCACCAAAGTTCTTGCTGAAGTGCAGTCCATACGAGAGGAATGCTCGACGACTACTAAGATGAAGAAAAACAAGGAGGATGTATCACGGGGAGGATTTTGCTTCCAAAGTTAGCTTTATCGTCATGTTCTGCGGTAAGGGCACGTCTCAGTGAGACGGCGTTCGGCAAAGTGCCTGACTCATTGGTCACGTTGATGGAATCACGAATTGTGTTGCTTTGGTCATGGAAACCAGTTGCAATCAGGATTAGTAGCACGAATACAAGACACGTCCTAGGTACAAGCTCCGGAGCATACGATGGCGGGGTCAGGTTGATGGCTTCATTTGTGCATTTTGCAAGTAATGCAAATTGTCGAATGAGAAGTGTAAGGAGGCAATTTGTGGAAAAAGCTGCGTTATTTTTCCAGATGATTGCGTCAGGATACAAATGTGTTTGCTATTCACCAAACGTTTTTGTCATTTGCAGACGGCTTCGTCCCATCGCATCATTCGATGCAGTGATATCCAGCTCACAAAACCATCTCAGGCATGTTCTAGCCATCAAGAGCTCCTAAATTCGCTGAAGGGTAGCATACTATAAAAATTGAAGCTCAAGAGCAACCTAACATAGGAGAAGACTCGCTTATTGATTGCGTCGGTGAAGTCATTTTGTTTCGATATGACGAACAATGACTCTAAGACATCGAGCAAACATCTGTCTGTCGACATATTTATGTTCTGTAATGACATGATGAACATTCCAAGATCCAGACAAAACGGTTCACCTCTTATATTCACCAAAACTATTGGCTGAATTGCACTCCATATGAATACGATACGACGACAACTAAGATGCAGGAAGATTTAGTCAAAAAGATTTGCATTTTATGTTCACCAAAGTTCTTGCTGAAGTGCAGTCCATACGAGAGGAATGCTCGACGACTACTAAGATGAAGAAAAACAAGGAGGATGTATCACGGGGAGGATTTTGCTTCCAAAGTTAGCTTTATCGTCATGTTCTGCGGTAAGGGCACGTCTCAGTGAGACGGCGTTCGGCAAAGTGCCTGACTCATTGGTCACGTTGATGGAATCACGAATTGTGTTGCTTTGGTCATGGAAACCAGTTGCAATCAGGATTAGTAGCACGAATACAAGACACGTCCTAGGTACAAGCTCCGGAGCATACGATGGCGGGGTCAGGTTGATGGCTTCATTTGTGCATTTTGCAAGTAATGCAAATTGTCGAATGAGAAGTGTAAGGAGGCAATTTGTGGAAAAAGCTGCGTTATTTTTCCAGATGATTGCGTCAGGATACAAATGTGTTTGCTATTCACCAAACGTTTTTGTCATTTGCAGACGGCTTCGTCCCATCGCATCATTCGATGCAGTGATATCCAGCTCACAAAACCATCTCAGGCATGTTCTAGCCATCAAGAGCTCCTAAAATCGCTGAAGGGTAGCATACTATAAAAATTGAAGCTCAAGAGCAACCTAACATAGGAGAAGACTCGCTTATTGATTGCGTCGGTGAAGTCATTTTGTTTCGATATGACGAACAATGACTCTAAGACATCGAGCAAACATCTGTCTGTCGACATATTTATGTTCTGTAATGACATGATGAACATTCCAAGATCCAGACAAAACGGTTCACCTCTTATATTCACCAAAACTATTGGCTGAATTGCACTCCATATGAATACGATACGACGACAACTAAGATGCAGGAAGATTTAGTCAAAAAGATTTGCATTTTATGTTCACCAAAGTTCTTGCTGAAGTGCAGTCCATACGAGAGGAATGCTCGACGACTACTAAGATGAAGAAAAACAAGGAGGATGTATCACGGGGAGGATTTTGCTTCCAAAGTTAGCTTTATCGTCATGTTCTGCGGTAAGGGCACGTCTCAGTGAGACGGCGTTCGGCAAAGTGCCTGACTCATTGGTCACGTTGATGGAATCACGAATTGTGTTGCTTTGGTCATGGAAACCAGTTGCAATCAGGATTAGTAGCACGAATACAAGACACGTCCTAGGTACAAGCTCCGGAGCATACGATGGCGGGGTCAGGTTGATGGCTTCATTTGTGCATTTTGCAAGTAATGCAAATTGTCGAATGAGAAGTGTAAGGAGGCAATTTGTGGAAAAAGCTGCGTTATTTTTCCAGATGATTGCGTCAGGATACAAATGTGTTTGCTATTCACCAAACGTTTTTGTCATTTGCAGACGGCTTCGTCCCATCGCATCATTCGATGCAGTGATATCCAGCTCACAAAACCATCTCAGGCATGTTCTAGCCATCAAGAGCTCCTAAAATCGCTGAAGGGTAGCATACTATAAAAATTGAAGCTCAAGAGCAACCTAACATAGGAGAAGACTCGCTTATTGATTGCGTCGGTGAAGTCATTTTGTTTCGATATGACGAACAATGACTCTAAGACATCGAGCAAACATCTGTCCGTCGACATATTTATGTTCTGTAATGACATGATGAACATTCCAAGATCCAGACAAAACGGTTCACCTCTTATATTCACCAAAACTATTGGCTGAATTGCACTCCATATGAATACGATACGACGACAACTAAGATGCAGGAAGATTTAGTCAAAAAGATTTACATTTTATGTTCACCAAAGTTCTTGCTGAAGTGCAGTCCATACGAGAGGAATGCTCGACGACTACTAAGATGAAGAAAAACAAGAAGGATGTATCACGGGGAGGATTTTGCTTCCAAAGTTAGCTTTATCGTCATGTTCTGCGGTAAGGGCACGTCTCAGTGAGACGGCGTTCGGCAAAGTGCCTGACTCATTGGTCACGTTGATGGAATCACGAATTGTGTTGCTTTGGTCATGGAAACCAGCTGCAATCAGGGATTAGTAGCACGAATACAAGACACGTCCTAGGTACAAGCTCCGGAGCATACGATGGCGGGGTCAGGTTGATGGCTTCATTTTTGCATTTTGCAAGTAATGCAAATTGTCGAATGAGAAGTGTAAGGAGGCAATTTGTGGAAAAAGTTGCATTATTTTTCCAGATGATTGCGTCAGGATACAAATGTTTGTGCTATTCACCAAACGTTTTCGTCATTCGCAGACGGCTTCGCCCAATCGCATCATTTGATGCAGTGATATCCATCTCACAAAACCATCTCAGGCATGTTCTAGCCATCAAGAGCTTCTAAGTTCGCTGAAGGGTAGCATATTATAAAAATTGAAGCTCAAGAGTAACCTAACATAGGAGAAGACTCTCTTATTGATTGCGTCGGTGGAGTTTTTTTGTTTCGATATAAAGGACAATCATATAGACTCAAGAATTAGTGCATGGTTTACCGTGCTACTATTGCTAAGCTACAAGCCCTAATTGCAACGGAAAAAAAAGCTTTTTAATCTTTACTTCTTTCAGGTATTTAATCCTTCGCGTTAGTTAAGCACAACCATGAATCATGTCGATTATATAATTTTTTAAGTACCGAGACCAGGCCTAACAGCTACGGGTTTTTCTTTCATAGAACAATGCTTAAGCAACAAATGCTTACCACACAGGTTGCAAACTGATTCATTTATTTCAATCTCTACAACACTGAATCTATTTCTACGTACTTCATACTTACTGTTACTCTATTTAATTGGCTCTTTGGTCTTCCATAATATACATATGTCCGTAGTACTTAGCCAAGTGCTCGACGCAAACTCAATGTACCCAAGATAAAGCCACCAAAATTGGTGTGGCAAGTATGTACACCTTGTGTAACCCCGTTACACTCTCCCCCACCGAATCGTGGGACACTGCATACCCATGATTGTTCGGACTTACAGGAAAAGTCCTGAAGACTTTACTCTTGGCTCTACTTTATAAAAACATAGTGTCCCATAACTTGATCATTAAGCGCCTTTAGCATATACGAGTTTGAAATAGGTGTTTGGAACGCTTAGTGGCTGAATGAGTATGTTCTGAAAAACCCTTATTGGCTTGATGAGCAAGTGTTTCTCACCACACATGTTCATTCAGCTTATTTGCATTCCAAACACTTGTTTCTTGAATGGCTAGTCTGTGCGTCTAAATGTGCTCGTTAAGCACATTGTCTACGCTAATACTGATAATAGTATAAACTATATACTTTGCTGACAGTGTAGGCAGGTGCCTCATGATTCACGTGCACAGAGTAGAGAGCACACAATTGGTTGTCTGAAAACGGGAGCTGTATTTAATTTAATCAAAGCCTATTTTAACTAAGCATCTGTTTTGACCTACTCTAAATATGTTTAATACAAATATACACACTAGCTATTTGCTGGCCACTCATTGCTCGTGTTTACTTGATTGGACAGTGTGTGACGGCAAATTAAACGGTCTATTTCTGCCAATGAAAAGATGCTTTTGAATATTGCTGAATATTCGCACTGTCATCTAATGATAGTGTCAATATCATGTAGCGAGCTCACCGTTCTAATGATTACTGAGAGAATTACAACAAGTATGTTGCTGAAACAATATTTATGTGTCTTGCAGTGAAATAGTGTGTACGTAGAGACTCTGTTCGAAAGCCCTTACGTTTCTTAACCTTGCTTCGCCTTCTTCTTGCTTATGACATCATTCGGCTGTACTTCTCTTGCAACAGAACTTGATGCTGTGCTGGTGGTACCAGCCGTAGGATGATAAAAACGAATCTCGCTCACCATTCGTTGTCGGATCTCCGTCACGTTCATCTTCTTCTCGTCAAATTCGAGTTGAATTGTTCCAGGAGCTACAATCTCCTCCTCCAGCGAGCGAATACTGGCCAAGTACTTGTGCGATAGCGCTTCGTCTAGGGTTGCACGCTTGCGTGGGTTCATTTTGAGCATCCACGTTAGCAGGTCAATCGCCTCGGGTTCGGCACCAGGATACATCTCGTGCAAGTTGCGCTTTGGTCGAGGCGGCAAACTACGCAAGTAAAACTGTACGCCCGGATCTGCAATTTCTGCAATATCTTCTTCCTCCATCGTTCCAAGCACGTCTAGAATCGTGTTCAGCTGGTCACGGCTATCCTGCGGCAAGGCTATTTGACCAGCACCAGGACTCAAAGGGAAGCATGAGACGCCCGGAAAAAGTGGCTCGCGCTGATAGTGTGACGGCACACTGCTTTTCTGCATACTCAAAAGCTCAGCAAATATGCATCCAATCTGAGTATATGCAACGTACAATCAACACTCACAGATTAGTACTTCTGCACCCAACATCGTTTACACGAAACAATTCGTGAGAATAACTTACCGACCACACATCGATAGCGGCTGAGTAATCGTGGTCACGAAATATAATTTCAGGTGCACGATACCAGCGCGTAACCACGTGCTCTGTGAGCTGACGCTGAATTCGACGTGCAGGAGTACGGGGGTGCACGCCAATACCTTGAAGTGTACTCTCGTCCGGAGTCAAACCGTCGCCTAAACGCTTCCGCTTGCGACCTGTCGTAGATGCTGATGATGATAAGCCACGGGCAAGGCCAAAGTCGCAAATCTTAATTGCTACAGGCGAAAGGTTCAATAACACATTGGCCGGCTTTAGGTCACGATGCACAATCTCCGCTGAATGCATGTACTTCAATGCCTTAAGCAGATCCAATAGCAACCACCGCAAATGCTCAGCTGTAAGGAACTGTGGCGAATGAAGTAGCTTCTCCAAGTCCGATGGTAAATACTCAAATACAACAAAAAGGTCCTGAAAACGGTCAATGTCAAGCGGTGCAATAATTTCTCGAATTTGCACAATGTTCGGGTGTCGGAGTTGCCGCACGATGCACAACTCGCGGAGAATACGCTTGGCATCAATCGGATCCGAAAACACATTCTGGATCTTTTTGATAGCCACAATCTCGCCCGTTGGTAAATGTTTGCACCGTACCACTTGTCCGTAACTTCCCTGTCCAAGCACACATTCAATCGAGTAGTTCGGCGCAATTTCACTCCATCCAGGTATCGTAGACGCGTTTGACGCAACTGCTGCAGACAGAGAGGCAGGAACAGCAACAGCACTTTGCGGCGCAATCTGCACAGGGGGCACCGTAGGATCTGCCACCGGAACTGGCATCGTCTCGACAGCTGTGCATCACAACAACACATAACGATCAGTTGGTCTTTCATCATCCCACCAACACAACTTCAGCCCAACGTACGCGTTCCTTGGTTTTGATCCAGCACTGCAGGTGTTTCTGCTATCGCATTTTTATTCACCATTGTAAATGGTAAATGAGTCAAATCGTGCGCTACCACAAGCATTCCTGCTCCAACCGGATTGCCCAGTAGTGGAGTACACGATCCCAATAACGTGCTTTTCGTCCGTTCTCTACTGATGAAATCCATCATAACACTAGTAACAGATGACCCTCTCACACAATGAATCAACGCATCAGACAGAACTTTGGCAGTAGAAGGAGGTACAAGGTATGGTACTTCCTTCAGTAAATTCCGTCCAGCAATTTCTTCCCTAGAATAGCCACAGAGTTTCACTGCACAATCATTCCATAAAATAACGCGCATGACTTCATCTACCACAAAGACTAAAGCTGGTGACGTATAGAGCGATTTACCCAAACTCGCCAAGCTCTCGGTATTACTACAGTATTGCTCCACATTTGTTACAAAATTCTGCACGGCTGGTAACGTTGTATCCTCATAATGCTCACCAATTGTCTGCAACATTATTTTACGTATGACACTATTACACTTAGCAGCAGGAAGAGCGTCAGGAAGAGCAGACACAGCGTCAGGCACAGTATCAGACACTGTAGACGTTGAGACAGTCGAGCGTCCACTATCTGGATCGACTTGTATTAATGGATTAAAATGTACAGAATGCGATTTATTGCCGTTCATTATCAAAGACACAAAAGTATAGAAAGAGCAAGAGGATTAAGGGGGGAAGAAAGAGAGAGAGAGAGAGGAAGAGTGAGTGACTTGGCGATGCTGTCAAGGAAGTCAAGCGCCGAGTGATAATGAGGTTTCTAGGTTTTATTTTGAATACGTGAATATAAAAGTGAGATGTCTTGAAATGATTGCATACTCTTGCTTGAACAGAACTGGATTGTCACAAACGGATAAAAGTCGCCGTGACTTTACAAAACAGACCCTTTTTTACCATGTTGAATTGTAATAATCTAGCAGGTTTAAAAGGTCGTTGCTTCACAAACTTAATTCAAGTACAGACCTTATTTCTTAAAACTCTGTCATACTTGATGCAAAAACTCGTCATAATGAATGCAATAATACTGTCATAGTAGATGCAATTCTAGCCAAACAAACAAGCAGAGACGGATAATGTCTTGGCTACTTTACGTCAACAATTTGGTTGTAAACTTCTTCTTCTTCTTCTTGTTAACATCGCTCAAAGATCTTGTAGAGATTAGTAAGACAGGCTACGGGTGTCATGAGCTGCGCATGATTGAGTTCATTTGGTGGACAGAATGTAGCAAGTTTTGTCGCTGGAAACAGCACGTGCTCCAATACCAAGGCCTCTCGTTCGATATTACCTGGGTAGCGTATCTCACTGTAATAACGTGCCAGTACTTGTGCTACACCATCAAAACAAGGCTCTTCTTCCTCCCAATTCACTCTTGTCGCCAAATGGAATACAAATTCCGGGAGGGAATGGATTGATGGCTCGTGGTCTGCTAGTAGCTGTGGCAATGTGCACAGCATACCTTGTAAATTAATGTTGAGCGAGAAATACTCAAACAGCATCGGACCGTTTGAAACTAGCAGCGTCTTGATCTCGTCTGCAAGCTGTTCTCGGGGACCGTCCTCTTCGTCATATCCATTCCGAGGATTCTTCAGTGCCTCAAGCACCAAGTCAAAGATTGCAAGTGGTGTCTGCAGAGTAATCGGCCTTGTCGCACCAAACTGCAGCAGGACCTGCTGGTAAAACACGTGAAAGGCGATTTTGTTGTGTCGTACGATGTACAGCTTTGTCCGATATTGCAACAGTGAGAACTGCTTGTCAACGATGCCCACAAAACTGTGCTCACGGAAGAGCTAGTGCATGATTGCATGGTCAGAACCATTACTGATATGGCACAAACGAAAAAAAGCTTACCCTTGCAAGCGCATTACTCTTCTTTTGTCGCACCAAGCTCAGCAAATTTTGGACGCTCGACAGCATTTGTGGGGTCTGAGTCGCCTCCAGACTCCCGCGGCGGTCATGCTCGTCCTCCGGTTCCGGTTCTGTCGAACATGTACGCTATGTTATACAAGAGTGCACATCATACGCAAACAATAACAACTCTGCACCTTGACTTAATTGTGCCTCTGACAGTTTTCTTTTCCTGAGCTTGAAGGACTTTGCCGCAACGGAATCACTAGTTTCGTTAAACTCGTCTCGCTTACCCGTTTTGTCGGGGCTCGTGCCGCAACCATCTTTTTGCGAGCAAGGCTGGGAGTGTTGAGATAGTTGGGTTTTCTGCGATTCGAGGAAGCAGTATTTGTCGATTGTGTTCGACCGATGATCAGTTCGCACTAAACGCTGTGGTGCCTGTCGCACCAAGAATCCCAACAAACACCAATTAAGAAGAGTGATAAACCCAAGATGTGTAGTGATCATATCCAGAATCTTACCAGTGCTGACTGGTATTGCTTGGAAGGTGGAGTCGGTTTTTGGCGGAGATCAATTTTGACTGAGTCGGTTGAGCAGTTAACTTCATCTCTACTTTCACTTTCTTGCACCCTCTTATTGCAATCTTCGTCACTTGACTCTGTTTGTTCTTTTGCTTCCTGTTCCATAGCACTTTCTCGTCTGCGTTGCTTTGTTGATACAATGTCGTTGTTTGCTGACGATGCTCCCAACATGGCCGTTATCGACCGAACGGAAAAGCTCCGACTTTCGTTGCTGCCTTTCAATTGCTTTTCAATTGCCTGACTTATCGAGTCAACGATATCTTCTTCGTGGAGGAAGTGAACCTGCCGTGCATAAATCATCAGGGTGAACAAAGTTTCTAAGTTCCATGCTCGGTGCAGAGCATAGCTGAGGAAATGCGCACCTCTCGTTTCGTCGGGTGAATGTTCACGTCAATGTTACGAGGTGGTAGTTCCATGCTCAAATATATAAACGGGTGTGTGTGCTTTGGCAAATACAGTGAGTAGACATACTCACAAGCACGTTTTAATGCTGGGCACTCGACCAGGCGATCGTTGATAAACAGAATGAAGTTGCTTTTTCGTAAGCTACGACATCAAACAATAACATGCATTAGCTAAATAAATCCAAACATGAGATATAACGTTGAGTGCCTCACGGTCATGGTCTTACTGGTAGCTGGCATTGCTGATGTATCCGTAGACTTGATGTTGTAAGTCCTTTAATCCTATATGTTTGGTAAGTTCAAACGCACTAAGTTCTTTTGCAATCTTGCTGCCATAAATTAAACGAATCACGTCCAGCTGAGAGGAGCTTTGCATCGTATTGACACCGCACGCAGAGTCACGATACTAGCGACACAATTGTTACAAGTATGAGATAAGATTTGAGCTACCAGTAGTACTTTGTAAATGCTCGCACCTTTTTGCATACAAACCCCACTCCTTTCGCTCCAAAGTGAATGGCATATTTTTGCACTACGTCCAAAATCCGCGTGTACTGCTCCGACGCATTCTTCAGCGCCTGTTTTCTCGTACTTAGATTGTAAAACAAATCCTCTACCTACCAATATACCAACTTATCCTTTACTTTCATTACTCATTCATGCAATTCATCATCCTCACTCACTAAAATTTGCGTGCCGTTTTTTCCTGCGCAAGGCTTGGGATCCTTCGATTCTCCTGGTTTCTTTGCCACCAACTTCCCGTCTCGATATGAAGCTCTATACAAGCAACAACCACAACAATACTGCCATCAGATTTCATTCTATAAGCACAAAGCATACAGTTCTTCCAGTATTGATACTTCTCCACGCACTTGTAGGCACATAGCTGGTCTGCTGTTTTAGATGTGATTGTAACATGAGCAACATGTGAAATACTGGCAAGTGCTTCACCTCGAAATCCAAAGCTTTTGATATCTTGTAGATCCTCAAATTTCTTGAGTTTACTGGTCGTAAATCGTTCACATACAATCTCCAAGTCTTGACACTGAATGCCTCGTCCATTGTCTTGAATCTGTAGCAGCTTGAGACCACCTTGACTTACTGTAACTACGACATTCGTTGCTCCTGCATCCAGTGAATTCTCCAATAATTCTTTCAATGCATTCACAGGACGATGTACCACTTCTCCAGCCGCAATACGGTTCACTACGTCCTGACTCAGTCGCTCAATATGTGCCATGTTCCAGTCGATTATGGAATACTTCGTACTTTATTATCATAAACGACCATGTGATTGGTTGAAAACAAGTCATAGAAAGGTTACACTAATCTCATGCATGTACCCCCTAACTGTACCCCTTCATCCAATTCCATCATACTCTAGTTGCAATGATAGCGTTCACCGTATACAAGTCGTCCAAGTATCTCTTTGATTGTGTGGGTGCTACGGATCTGACGCAATCCGAATCGTATATGACAGTCAATATAAACGCATTAAAAGCTCTTGGGTACGTTTTAATCGGAAAAATACTGCATAAAATAGACTTAATAAGAGGATTTATACGATACCTTTGAGACGGTTACACTGTAATCACTTGATTATGTTTTACGCACTGATGTATGTATGAACGTATGGATGATGCGTGTGCTGGATATATTCGTATGTATACCACCTATGCAGACTTCATGCAGTGGACGTATTCAAGAGAATGGATTCTGTGGAAGTGGAAAAGCTAATTGCATCCTGTCGAGAGCATGTACTGTAGTGTTGCCATGTTTGTTTTGTTTGTTTCTTTGTGAGGGTATCGGCAGGAGCTGAGGTTGCACATGCTTCTGGGTTATAGCCTCCACAGATTGTCGTCATGCCTGCAACACATGGTGACATTCAACCGTTTCGAAAGTTTACCAAGTACTTGAAAGCACGACAACGTGTGAGGAAGAAAATGAAGTGATGCGTCAGTTTCTAGCACGATTTCTTGACTCGTACCTGTGATGATGCTGGCATGATAGGCTGGTGTAGTTCTACTTGCGGACAGACGTCTTTTAGTGCTGATGCCGCTCGATAATGATGACTTGCGGATTCGCTGTGTGGTAATTAGTGCAAAGTCTTTTGCGAAGACTTCCACTGCGTTGTCGTCTCATGAGGCGAATATTCAAGTCGGTAAAGCAGTAGCTGAAACAGAGCTACAGGCTCAATTGTTAAATGCTATGCATCCACCCTCACTGACTGGACAAAGAAGCGATAAACGTCGGCGCGTTCGGATGCGATCTCACAATCGCGTACGCCTTCAGCAGGAAGAGGTCGCGGATACAACGCATCAAGACTCTTTATCTGTAAAGTACCGACACGTACAGGTACGATGTTTTCTCTTGTAACGATGGGGCCAAATACGTGGTTGTGACTCGTGCCGGAAGTATAGGCAGAAGTTGCAGCGCCGACATTTGCACCAAGTAAAGATTTGACTATGCTGTACAGCTTATCACGTCTTGAAAGGGCAACGCGAATTGCCCAACTTCGGTACGTCGATTGCCATCGTAGGTACTGTTGTTTGGTTGCGCTCACGCGTTGCTTTTTTCAAATGCCAGGCAAGAATATGAAGTTTTCCACAAACTCCACCACGAAGTATTGCAAGAATGGAGCAAATCCAATTCTGAGAGACAACTGAATAATAATCGACCACTATAGCATGACCTGGTTCATTCAATGTTACTCATGTTTGTAGCAAATTGGATGCGTCACTTCGTAGCTCTGAGTCGATTGAAACGAGCAATGGACGCACTACTCAAAACGCAATGCCTCCATCTCCTTCAGCTCCTTTGGCACTTTGGACGTAGTCACCTCTATTCCCGTCTCCGTGATCTGCGCAACAACAAAACACACAAAAAGGCGTAAGCTTCGAACATACACTACGAGATAAAGGCAACATTTGTTGACGTACCACGACATCGTCCTCAATCCGAATACCGATTCCACGGAACTCTTCCGGCAGGTCAAAATCATTTTTCGGCAAGTAAATGCCCGGCTCGATAGTAACCACCATGCCAGGTACCAACGGTGCATCGCGCGTTACATGCGGTGTATCGTGAATATCCATGCCCAAGTAGTGACCAACATGCGTCGGATTATACTTTTGAAACTCACGTATTGCAGAGCGCGATTGAGGCCCGCCCTTGACTTTCATGATACCCAACTCATGCATGTGCTTCATCATGAGATCCACAGAATAGTCATGTAATTTGTTTAGGCTAATAGGCTCTTTTGCCTCGACCATTTTTCTCAAATGCTCAATGCACTTCTTTTGGACATCCAGCACAAATTCGTACAAAATGATCTGTCCTCGTGACAATTCTCCACCTACAGGCCACGTGCGCGTAATATCGCTGGCGTATCCACCAGCAACCTCACACCCGGAATCAACTAGCACCAAATCGTGCTCACGGAGTAAATCACGTTTCGCCAAATAGTGAATGACCGCAGCATTTGATCCCGAGCCCACAACGTTCGGGAACGCGTTCCACAGCGCACCATTTTTCTTGATAGATCCTTCAAAAATAGAGCCAAGTGCAAGCTCCAGCATCCCAGGTCGTGTGGTTTTCATCATGTCAATAAATCCCTGCGCGCCAACGTCAGCCGCAAACCGCATACGGTTAAGTTCATTCGCAGACTTCACCGCACGGAGCTGTTCAACCAAAAAATCACCAGCAACGAATTTGCTATGAAAGTCCTGCGTAGCCCGCAGTATTGTCGGCGAGTACATTACTCCATCCGGCTTGAGTACAAATATCTTGTTTACTCCTGATAGCAGATTTTGCATGCCTAGAGCCAGGTCCATCAACTGAAAGACTTCATCTGCCAAGTACCGATCTTGTGCTCCATCCAAACCAATCCGAGCACCATCCCATTGCTCACTAGGTTAATATGACAGAACCAGCATCATTAGTCTCACATCATTCCCAGCAAACATACTCCTCTCCACAACACCCACCTGCGTGGATCCCGAGGACGTACAAAGAGCGCGAATGTGCATTTATCTTGACTCTTGACCAACAATGCATGGGCATCAGGCTCCTCTAGTCCAGTAAGATACATAAAGTTACTGTTCTGATGAAATTCCCATGGAATGTCATGTGTCATGTACTTGACTTCAGCCGCATGGACAATGAGCGCCGAGTTGTTGGGCATTGTAGCAAACAATTTCGTCCGACGATCTTGAAATTCTCTCGCTGGTATACCTATTATTTGTATACATTTGACAACAAAATGGTAAGCCATTTCCACGCACATTTTAGACGCTAGAACCCACGTGTGTTCTGACAATTAGTGGCACCAACCAGGTTGGAGACAGTCTGGTTCGACCTTAAACGGATTAAATAGCTCTTCATTGTTGAATGAAAAGCTTGCAGCAGCTGTTGATTTGGTCCTAGAGATGAATGCACGGATAGAAAGAGCTTGAGTCCGCACAAGGCGCTGCGTCATGTGCCGTAACATGCTGGACTAAAAGTATGTATCCATCTCATGTTGCTCCAGTGTCGTCCGTATTTTTTTCCTCGGGTCTCTTCGATAAAGTACGATTGTGTTTGACTGGCCATGCACACTTGGAAAACAAGAAGCTCACAGAGACAGTCAGGAATAACGTGAACGTATTGCCAAGATGCCACAGCATGAGCATATGGAAATGCATCGTAAGCGCCATGGCGTACGTATGGACGCTAGCGAGAAGAAGCGTAAGAAAGAGGCGCGTGAAGTGCATCGTCGCTCTCAATTTGCTCAAAAGGTCCACGGACTACGTGCCAAGTTGTACAATCAAAAGCGGTTTAAGGAGAAAGCTGCTATGAAAAAGACACTTGCATTGCACAATGAACGTACGAATAAACACGCTAATGATGAAGAGATTCCAGATGGTGCTGTCCCGTCCTATCTATTGGACCGCGAGGGCGTCTCACGCGCCAAAGTACTGAGCAATACTGTAAAGCAGAAACGAAAGGAAAAAGCAGGTAAATGGGACGTGCCAATTCCAAAGGTAAAGCCTATTGCCGATGACGAGATGTTTAAAGTACTACGCTCTGGTAAACGTCGTAATAAATCATGGAAACGCGTGATTACCAAGGCCACATTTGTGGGTGAGAACTTCACACGTAAACCACCAAAATACGAGCGCTTCATCCGCCCGAGTGCTATGCGCTTTAAGAAGGCTCACGTGACGCACCCGGAGCTAAAGACGACATTTCAGCTGGACATTCTTGCTGTTAAGAAGAATCCACAGAGTCCACTGTACACACAGCTTGGTGTCATGACCAAGGGTACTATCATTGAGGTGAATGTAAGTGAACTAGGGCTTGTAACTACGTCAGGAAAGGTTGTATGGGGTAAGTTTGCTCAGATTACGAACGTGCCGGAGAATGACGGCTGCATTAACGCCGTGCTGCTTGTCTAATTGCTACTTAATAGTATAGATTCTTTTATAATCTTGTTCTTGCATGAAGACTCATTCCATCGATTGGTCGGTCGGTCATCTTCATTTCTCTTTTATTTGCGTTACGCTTCCTACTTGTGGCTACTCGTACATGACGTTGAAATCAAAGCAACATTGATTGGTCGGTAGAACGTTGGATATAATCGTGCACGTACAAGTAAAGCTTCGCTGCTACCATAGACCGCGTGCGCGTGCGCGTGCGCATTCTACATGTTTACTTCTCGTACTTCTCAATTAAACCGACGTAGGCAAGCCCGCTGTCTGCACAAGCTGCAAGCAGTGCGTACTTGCCGCCCTCTTTCTGCAGTTTGTTGGATGCCGTATTCACTAATCGACTGCCAGTGGCACCAAACGGGTGTCCAAGTGCCAAAGAACCGCCCCACGTATTCAGCTTCTCCAGTGGCACACGTCCAACAGCTTGATCGATTCCAAATAGCTCCTTGCAAAACTTGTCTTCGGCCAGGGCATTCAGATTAGCCAGCACCTGTCCAGCAAACGCCTCGTGAATCTCAAAGTAGTCGATGTCACTCAGTTTCAACTTGTTCTTGGCCAAGATTTGTTGAATAGCGTACGCCGGGCCTAGCAACAAACTTTCAAACGGGTCGACACCTACAAACAGCCAGTCTTTCAACACAGACTTTGGCTGGTATCCAAGATCCAGAGCTTTTTCCTCCGACATAATCAGCGTCGCTGCAGCTCCGTCCGTCAAGAAGGACGAATTAGCTGCCGTGTGGGTACCATGAGGCTTAATAAACGCGGGTTTCAACGTTGAAATCTTTTCAAACGTCGAGTCCGAGTTGACTCCATTTTCTTCAGTACTTCCTTTGTACGGTATAATCTCTCCCTTGTATTTCCCTTCCACGTGCGCTCTGTAAGCTTTCTGATGAGCGTCAATCGTGTACTGATCCATCTCCTGTCTCGTGACGCCAAACCTAGTAGCCAGACGATCACTGGATGATCCCATAACCTCGCGAGTATGAAAGTTCTGGATTGCTGGAGCTACTGGAGCAAAATCCGAAAGTTTCAGTCCTCGTAGTAGTCTCAAGACATGTAATGGTCCTCTCTTCATAGCTTTTGGTGCATTAATCAATCGTTCTCGAATTGGTTTTGAAAATCGAATAGGAACATCGGAAAAGGTCTCAACACCTCCTGCTAGTACAATCTCTGCATGACCTGCAAGAATCTTTTCTGCACCCGTACAAATTGCTTGACTAGATGAAATACACGCCTGGGTAACTGTGTGGGCTGGTACGTGTTTGGGAATACCAGCACCTAGTGCTGCTTCGCGTGCGATATTCGACGTACCAACTTCTTGAATGACTGTACCAGCTACGACATAATCAATCGACTTGGCCTCAATGGCTGTCTTATTGATAAGACCTTTAAACGCATCCCGCATCATGTCATAGGCAATAACATCCTTATAAAGAGTACCAGATTTCGCAAACGGGAGACGAATTCCATCCACAACAACTACACGTTGCTTGGTTGTAGTAGATGACAAGAAACGCGACGTTTGACTGCGTGTTTGTATTAAAAGACCCAAACGAGTTGACCACATGATGTTGAACAATACGAACAAGAAGCAAATTCCAAAGTGAGATCTTCTTCAATGAGAAAGACATTGAATGCTTTTGATTGGTTAAAATGAATTCACGTGAATTGGAAAAGAAGATACCGACGTGATGACAGGTTGTATTTGTGAGAAGGATATTATCTAGATCTTTTTGTGTCAATCTTTTTAGTACAATTGGATAATTTAAACAACATGGCTACATTTATTTTATAGTGCTCCAAATGTATTTATTATTCATACAAGAGATTGTCAATGTGAATGAATTGGGTCATAATGGTGCTATTCTCTGCTGCTCATGAAGACGGAATGCTGCTTTGCCCAGCCAAAAGGCTGTATGCAACTCGTCATCGTGCTGAGCGTGATCCGGCACAATATCCTGGACAATCACAGGTGGTTGCGCATCAAACAGCCTTACTCTAGTTTGTAGTAAAGAGACCTACATTAAGCTACACTTGCAATTTCACGATAAACAATCCAATCATTCATCAAAGACAACATCATTATAGATAGGGCATCTGAGTATTTTCAGGAAGCTTTGCACAATAAATCTGCGTGGCCAATTACGATGCCGGTGCACAACCACCCGTGATTTTCCAGCACATTGTGGTCGAGTACATCGACAAAAGATTTACTAGCGTTGCCCACACAATGGCAAACGTCAGGTAGCTCACCGTGATCATACCCATAGTACGACTGGAGCCACCCGTGCGCTTTAGTTCCTGCGTCTCAGCCTTCTGACGAGGTAGCAGCGGCAAGAACGCCAATGACAATAATTTCATGCAATAGCAAATCCAGATTGTGATAGTCACATCGCGACGCACCAAGGTTGTGTCGGCCTGGATATCATGAAGCCAAACATGGAATTGAGCGTTCACCAGCTTTGCCATCGAGCGACCAAATGGCGTCGTAAGGTTTGTTGTGGCAGTGAGCAGACCATACAACGCACCTTCGTGCCCGGGTTCAGCCAGCTCTACGACCACATAGGTGGCAATCATAAACCGAACACCATCTGGCAGATACTCAATCATCGGTACACCGAGCCAGAACCATTGGTTTCGCACAACATCCCACACAGTTAGCATCGTCATTAGTGCATCAATGGAGAGAGCCCCCCAACATTGTAACGACAATGATCGTCCGCCAGTTCCAATCTAGACCATACTTGCCTGTCAATGCCAGGGTAAGGGCATAGAACAGTGTGCCCACAATGGTCATGAAACTATTGTTGAAAGGTGTGGCGTGGACCCAGTACAGCTTTATAGTACTGGCAGACACGATATTGAAGCTGTTGAAGACACCTGAAAAAAACTTGTACGCCACGATTTGATAAATAGCACGTTTCTGAAGCATGATCCAAAATGATGACATGTACCCGCGGAATGTCACTTTATTCACGACACGATCTTCGCTCAGCAGAAGCCACGATACGAAGATTAGGGGTACACAGACGATACCAGTGATAAGCATTAGCTGCTGGAACGAGAGTGAGAAGCTGAACGATCCGGCATACTCCTTTCCATTCATGAAGAAAGCGATAACAGCGGCACCTACAGCAGTGAACGAAGTTTTGACAGCATAGACGGCAGTCTGAACTCGCCCGCGCTGTTCCATAGGTTCACGCTGGGCGTACTCGACAACCATAGCATCAGCAGCTACTTCACAGACCAAATAGCCGAAGGATGCTAGCATCATGGGCACCACGTACTTGCCTCCCGAGTTTTGAGCGTTTACGTTAATACTGTCAATCATGTCTTCGGTCCAATCTTTCTGATCAATAGTGTGCATTGCAGAATCTCCATAATATGGATCAGGGACGGACATTGCAGCCATAACAAAAAGAATTGTGACACTAAATACCCAGCCTAGAACTATGTATGGACGACGACGGTAGCCCATAATTGGAAAGCAGTCACTAATCACACCAAAAAACATCTTGTAACACCATGGAATCTGCACGAGCACAGTAGCAGAAACGACGGTAGTACCCTCTGCATTCAAATACCCCTGGAGCACGGGATAGATTGCACCCGGGATGATACCTGCAAGAAATCCAACACCTGCATACTGAGCCAATAGTCCAATACACTCATTCGACAATAACGTCAAAGGTTTTCCCTCACGCAGTGCTCCATTTTCCATATCTGAGACGGATGACTTTGCCGGCGTGCTGTAGCTTGGATACAACAGATCCCTTGAGTCACGAGGTATACTAGAGATGAAGCTTAGATGGTCCATCCAGGTCGGGTCTTTACTGATTTCAGTCATCTTTAGATTTTATTAATGTCAGGATGAACCGTGTCGTTTACAGCTGGACAATTCAATACTGAATCAACTAATCAATGGCTGGTTTCGTTGTGGACTTGCTAAGCAAATCCGACGACGAAATAGGTCTTTTGTCTAATCAACAACATCATCTTGTGAGGAGGAGCACTAGAGATTAAGACAGCATTTATTATGATACAATTCAGTCTCCTCTGGCCTGCTGGCTACATAGGCGTGCGCTGAACAGACACAGTACATACTTACGATACACGGAGCAGCTGTGTCAGCCACTGGCTTTAAAACATGTATCTCCATCTATGATTTGGCTTAGGATTGTTGTTGGTAAGAAAGTGGGTCTGTTAACAGCTGAATGATTGTTGATTGTATCTATGCAGATGTGGCATGTTCTGTAGTCACGGCTTTGTACCTTATGGTCGGCTATGCACAAGTTATATCGTATGCAGAAACAGTACGTCATGATTTGTATCTTCTTTGTCTGAATACCTGATCGGTGACGACGTCATGAATGTAAAGACTAGTAGAAGATGCAGTCAACAATCATGTAAAGAGTATTAGTGTAGCTGTCAAATATGATCGTTTTGTGAAATGAGTATTTGATTTATTATCTGAACAAGTAATTCATGCCGGTAGCTAGACGTTCAGTAAGGAGTACAGGCTGAACAAACATTCACGCACCATCAGTCTGATACATGTAACTGCCCATCGTGTTTTGGTATCTTATCAAATAGATGGGTGGCTGACAATGAATTCACTGGACACGAAGGCGATGTGGATATTGACATGACGGGTTATGTCTCGACAAGACGGGGGGTCGGTCATTACGGTCGTCTTTTATGTGAATTGTTTGTGGCTTTCACGTGATGGGACTCGATCCAAAAAGTACGATATGCTACGAAGACCATGAGGACTTCGTTTATCAAGTGATTCGAACAAAAATACTCACTTTGGAATCTAATCTGGTCAGTATGGGTGTGCACGAAGAAAACCATACTCTCTTAACCGATGATACTAACGCAGGGATTGACATAGGACAATATGGTACGCATCCCCATCCATCCACGTCCCAGCTTGACGACAAGAATTTACAAGATGGTGCTTTAAGAAAAGGAGTACCGCCAAAATTACTGTCCCCTGAAATCTTGGCCTTGTTAATGCAATACGCTGGTATCGGGTTTGTTAATGGAGCGCTACCAGCTGTCATCTATCCTATGCTGCAAGGGTATCTCAACGCTGAAGGAACCATAATCGTATCCGCTACCCTGTTAGTACAGCTGCCGTGGTCCTATAAAGTGTTCTTGGGGGTGCTGAGCGATTGCTTTCCAGTTGGAGGGTTTCGTCGACGACCGTACATGCTGATCGGATGGTTGCTCTGTTGCTGCATGCTCTTCATCATGGCGGGTTTCCCTGAAACAGCACCGTACTACGGCGACCCGAGCATGCACTTTTCTAGCCCTGACGAATGGACAGAGACACAGCGCAAGAGTATTAATGCCGACGCACCTAGTGCGGCGGGCAAGTACGTGATTCCAATGATGATGGTCGCCTTTGGATGTTTGCTAGTAGAGGTTCCCGCTGACGCTGTCACTATTGAGTACTCACAACGCGAGCCAACAAACACGCGCGGTCATCTGCAGTCGTGGATACATAGTCTCCGCATGGGGTTCAACGCTTTGGGAGCTCTCGTAGTTGCAGTCGCATTTAACAGTGCCGAGTATGGTGGCTCTTTCGACTTTTCGCTCACTTTTCCGGGATTGATGTTTTCCATGGGCTGTGTGTGCTTGCCTCTTGGACCTGCCGCTTGGTTTCTTGTCTATGAGAATAAAGTTGAGCCACCCAAGTTTCGCGTGTACATGGCTCAGTTTTGGAAAGTCTTACAAAAGCGAGCTGTGTACCAAGTTACTGCCTACAAATTCTTCTCGGGTGTCTTCAACAACTTTAACATTGTTTCTGCAAGTAATATCAAGTTGTTCTGGGTCCATGCCACACCATTCAATGCGAGTATAATGGCGATCGTTGGAGCCTTCACCTACGCTGGAACATTGGCTGTTATGGCGCAGCGTGGTCTACGCTGGAATTGGCATATTGCTATCGCTGCAAGTGTCATCTTCGGCGTTGTCACTGATTGTATGATGACAATGCTTGTCACATGGGACATTAATCGCAGCCAATGGTTTTGGCTTGGAGTTCCAGTCATTGGAGAAGTTCCACACGCTGCGCGCTTCATTATAAGCAACTACATCGTGGTAGAGCTCATTGAAGAGGGCACTGAAGGTGCACTGTACGGGTTGTTGACGACTACGAATCACATAGCCGCTCCCTTTGGCCGCACTACTGCCAAGATCATCAATGCACATTTTCATGTTTGGAAAGACGACATCGTGGCTGACACGTACGAGACGCGCCGAGATGTGACTATCACCATTTGGCTTTGCTACGGCATGAAATTAGTGTCACTGATCTTTTTACCATTGCTTCCGAACCAGAGGGGTACGACGCAAACTCTTCGTCGACAAGGTGGTGTGAGTAAGCGTATGGGTATGTGGATGGTGATGATCCTTATAATTGCATTAGTCTGGTTTACTATCGTGAACGTGCTTAGTATGAACCCCTCGACACAATGCTGGGCAGTTACAGGAGGTTGTGAGCCAGACAATTAATTGATTGAGCTGACTCACTGGATTTGCTTTAACTTCAGTTTTATATGATTTATGTCAATCAAAATGATTTGGATTTTCAATCAATCAAATATCGGGTCATGCTGCAGATTATCTCGACTATTCGAGCACGTCGACTACATGGCTCCGTGTCGTTGTTACAGGACTCTACCATTCTCAGCAATCATTTGAGCTCTTTCCAAGACAATGAGGCTAAACCTGTCGTTCGACTTGCAAAGCTAATGGCTCAAAAAAGTCTCTGTTCTCGTCGTGAAGCTGAAGCGTACATCCAAGCAGGAGATGTGCTGGTGAATGGCAAACGAGTGCAGGCTGAATGGATCAAAGTACCTATAGATAGCGACGTCTGTCTCGACTATCGAGCTCAGAGGCACCAGAACAAAAAGGTGACACTAGTATTGAACAAACCCTTGGGTTTTGTATCGTCGCAGCCTGAATCGAACAAGACGCCAGCCGTTCGACTGCTTACCTTTGAGAACGAGTGTCAAGTTTTAAGTCGTGTCAAGCCTCGACAGAATGTGGAACCTTTAAGTCTGCACAAAATGGCCGTTTGTGGCCGTCTAGACGTCAACTCGACGGGATTGCTGCTTTTCACTCAAGATGGAAAAATGGCTAAGAAATTGCTAGACCCCAAGGGTGGAATCGAAAAGGAATATCTTGTGCGTGTAGATCTTGATTTGGACCCGGTAACAGATGAGATTCTTAAGAAGCTAAAGGTGCTGCGGACAGGTGTGACGTCTGAGGAAGGTATCACGTACAGAGCCAAGTCGGTAGAAATACTGAATGCAAATCAGTTGCAAGTGATTCTTACGGAAGGAAAGAACCGACATATTCGCCGCATGTGTGAACAAGTTGGGCTGCGTGTGATGGCTCTCAAGCGTGTACGGATTGGAAATGTCAAGCTTGGATCATTGCCTATTGGACAATGGAGATACTTGCAACCGACTGATAAGATTTAGAATTGAGACACACAGTGGCAGTCTTTGCCAATGCTTACAAAAGCATGTGATTATCTTGCTAACGGTTGATTGCTGGTCTTGTCCCCAGCAGCTACTTGAACTTGTGCAGACAGGTAGCGTCGATCTACGTAACAGAGATACAATAGCCTTAATAGGACGGCTGCTAGGTACATATATTTCGCAGCGTAAGAGACAGCAGCACCTTTTGCTTCTTTGTGAAGCAAACTCCTTCCTTGGTCAAGAGCATACGCTTCTTCTGAACACAAGGCGAATCTTTGCCACCAGCACCTGTAGAGTATCATCACATCATTGTGTTAGTGTTGCGTCTACACACGGAAAAACTTTTCTCACTCACTTCGCACCTTGGAAACCGCCAATGTCTAGCGAAGCTGAAACAACGCGATGGCATGGAACCTCAGGCGCAAATGGATTCTTCTGTCATCAAGAGAATTTGCAACAGTTAGCTAGCTATATGCTGCCAATGTGTTACTAGACCAGTGGTTTTTGACGCACGCGTAAAGCTTGACCAACGCATCGTGGCCCTGAGTGAAGCGCCTTTGCTACGCCGCTATAGGTGCTTACCTTGCCGACCGGAATCTGCAAGATGATCATATATTTAGTAACCTCAAAGCGATAACAAGAGCTTTACTATCCTACCGTTAAAATGATCTCATACACTCGCGACTCTAGCTCACAAGTTTACATCGAGTGAGTCAACAAATTCTTGCTACAGACATGTCGTATGAAAAATTCTCACCAAACTCGGTAATTTGTTTGCCTCGCCACATAATGTACTTGGTAGACTTGCGTTTGCTCTTCGACGCGATGATAGCAGCATGTCTTTCGTTCGTCGTCTTTGCTGGAGTCTTATCTTGTGTCGTACTTCCAAGTGTCATTTTGCACCAGCAAGAATTTGATTGTGTGTAGCTACAAGATTCGTTCCATCTTGTAGCTGACGCCAAGTGATGAATGTCGTGCACATGATGGCGCCAAGATGGAAATGGTAGCATCAACACATCAACATGCGTACGACAGTCGATACAGACAACCTCGCAAGAAAATATAAGACAACTATTCCATTATCTCAAGTAGCAGAGATACTTAGAGCCAAGATGTGCTTATCCCTGCACCCTGTCAACCCAGAATACCATCCACTACCTCTCTAGCCTGTTCTTATCTACCTAGCCATTCTGTGCCAGATGACAGGAGCTTAAATCAATTTTACCGTCGCTCGATATGAATAGCAAGACTCACCCATTTCTTCTTAGACGGTCCCTTCTTCTGCTTCTTATCGTTATCCTCAGCAGTCTCCTCCGCCTCGGCTTCTGCAGCGGACACCACAGCACCAGCAGCGTACTCCTCTTCAATCGCATTATCCACACGGACCTTGACCATGTGCTCACCCAGAGTCTTAATGGGCGTCGGCAAGTCAATACGGGCTACACCCACGAGCAGGCCATACTGCTTTTCCAACATGTCCGAAATGTTCTGGGCATTCACTTCACTGTGTAGCTTAACGTCGGTCTTACTGGCCGTATGACGTTTAAACATAACCTCGATATTACTAAGTTGATAGATAATTGCCTCAAGCTCGTGCTCTTTCTCCAATTGCGTCTCGTCCACCGACTCCTTGTCCACTTTAAACTTGTGCAAATTGGCCTCCGTGGCATACACTGCCAGCTTTTCAGGGTACAGATAGTTACGAGCATAACCCGCTTTTACAGATACCTCTTCACCACGGTATCCAAGCTTAGCCACGTCCTCCTTTAGCACCATCTTCACACGATGTCTGTCATCCATCGAGTTCAGTTTAAAGTTAGTAAATATCATTGTTTATTCATGGAATCAGACTATTCTTTCAGCAATAATTAAGTTCAATTCATGATTACGTACGCAAAAGACCGAGTGAGCAATGGTTTAACGCCCTGTGGTCGCTGTAGCACCGACATCATCTTGTTCGTCAAGTGCATCAGCATATTTATTACGTACGAATGGCTTGATAGTTCTGACAGCCACAAAAGCCGAGTGCGATTATCAACCAATTGAAACGGTAGTTGCTCGCCAACTGTCAGATAATAGGATACATGTAACCTCGAGGGTACGTAGTTGTTTAGAAACCCATGCTCCGGACTACGACTGTACTTGACTAATTCTTACAGGTCATACTTTAATACAAGCTGCATACATATACACTTTTATCTAACTTACAATAATTTACAAAGGATATTATAATTGACAGTACATTAATCCACACCAACAACGACGTCCACTAGCATTCATTCGAGCGAGATCGCTACCTCTAAGGATGGTATGCAGTATTGCACATTCCTCTTCACGTGAGTGTGTCCAATATGCTAAAGTAGTACTAGATGATAAAGTTGTAGTACCGGAATCAAAGCCAGTGTCGAATGTGATGGTCGTGGACATTCAAAGCAATCGACTGGCTGTGGTAAATCCGAGCATGGAACTGGAGAGTTCGACTACTGCTAGACAAAAGAGCGTCTGGCTCTTGGTCTACTGCTGCATTGGCATCATGGTGTCGTTTACACTAAATGGTGTCGCATTGGAAAAGATCACAACGCATCGTGTCTTGGGTGAGGTGTCCATGACGTTTGTCTTTTGCGTCTTTAATACAGTGCTGGCGATTGGATTGAGTCGTGTTCACAAGGAGAAACCATCCACAATGCCACAGATTTTCTTGGCACTTGTTGGAGTGCTTGCTTTTACTTCTACTATTGCATCTATGATAGCATTGCGCTATGTAACATATATCACCCGAATTCTAGGCAAGTCGTGCAAATCCATTCCCGTCATGATCATGGGCGTTCTATTGGGAAAGAAGTACGCGTTTAAAAAGTATGTATCAGTCATTGTGCTATCCATTGGTGTAGCGTTATTCCTTCTGGAAACAGCACGTGACAAGCAGCATCACGCAGTGGAGCATAATGAGAGCAATGACATTTTACCAGAGCAGGCACGCACACCTAACGTGGTGCTAGGACTTTTACTCCTGGTGCTCTCTTTATTATTTGATGGTGCTACTGGTGCTCTCGAGGATAAATTCATGGAGACTTATCACATCGGTGCCTTTGACCTTATGTACTATGTCAACATCTACAAGGCTCTTTTCTCAGCAATTGGAATGGTGGTCAATGGTGAGGTACTTGTGTTCTTCCAATATGTAGTACCGTTGCTGCCAAATCTTTTGGTGCTCAGCCTGACAGGCGCTTTCGGCCAAGCCTTTGTTTTCTTTACGATCAGCAAGTTTGGTGCGCTAACCACGGCCATTATCGGCACTTGTCGCAAAGTGCTGAGCATCGTGCTTTCCATCTTCTTGTTTGGCCACGTGCTTTCTCTGGAGCAGGCAATAGGTCTTGGACTATCCTTCGCGGGTATTGGGCTTAACTGGGTGAATATCAGGATCTGCTTTGCCAAGCATTTGCTCGCACATACCGCTAGAACCGTCGATCCTCTTGATGAGTTGTCAAAGAACGGCTTGCTTGAAAGTGAAAGCAGTGATGATACTGTTGATTCAGAGCTAGTTGGGCAGGGAGTACCGAGCTTACTCCACGATGCAAGTGACGATGAGATATCACCGGAGACAGTTCGTAAACTGGAGCTAGTCAATATGTGGTACCGTCAAACAGCTTATGAATCCGAGACGTCATCGAGCGATGATGATGCATCTGATACTAACAACTTGGCTGCACTGGCAGTGTAATTGGAGCTAGCTGGACGATATGGCCACCCCCTATTTAATACGTACGTTTGCATTGTAAAACTTCGCAACGCGGCTGGTCCGATACAGTAGAATAAAGACACTTGACCTTGGCTTTAGTTATGGTATCAGTTATTTACTGCTGAAGTAAGCGCATATGTCATTAAGTAATAGGTCGTCCGTATCTCTTAAGTCACTATCTCCTGAACAACGTTTCACTGGTTGACAGCTGTTGATACTCACTCACTCGCCTTGACTTGGTCTAGTACTACTAAATGGAGGATGAAAAGCTCATTAGGCTTCATGATATACTCTCAAAGCTTCGTCCAGGTGGTAAAAAGGTATACGACAATACAAACCATACAATAGACTAAAAAGGATGTCACGTAGTACAGTAGATAGATGGTTAATAATGTCCATGGCATGGCTATTGTGGATTGTTGTTTTGTAGGGTGGTCTAGGTTTTGCGTCCATTGGCGAGCGGAAAGGAGCTAAGCGGTCCGATGGGCTGCCAAACAATGGACTGTACTCTATGTTTGTACGACAGGGTGAAGGTGCTTATCAGCATAAACACTGGGAAGAAAGTCAAGAGATAGATACAGAGATGACTGAGAGAAAAACGAGTAAGAAGAAGAAGAAAGCCAAGACTGTTGAAAGCAGCAGCGATGGTCAAGAGGAGACGGAAGCGGTCGTGAAGAAGGAGAAGAAACGTCTGAAGAAAAGTAAAAAGAAGGCAAAACGTGCTGTGAAAGAAGCTGCTGAGGTAGCAGAAGTTGAGGTGGAGAAAGTTTCTCAGAAGAAGAAGAAGAAGAAGCGGAAATTAGAACAGGTCGCGACGGATGTGGCTTTTTTCCACGACAAGGACGAGGAAGAGGTGGCTGCAGAGGAGCCCATGAAAAAGCAGAAGAAGCTGAGGAAGATTGCTGTAGAGACTGCAGCAGAGGAGGTAGTTGCTTGTAAGAAAATTCGGAAGGACAAACAGGAAAAGAAGCACAAGAAGAAGAAGAAGACCAAGCATTTGGAGTAGATTGAAAGGTGGGTGTATAGAGGCATAAGGACTCGAAACATTCATGAATGTTGTCGGTATTGAGATGGGAATGTTAATTCGTACGACTATCTACTGTAGCTCTAGTGTATGCTGGAATTTGACATCTTTATCGCATGCGGGTCGACTTTTGTCCCCGGCATGTGACGATTTCTAACAGCATACTAAGGTGCATCATGCGGTTCGCCAGTGTCTCGAGCTGCAGAAATCGGTTGGCGTGCAGGTTGATAACGGTCCAGCCTAAACGCTCTAGGTGCCGCATCTTGAGGTCCACAAAGCCGAAAGCTTTGGGGTCTCTGTCCTCATAGCCAGGCTCTAGTGCCGGATAACAATCCGGCGGATTGATCTCGATAGCAATCTTTTGCCTCGGTACGACCACATCGACATGGTAACCCGTCTCCAAAGCATACAACGTTTCATTAGCAATACCAATCTTGTCTAGCGCAGTACAGACGAGGTGGCGCAAACGAAATGACGAGCCTTTGCTCTTCTTCTGGTGGGCGCTGAACGCACGCTTGCACTCGTCTTCCAGCGCCGGCGACAACCTCAAATCCATGGATCGATCATTTAGCTCACAGTCCAGATGAATCTGGTACAACTTCGACATGAGTACTCGTTGTTTGAACGACGGCATATTTAGCTTGTTCAGCGCTCCAGAGTTGACCTCTTTAAACGTCCGTCGAAACAAATCTTCGTCAAAACTTTCAGCAAACAAGAAGGAGCGTGCAAGTGGAACAAGCACTTCAGCTGCTCGCTCTTTGCCCTCGACATTTGCTTTCTCATCATCAAGCTCAGCCATCACCATCTTACAAGTTGCCTGCAAAGAATCCAAGACCCATTCCTGCCTGCGACTTTCCCTTGGCAGTAAGTGGGTTACTGCTGCAACCACCATGCAGGCTTCGTGTGCACTGATTTTAGGTTGGTCAAATTGCATCATGTACACGGTTTGTGCAGCTATAGGTCTGAAGCAAGACAACGTCATTAGCTGTTACCTCTCCACAACGACATCTCGCATCAAGTTTACATACCGCAAAATAGTAGTTCGTTCCACACCAAGGCGCATCAGTGCAGTCGTGAGATTTGAAAGTGCTTGGCCTGTTTTGAAGGCGGCAATGCCAAAGTTTACCAGCTTTTCAGTCTCATCAATCAGTTTCCAAAATCTACAATTGGGTCATACAATAGTGAGCAAAATAGTAAGCCATGTTGGTGACCATTGCGGCAATTGACTGACTTACCGTTTTGTATCCAAGGCGTTAGGCTTGACTGACCAATTTGCGAACAAAGCGGGCGACGGAATCGCTAGCAGCTCATCTTCTGGCGCTTCAGACTGACTGGAGCTGTGAGTGTTGTTAACTGCCTGTTGATATATAAGGACATGATAGTCAGACGTCAGTACCAATCAAATATGCACATGCTTCGACATGACGGTTCTTCTCACCGACAAGTTTGCTCTAGTCGTCCTTGTCGCGACAAATCGACCTGCACGATCAATCGCTGTTCTGATATTGTATTGGTTCAAGTCAAAAATCTACAATAACGATCACAGCATTGTTAGTTTTCCTCCCTGATCTTCACCTCACGTTCGCCACTGTAATCTCACATTTTCGTCCACAATACGTAATAGTTCCTGCAAATCCTTGGCCATGAGAATTCGACGATGAAGCTTGGCATTTTCCGTCGAGTACTGTTGAATATTATCCACTCTTTGTATCTGCAATAAATCCTTGAGTGTTGGCTGTGTTTCTGCCATTAAAATTAACTCGGACCACATTGTAAAGCTCAACAAAGAGGACGGATATCCTGATAATGATAGCAATGGCGATTGATCTTCTGGCATTTGTATGGATACACAGGATGCACTAAATAAGATCTTCTTCAATGCAAAGATCTGTGCCAATGTACCAACTTGATAGTTACATTTGAGACAAAGCATCTTGTGTTTCTTCCACTTTGTATCATTCTCTTCCACTGATTCTTCTGGAAATAAATTCTTCAATGCTTCATCCGTTGAACTCGATACATGAAATCCATTTCTCCTATCACAGTCAGTCAGTCAGTCATTCAATTCCTTCTCTTTTCGACGATACATTAATATCATTATTACTACCATTTAAAAAAGACCAAGTCTTTTGTCGTACTTAACGTTGTATTACACTTGCCACAGACAAGTCGAGGCATTAAAGTCTTCGTTTTAGTTAAATCATCCATGGCAGTAGACTCGCTGGATGTTGGATACGTAGCACTCATGAATGATAAATGACGTTGTATTGGCATGGGATTGTAAACATCATGAGTCATGAAGTTGAGTGGTTTGTATGTATATTGTTGCCTAGATAGGCGTCTACGTAGTAAGACTCGTGCCTGCATCGTTGTTGTGTGGTGAATTGGTGGATGTTGCACCACGAAGAATTGTTGCCCGAATGGCTCACTTTTTTTTAAAGCAAGGGATTGAAAGTGGAAATGACTCTAAAATACGGTAGGAATCTAATTTAGGAAGTTACGGAAGGAACAACGTAGATAAACTCTTCGTGACTTAGTCCACAACTTCGAGAACAGCTATAGATAAGGAGACTAAGCCAATCCATACCACCTGTAGATACCATTGTCTTGGAAGTAGCACTTGTTATGGTAGTAGAAGTGGAGACCGATGAGTCCACCAGTGTAGTGTCAATTACAACGTACTCGTCCACCTTTAGGAAATAATTGATAGTCGGATACAACTGCATTTCAAATAAGCGGTCACTGCCACATCCAGCACAAGACGGAACCTTTAAGTCTTGTGGTGCCACTACTGGCCACAATGGTTCACCACCGTAATCGTAGCGAAGGCATTGTTGAGGACAACGACTGATACGTTTTTGAAAACGCAATAGATGCCGCTGCCCTGCTGGAGTTTTCTCATAAGATTCGCCTGTTGATGTTGCAGCACTAGCATGGTGGACTGCATCCTGCTTCTTTTTCAGATTTGTAATGACGTTGCGCAACTCTCGAATCTCGGTGGACTTTTCCTCTTCCTCTTGTTTCAAGTACTCCTCAAGCAGTCGATTTTCGTGTTCAAAGTCACGATCACCAGTAGAATCTTCGCACGGCTCGTCAATCACTTCAATCAGTAAAGCCGAAAAGGCGTTCCGGTCAATACTTGAAGCGCTCTCTTTTACATGATCGGTGTTGTTTGTTGGAGTAGTCAACTTGGTCGTCTTTGTTCGTATCTGCATTGCATCGTTGCGCTGTTGTAGAAGCACCTCAAAATCCAAAAGATCAACTGTTGGAGCTTGCGTGTTGCTGTCATCGTCACTCCAATTGCTACCGTCGCTGTCCAATTCCCATGCAAGCTTCACCTGCTCTGTCAATTTTTCAACCTCCTCCAAAGCAGCATCGTTCTTTGCAACCTCGACCTGATCGCGCAGCACTCTCCAGCTGCCTAAAGTTTCCATGCAAGACACTGAGTTGCATCCAAAGACGTAGAGCGTCCGGTCAGTCTCTACTGGAGCATATACCTGTGCAACCAGAAACAGACTCTTGCTGCAATTAGAGCACGTCAAGCTTGCAGCTTCCGACGGTGGCTTCAAGTACCAAGCCTAAGATAAAAAAAATAATACCAAAAACAATAATCGTACGTGCAATGTAAGACACCGTCCGTTTTACATCCAAATACAATGGAAATTGGCAAAGATTGTAGCTGCAATAACATACCGGTGTTCCTCCTGCCTTGGATACGTATGGTGAGTTATTATCAACGCTCTGACGCTCCTGAATAACGCCCAAGAGCACGACACGGTCCTCGTCCATTACTTGTGACAAGAACGTTACGTAACAGATGTTTAATCCAATTTGATTATCAAATACTACTCAGCGAAATCAAAAGCAGTGAAATGCTATCCACAATGCATTTGTTTTGACAGGTTATGAAATGATAAAGTAGTTTGTCCGCTAGTTTAATACTTTATCAGAATGTACAAAGGATGAAACATGACAGGGATCAAAGCTACGGTCACGCCTGCATTCAAAACTCAAGCAAGTACAGTAAGCACACGACCGACCACGAGGACAATGAATGAGAACAACGAGATCCCGTCTGAGTACCGCATCTCGGAGAAATGGGACAAGTGTCTGGAGAACTTTGCACTGTACTTTACCACTGGTCTCGTGGCTGGTGGTCTCACGTCTGTGGTTCTAGCACGTACGTGGCTTTGATGCCTTTCAAAGTGTACGACAGACAAGTCTGACGTTTGTATGATTGATTCTGTAGGTTCTGGTGCTGGTCGTGGACTGATTACGGGTCTAGGTGCTGGAATGGGCGCCGGTTCGAGCTGGACGACTTGTCAAATGGTATTTGCAGGTGATGCCAATGCACAGGCAGCTCTGAAAAAGACGAAAAAGGCAGTAAACGACTTCAAGGAGAAGATCAAGGGCTCTGATGACTAAATGTTGTTTTCTTCCGCTGGAGAAGAAAGAGGTCGAGATCAATGGTGACTGTTACAGAACCCATTTGAACTGGAACAGGACAAACCCATTGTCGAATAATGGAGACCAAAAGACATGGAATATAATACTACAGGGTGGTCTTCAGAATACCTCGGTGCTGCTTTTGTCATGCTCTAGAACTTGCGACTTGCACAGCTATAATGGTGCAACATGAAGGGGCAGATTTCATAATTTCTGCTCAAATATAAACTCATACTCGCCAGCACCGACCTCTACTTTAATAGGTTTGCTAAGCATAAGCTCATATGGTTCACAGGCCACCAGATCTACATCGTTAATACGAGTGCCATTCGTACTGTCCAAGTCAATGAAGAATATCTTGCCTGTCGGTTCCATTTTTATCTAGAAGTGGAGATTTGTCAGTTTCTTGTATCAATAGCATCAAAAGCACATGGCAGTACCTCTCCATGCGATGTTGAAAGCTCCGAGTCCTTTGACAAACTCAAGCCGCGAGGTGGGCGGAATTTTCGACCGGTAGAACGGCCGATAAAGCACGACGAATGCCGTTTCTGCATAAAGTCAAACAAGTCATTGTTAGCTTGCTGTCTTCGTGTAGCATATTGCAATACAGATAAAAGCTTGATTGCGACTTACCACGTCAATATCCATAGAGAACCTCTTTCCACAATACAATCCAGTAATACATCGAACCGCAATTGCAAATGCCCTCGGAATGACATTGTCACCTTTTTCAATCTTCTCTTTTTCTGCTTCCAGTGCATCCAATAGCACTTTTTTGCCTTTCTCTAGCTCTTGTCGTAGCTCATCTGCTTGTAACTTAGCTTGTTCCACCAGTTTCTACACACAAAAGCCTATAATGAGTGCCGCAGAACTACACAGCACCAAACTCTCAATATAAAGTAGCCACGGCCATACTTTAGATAATGCCTGACAATCTCTCAGCAAGAAACTTTGTACATCAATCTTATTCAGCTCTTCAACAACTTCTTCACTATCATGTGGACTCGTTCCAGACGTTTTTGCTAGTATTACAACACAATAGTACAATAGCACAATAATACAATAGCACAATAATGCAATAACACAATAATACAAAAACATTCGGTCAAAACTTGAAACTTCCACATGGTTTCAACAGTGCAGATATCGACTTAATACGCTACAATGCTCAGAATATGAGATCATTAGATTCTTGCTAGCAGTATACACACCTTGTTTTGTCACATGTGAGGTCTCTTGCTCCTTCTTTGCATCGTTTACGGACTCTCTTTGCTTCCGCTTCATTGATCCCACTAAGTTGAAATGTGATCGTGTACGATATGTTTGTTTTTGTATGGTCAATTTTAGCCAATCAAAACGTGAGATCACGTTAGAAACATGTTATAACTGTTACTTTATGGCCATGTCAGATACGCGACAGAAGAGTGTGGTTGTAAGCAAACCTATTTTGTATGGATCTGTGGCAACGTATCTAGGACGTAAGGCAGAGGAGACAAAGACGCATCGTTGGTCAATCTACTTGCGTGGTGTGGATAATGAAGATCTGTCGTATATGATTAGTAAAGTTGTTATTAGTCTCCATGTGAGCTTTGCCAACCCTGTTCGAGGTGCGTTTATCTATTTACCTATCAGTTAGACTCTAAAATTCTAACGTTAAGTTGTTTATAAAGTGCTAACAGAACCACCATATGAGGTTACGGAACTTGGATGGGGTGAGTTTGAGACACGGATCCAGATTTACTTCCATGATCCAAATGAGCGGCCAATTAGCATCATCCACTTGCTAGTGTTGTACCCACCAAATAGCCAGCCTGCGAGCACAAAGAAGGTGACGAGTGTTGATCACTTTCTTTGCTGTTAAGCTTGTAACGTTGTAACGTCTGTTGATATGATATAAGCAGCCCGTGGTGAGCGAATTCTACGATGAGCTTGTGTTTAATGAGCCGACGGAATTCTTTTATAAGAAACTCATGGCTGGACCGGACCGTCAATCTCCGCCACTGACTATGCAAGTTCATCTGCCTACGTATTCTGACGTAGAAGTACTCAAGACTTTGGCTCGTGCTGAGACCTTTGTGAAGAAGGAAATCCAGGACACGAAAACGCTTTTGCTGTGTGCTGACATGGAGGTCAAGGAGCTCAAGGAACGCATTGCTGAGCATACAAAGAAAAAGAAGCAGGCTGAGAAGCTAGCTGCCGTAGCAGCACACCCGATCCCCATGCCTTAAGCAGACTAAAGGATGTGGAACAAATTCCACAGCTATTTAAATTGATCAAAGGCCGTATCTTGGTGTTGCTAATGTACATTGATAAAGAAGAAATTGGATACCATCCAAGTAGACTTATAAACTACAATTGTGACAACGCATGATTGTTTTGACGCACATATACAAGGTATGCCAACCATGTGACCTCTGAACATCGAATGCGTATGGCTAGAGAGTGCCTTAACTTCCAACTCTAATGTCTCAAAAAGACAGTCAAACTGGACAATCTTCAAGCAAGAGTATCAAGATAAATTGCAGCGGTGTATCAATCGAGATGGTTGAAGATAGATCCAAATACCTGAGGACCATGAAAGAGCTGAAGATTGTGGTGAATGCCTAGTTGATATGGTTCGTTCTTTGTTTAGCAATACAAGAACACCATTCCTGCTGAAGTCTGCACCATTGTATCCCGATAATGAAATCCTCTGAACCTCGGAGATGGTTCCGTCGTGTTGTAAATGTCTTTCAACGATCTTGTTACAAAAATGGACACTCTGTCTGCCAAATGGCTGCGTATCTAAACCACGATAATCCAGAGTCCAAAACCCTTGCATTGGGTAAACTTGTTCAGTCTTGTATCAGGCTTCTGTCTGATGCTCATCGTGTCATTAAATTACAAGCCCAGGAATTTTCCAGCATCGATGTTGTTGTTAGATTCAACAAAGGCATCGGCAATTACCTCGTTGGCAGAACTTAGAAAGCAGGCAGCCTCAATATTTACCAACGTCTCTCAGGCCTTTTCATCAAGGATAATCAGGTTAAACTTGTTACCATCTTGGTCCAAGTCTAGCAGAGGACAGTACTCTGGATGCATCCTGCTGACTCTCCTAACTCAACCATAGCCTCTCACATACTTCATCGACTCATGTAAGAAGAGAACAGCATGATATCTGAGCAGAATCGTCATCTTTTGCAGCCTTGGAAGTCAGAAGCACGGACTTCTACATCACCCTCGTCGGCCCTCGTTAATCATAGTTCAAGCTTGTTCACCTCGCTCATGTCTTTCGTGCCGTCAACTTGTGCACAAAAAGACGGCTTTCCTAGCGCAAATTTCCATCGACAAATTTTGGTCATGTAAGGACCAAACGAACAGCGGCTCACAAGTATACAAAGCTAGAGATGAGTGAGAGTTTGAAGCATACAAACAAATCCTACGACAATAGATAGACACCACCTACTATCGATGCCACATGAAACAAGCTCGATCTCACGATCTGACGATTGATGAGAAAGATAACAATACTAGTCCAGGTCCTTTCCAAGGATCAGTTGAGCCGTAGAGAAAATCCAATCGCCAGCGAAAACGAAAACTGGTGCAAAGGAAGACGACGACTAGTATCATAGCGTGGTCATTCCCATCGACCATTCGCTTCACGATCTAATGGCACTAGCGCTTGATTTTTACGGCCATTAATTTCTCGAATGGACTCGTAGTCACTATCCGGCATTTACTCACATTGATCATGATGCATATATCGAATTGAACTGCAATGGCAAGAGTGATGTGCTTGAGGTGGCTAACGACTGACTATCCTTCTTGCTATTTCATTCAATCTACACACGTAGCGATGGATTTTGGTGGGGAAAAAAGACGTGGTTGAGAAGAAATGACTTTCACGATCACATCAATCGACTATCTATGGTGCGTTTTGTTGTTGGTATACAGTGCAAACCGCACAATATATCGGATGATGCAAAGAACCACGTACGCAAACGAAACAACTCTCGGTGTGATGATTATAAATATCTTGATTTGTTGACTCACGATTGATCATTTAGTGTGCTGTAGCTTAAGAAGCTGCTGCTGACAAGATCAATGCAACATCGATTGATGGTACTTCTAGATTGAGTTATGCTACGACAAGTAAGCTTCTTGTCAAGTACGACACTGTCAATACATACGTGAGCGATAGAATGTGAGTGTTGCAAATCAGCAGACTTTACTAAAAACAATGTCACTCCCCGCTGTATTTGGGGGGCGCTTTTCTTCTCTAAATTTTTAATGAATGTCCCACACCCTGAGCGTCACGCAAGTAATCACTAGTCAACGGGATTTTGTGTACATGGCACACACATGCGCGTCAAATGTGCTCTGGGTTGTGTGCCTTTTGCATATGTGTGTGGAAAGCAGTAACCTACCTATCCATCTCGTTCAAACAGTGAAATTAGATTGCTGTATCAAGGATGTATGCAATCAATATTCTGTCCATCAAGATCAGATGAACGGAAACTTTCAAAGCAAATATCGTAAACACCTGGATCAATAATGTAAACAAACAAACATATACGCACCAATAGCCTCTCGCCATCTTCAGTGTCATACACACATCCACATTTCTAGCTTTTTCTTGCAATTCATTTCTGTAGCTACACCATTTCAAAAACATCGTCTACTCGCACGGTACTGGTAGAAACATGGTCAAAGCAGCTGGGGCAGTCACAGTTTATGTTCAAGTCGCTTGCTACGAAGTGCTGTGGATGCCAAACCGTGACTCAGGATTTGCATGACACTGGCTCTCGAACATCAAACACATCATGTCAACTGTTAATAGATAATATGTCCCATACGTTTGGTTACCTTTCGAAAAAAGTGCATTAAAAATGACAGACATGTTTCTTCTATATAATAGTACCAATGTATCTTGTACACTCGAGATTCAGTATAATAACCAACAAACGGTTATTTTCAAGACTAATGTAACGTCTTGTCATGTGAAATATTTACGTATACATACATCCGTCAGCGAGAGAGATACGGACGGACCAAGGTTAAAGTGTAGGTCAAACCCGTGCCGTAAAAACAGAGGTTTTCGAGACCTCATTATTGAATGACCCTCTTTTTGTATACCTTTTCTGTATATCGTACTCTATATTTTCATAAATTGTAACACCTAATACTGTACCACCTACATCATGTACTGTGCTTATCACCGATGCTTTGTGGCCATCATACCGATAAAAGCACTTTCAACCTTATGTCACTTTTCATTTTCCAGTCTTCCAAGTACTCCTTCCTACCCCTTCTCCTCCTCCTTCCTTTGTCTCTCTCTCTTTACACAGTGACAATTATTATTATTCCATCATTGTCTTTTACTCTACAATGGCACGTTCATTTCTACCAGTATTGATCACTGCTTTAGCTGCCAACATGGCTAGCGCTCAAGTCGCCAATTCGGATATTTGCTCGAGTCCTGCATTTCAAGCGCTTTCGGGTATACGCCTTGGTAATAGTCCTATTTTTGTGCGCACATTGATACAAGGTGATGATGTTTGTATTGAGTATCAACTTGATGCATCAGTGGCAAGTGAAGCCACGTGGTTTGGTGTCGGTCCGTCGCGTGATGCTGTCATGGTGAGCAATCCAGCCTCAAGCGTCATGATGTTTTTCAAGGACACCGGCAGGCCCGTGTCCTATTTGCTCGGCGGTTACGTCAACAGCGACGTGACGGAGGAGAGTGACCAGTCTGCCTTTGTGGTAGGCTCGACCGATACCACCAGCATGAGCTTCAGCTTCCAGCGCACGTTGGCGGCCGCTACGGCGTCCGAGGTGGCCCTCTCGGACTCTGCTTCGACCACCTTTATTTGGGCCTTTGGCAATTCATGGCCCATTTCCACGCACAGAAGTGGCACTAACGGTGTTGCCACGTTTAACGTTGCAGCGGCGGCTAATCCGAATGCACAGGCTAGCACGACGATCAGCTCCGTTGCATCCACGTCTTGGTGCAGTGACAAGAACTGTCCGGGCATTGTTGGCGGCATTGCCTTTGCTGTTATGGCGGTTTGTGGACCTCTGGTCACTGTAGTGCTCAAGTCCTCGTCTGTCGGCAAGCTGCTGCTGCATCGCACTGTGGCCTCGCCACCGGTAAAGTCGACGACGAATGCGCCAATACCCAAGCCCCATACCATGTTCATGCAAACGCTGGCTGACCTCCATTTCGGTGAACTGCTTGTGATGCTTATCTTTATTGCTGCCGTCATCGTGCTGATCGCTCTACTGAGAGATGAGGACAAGCATATCGTGTCGGGCCAGGTGAGCGTGCTGGTCCTCATGTTTCTCATCCTGCCGGTAGCTCGTGTACCAGTATGGTCGATACTTTTTGGCACGTCGTTCGAGCGCATGATCAAGTTTCACCGCTGGCTTGGCCTCATCTTGAATATCGCGGTGATTGTTCACGTCATACAGACGAGTGAAATTGTTGACATATTGCTCGACGAGAAGTACGGTGAAGTGACTCCGCTTTATGGCTTTATTGCCTTCGTGTGTTTTGTTGCGATGACGTTTTTATCGATCGAGCCCATTCGTCGCATGTTCTTTGAAGTGTTCTACTTTGCACACCGTCTGCTGTCAATCGTTGGCTTTGTATTCACTATCCTACACGCCCCAAAGCTCATCGGTCTTGCGCTCTGTGTCCCGCTTGGACTTTACGCTCTTGGTCTGTTGTACCGATGGTACAGCGCTTTGACAGGCTCGTACAAGATCTCTGCATCTGTGCACTCAGCTTCAAACTCAACCACGCTTATTTTGGAACCCACCACAAAGACTGGCAGGATGGCTATGAACGTGAACCCTGGATCATACTTCATGGTGCGTATTCCGGCTATCTCGGCTATCCAGTGGCATCCGTTTTCCTCAATTGTGACGCCTGATGGGAAATCAATTGGTTTCTGTATCAAGGCAATGGGCAACCGGTCTTTTACGCGTAAGCTTCTGGAAAAGGCTAGTACGCAGTACGAACTAAAGGCAAACCTGTGTGGCCCTTTTGGCAAGATGTCGCTTAACTTGGAGCATTATGACGCAGTTGTCCTGGTGGCTGGGGGTGTCGGTATTACCCCGATGATAAATTTGATCAACCAGACACGATTGTTCCCCACAGCTAAGGCCAGCACCGATATGGACAAAGCTCCTAAGACGACGGACTGGTATGTGGTATGGTCGGTGCGCAAACCAGAGGATATTTTGATGATGGAGGAGTTTTTGCCGACTCACACGCAGCTCGAATTTGCAGCTCGCACTAGCATCCAGGACCCCAATGCGGCCATTCTTGGAACTAGTCCATCGGCACCTATCAACATCAACTGGATGTTCCATGTGTCGAACGCGAGGACAAGTGGCGTTATCACGCGTGCGAATGGCGAGACTCTATCGTACCGTAGTGGCAAGCCTGTTCTCGATGAATTTATCAACACGAGTCGTTTCAATGGTCGCAAGGTGACTGTCGTGGCATGCGGGCCGCCGACAATGACTGTCGAGGCTCAGTCACTCGCGCGCGACTGCAGCTTTGACTTCCATAAGGAGGTGTTTAATTGGTAAGCTATACAGGGTTTTCTATAGCAAGGAGCATGATGTCGGTCCTAGACGTTTCATCAAAACGGATCATTTAGCTTAATTAATCGTTGATCAAAGGCGTAGCAATACACTATTTCTCCTTTCATTCGTACGAAGAACTCGCATCGACGTGCATCCTTTCCCTATCTCTCTTCCTTCACTCGACGTAGTCAAAATCGTCTTTGATGCCCAGCCATTTGTCCACCTACAACACCCACACACGGTGATACAAGACGTCAGCGTTTGTTGCATCATGTCTTCCAGTATATATAGCCACTACCTCTCGGCCCTCGACTCCACGCTTCTTGACGACCCATGACTTGAGAGTATACACATTGTCTACCAAGACCAGTATACCAAGACAACAAAACACGGTTCAGCAGCAGCAACAACAACAACGGGGTAAACACTGTTGCCACTATCACGTCAAAGTACCGGTCCATCGATCACACCCTTCCTTTGCGACACGCAATTTACTCTCGAGCTCGTTTAGAATTGCTGGATCATTGTCCGCCAAGTGCTGTACTTTGATCCGCAGAGCCTGTACTTTTGCGTTCTGTTCTTCCAGTCGATGTAGCTTTAGCACACGTTCCTCCTGCATCATACAACACATTCTCTAGTCACTCACGTCATCACGAAAAAAGCTTCGAGGTTAGACTCAAGTATCCATACCGATTCTGGACGCAAAGCCTTTTGCTCATTGATACTTTGTTTCACCTTGATCAGTTTTTCTTCTATAGCTTGTCGACGTTGCTCCAATTCACTCAATTTACGCTTCCTTGACTGTGATAACGTGGATGGAAAGGACCAAAAGTAGTTTGCTGATCCAATCTACACGATTCCATCGTAAGTATCAACGAGGTTTCTATTCTGACCCCTTTGTCGAATAGCTTGTGTTTAAAGACCGCACCTTATCACAATCTACCAATGTGTCATCTACAAGCGCTTGATTCACGTCCTTGATTGTTTGCAGTACTTGAAAAAAAGGGTTTACAATGCAAATGGTAGATATCTCACATGAGAATCCATACAATGTGCTTGCAATAATAGTATCCTACAAAGTCCGTACCAACACCAGCTTTCGAGCCAAGCTTTTCGACTTCTTTTAGGTTAAATACCTCCTTGGATTCATGGTATATGCGCAAGATACGCTCACGCTTTTCTTGTAGAGATACACCCTTGCGAACCATCAGCACACGATTGTTTTCAAGGAATGTGAACTGATTTAAAACTAAATTAACGAGAAAATCACCTTAGTGCATTGTTTTTTTTCATGGTGTTAAAGTTGTAATTCGCATGAACTGCCGACTAAAGCTGCAGCACGTTGGAGCGTCTCGTGTGTATGAAGCAGTAGTTCATCTAGTGTCCCATCGTTCTGAATAACTAGATCAGCCTTGGATACTTTTTCCTGCTTACACGAAATAACGGTCCTTAGATTCTCTTCAAATCCAAATTTCAGAGCTTCATCGGTTGCGTACGTACATGGAGATTCATCTGAGACTTGATACGCTTTTCAGCATCTTGACGTGTTATCTTGTCACGCTTCATGAGTCGCGATAACTCGTTTGTATCGGAGCACACGACCACAATCGTCGGATAACAGAAATACTCTAGCACCTTTGTCTCAAACAATAGCGGTGCATCCAATACCACTAGTCGTTTACGACATATAAGACGCTGGTAAACAAGCTGCTTGAACATCTCCCATAGAATGTGCTTGTGCGTTGCAGTATCAAGTTTCTTCCGCTGCGTGGGATCACTAAAGATAATTGCTCCTAATTTGGCACGGTTAATAGTCGCATCATGCTCATGGAGCACTCCAGTACCAAAACAATGGACAATCTCCTTATATGCACCACGTCCTGGCATGACGACTTCTCTAGCAACCACATCCGCATCAATAATAACAGCTCCAGACGCACGAAATACATTCGAGACTGTACTCTTGCCCGTTGCAATACCTCCTGTAAGTCCCACACCAACTAATGATGCCCCCAACATGCGTCCAAGCAAATAAATGCCAGTTAATACAATTCCATCACGAATGGATAGCTACAATAGACAATAATATTGTCAATATACAATAACATTACGCCAGTCACAGATAAACTTCAGCTAGAGATACACAAAGGAATCAGTTGAATAGGTCGATTTTATACAAAACGCGCACCAATAACAAAAGAGAAAATGGAGTGATTGCTAGTAGTAAACGTTGTATGGAATACTTGGCCAGCTTTTCCTTGATAAGTCCCAATATCACGCCAAGAAGCAGAGATAGTGGTGTTAGTGCTAGCAAATGAATGTCTCGCATTATTGCTCAGCAGTCTACAGTATCAGTTTATAGTAGTATGTATGTTGTATCATTTTCAACCAATCAAATATCGCTAGTGAATCAACTAGTAATTCGGAGTATTTGTTAAAGCTAATTCGTACGACTTGAACGTTTCAGGCAGCTGCGAGCTTGACCAATGAGCTTTACGGAAGTTGTATTGCGCAAGTGTGGTGAATGAATGAATGGACATGAGGTGGTAATCATTTTATATGCACCCAAGAATCCGTTATCGTGATGGTTATGTCGCCATCTGGTCCTGCCTTTCTGCTATATGTGCGTCATCACACTCGGTTGCACTTGCTGGCAATTGCGACATGTAAGTTGATGATTGAGGAGATTTGATATAATAGATGATATGTTTCATATAAGTACGATCCATGTTATCATGCGGCATGATATGGAAGTAATCTACTGTACAACTCCTGCAGCTGTACCGTCTGCAACAATATGTTAACTCTGTCAAAGAAAGCTCTAGCGATACAATCCTGCAACGTACTTTACCTGCATAGCTTTGTTCGTCAACACGAGCTCATCTGTTGCTGGAAAGGTGGAACATTGGACAAACAGCGATCGAACTATTCAAGTGTTCTAAAAGCTCGAGTTGTATGATATGGATGTAAGCAGCTTCGCGGCTTGATCATCCGAGCTATTAATCGTGTTTTTTGCGCGGCACAATGATTGCATGGTTGCCTTCTCGCTTCGTAATATGATCCTTCGTCAAAGAAGCACTTCTATTTTGCCAAGCCTGACAAGGACGGATGGAGGACCCTGCATTTACGATCCCGCAATACGAGCATATACGACTTTGGTAACTACTCAGTGACTTTCAGTGGACTGTCACGATCAATCGGCGACAGACTCTCATCAGAGGTCATCTCTCAGTAACTCGACCACAAGCCACAACTGCTGAATTAGTCCTAGAACTATATTGACAAAGATTATCGTCTTGTTTAGCATTGTAGATTAGGCATACGCGAAGCTGAAATAGGACGACACAGCTGGGAGTCTTTAACAACATGAGTGGCGTTTGCATCTCATCTCACGCTCATACATTTGGCATGTTGTGTTAAGTTCTAGCTGAGATTCAATCAAGTTTTAGAAGGTATGATGTCTTCGTACTCAGTCAAACGGTTTGTCGCGCCAAAGCCAGTAATAATAAGCAATGAAAAGTAGTTTGCCGATCATGGTCGAACTAGATTGACAACGCTTAAGTGCAAACGCTTGTTGTAATTGATAGCACTGGAGATAGGAAGGTGTTTGCATTCGTATCAATATGTTGCACTTGCCATTTCATTATTCGTTTTGGTATGAACAGTTAATGTTTGGCCGAAGAGATCGACTAGCTCTAGTCTATTGGCAATTTGAACGTACAAACTTCCTGTCCATCAATCAGTTTGTAGATTACGAAATGATATTAGCGACTCGTAGGAAGAAGCACAGAGTGCAAAAGGCTGAAAAGGGACGAAAGCTAGTATGTGGACTATCATTGAACAAGAATGAGCAGCCGCTTTTGAAAGATGGAAGTGCAGACCAAATATCCTCCAACTGCTTGTGCATACATTTGACAATAAGACCTCCATGTCCTGTCTACCTTGTGAAGGAACATGCATGTTGTTTCATGTCTCTGTTCAATAGAGGAACATGAGTGTTATCAGATACGATGGTAGCCGTTGATGAGCTTAGGTGTATGAGGTAGTTCCAGCACAGTGTCAAGTATTGTAAGCCGTACAGTGCAATCTCGAACCATTCTGCATGTAGCAAGGTGTGTTGTGTATTGATTACGTGCAAACATGTATATCGCACCAACTCACAAGACATTACATGTTGACATCATCCGTCTCGCTACGTAGACCCTTGAATCGTGACGACAACTTTGCGACGGTGGCCAGTGCCCCAGCCGCCGACGTCGCGGTGTTCGCACAAATAAATGCCTGTAAGATGCAACGTACGATCCACATATCACACTTGTCGAACCATGATCTGCGTGTACAAGTTGACGAAGTTATTACCTTGCCACGTCCCGAGGTTGAATTTACCATCAGTAATCGGGATATTCACCGACGCACCGATCAACGTCGACTTGATGTGTCCTGGCATGTCGTCTGTACCCAAAGCAAGACACCACATTGAAACACATCGATAAGTATCACGTAACTTACACCGATTGATAATGATAAAGTCGTGATTCAAGTCGTACCATTGCCTTCATCCGTATGACGGAAAAATTCTCTGCAACATTTCACACAATTTCACGGTAAGGAGCTTCTATTCCCTATGATATAGATAAAGACTGACAATAGTAGAATCTCCTACTTATTCCACGATTCCGGTACAATGCGATTAAATGCCCCCTCCATGTCGGTCCTAGTACCCAAGAGAAAAATAGTCGTGAGTGTTCCACGAAAGACTAGACGCTTTCAGACGAGTTTTGTTTTGTGACACACACCGAACGTCCGGGTCACAATTCTCATTAATACTGAGCGAAGCAGACGTATGTTTGATAAATAAATTGGCCATGCCAATTTTTACTCGAGCCATTTCTGGTAACTACACCATCGACATCATTTCATGACAAAGTATCACATTCAAATCAATTCAAGTTCGGTATTTTATAATCTAGAAAAAATGACTGAACCTGCTTTCGAACTTCCTGTGTCACCACTTTTCATGCAATATATCAAACATTAGAAATAGAACCATATGGAAACAAGATACAAAAAAGACTCGAAACGTTACAGTGAAAGCCACGACTGGGTGCCGTTAGGACGATCTCCTTTTGAAACCACGTTGTCATGATGTTTTGTGTAGGTCAAATGGAAAATATTAGAAATAGGCTGTTGGGTAGTATCAGGTTATGTTTAAATTTGTGTGGACGACATCAAGTGCGTGATCCTAATAAATGGACTCTATTTTTGTGTACTTTTTTGTGATGTTTTAAATGATGACGACAGGAGAGAATAAATGGTAAAGCAATGTTTTCATTTATTTCTACTTGACTATTTAGCTGAAAACGCAAGCAAAAACAAGAGTTGCCAAAGCTGTCGCAGAAGCAGATGGATGTTTACAAACCTTTTGTATGCTCTTTGTTTTCTGATTCAAAAATGGTCAATTCTTTTCAAATTTTCAACATGGAAGCCATAATATAACAATCATTAGTGCATAATAATGATGATATCGGTTGTTTCACATCTAGAATGTGATGTCTTGAAGCAGAAGCTACTGATGAAAATAGTGCCGAAGAATGAACGTCACTACTGCGGCCATATATTCACGCGTACATACTACCACCTTGGTTGTTGTGATGCTTTTTCTTTGTCTGTGTCCGATCAGTTGCTGTCATACTCGAAAGTGTCGTTCCCTACTCCATAGTCACTGTTTAAACTCTTCTATCTAGATGGTACTGTGAAACTCATACCGACATCAATGTCAGTTTCTGCTTGTCATTTTATTCAGCAAGGGGTGGGGAGTGATAGGGTCTGGTGAAAGGTAGATTGTTGTCCGTAACGTAAAGGTGCAAACTCTTCACGATACCATCCTTCAAGCTTTTGCTTTTGATATGTCGCTATTGTAAAGGCAAATCAAACATATCATACAATTGATCATTGAGGAAGCATCCACAACATTCTTAGCAGTCAAGATACGCTCAGATAACTCGCTTTTGATCAGCTTGTATGCCAGTCATTCTATAGTAGGTAATCTTCGTCGCAGTGAGACAGTTGAGATGGGTTTTACCAGAAAGTATTCTGCATAAGTTCATCAATCCAAACCTCTTTGTCTTGCTTCACACGTTGTTCATTTGAGAAATTCATCAAGACTCCTCATTACTATGAGCAAACCTTCCGATAATGAGATTGCAAAACACGAATTCACCAAGCTACAGGCGCACTTGTACCAAAGTGTCCACAACAGTCTGACTTACTTGGATGCACTCAAGCACAGTCTTGGTGAATACGACCATAAACATCACCTGCACCATTCAACCTCTGCAACGTCGTTCTTTAGTGATGGTCTCGACCACGCCAAGGATGCTATCAAGGAACTGAAGCGTGCAGCTGACCATGCTCATACAAATGTTGGTGTAGCCGACGTCAAGAGGGCTATGGAGCAGGCGTTCAATGCACTGTCCGACCTGCATAAGGTGGCAAACGCTTACGATACAGAGCATTCGACGTCCAACAAACACAATGGTAAAAATCCTACGACCTCGGAAACGGTAAAGTGGCTTGTGAGCACCACCCGTGATGCCAATTTTACTGGCTTTGCACCGCTCCAAAAGCAGATTATTGAAGTCCAGATGACTATCGGAGATATTGAAAAACCATCGATCAAGACACGGGCGAAAGAAGCCGTACACAACATGACCAGCAAGCTGGAAAAGATAAGAGCTGAACTATAATGATGTCTGGAAGCTACAGATGAAAATGCATGCTGAGACCATGATAGCCCTACATATGTCTCTTGTTTGGCTTGGTGTAGTAAGGAACGTAAAGCTCAGAAACAATAAGAAAAACACTTCAGTTTGAAGATGCATACATAAATGTCTATGGGCTAATTAATCTACATCAGCGTCTTTGTGGACGCCAAATCCTCTCTACGTGACCAACATGGTGATGTACTATGCTGGTGCAGGTGGAATACTTTGTCATGATGGTAGTATTGGCACTGGAAAGATGCTGCAAATAGTAGCACGAGCGCAGCAGTGCCTGAAGATCAGCACCGTCGCGTCGGTGCTCGGCGAAATGCAAGGCTAATCCACCTACACGTGCTCCATAGCGCAACAAAAGCTTCGTGGCCTTGATATCACCTAGCAAAACTGCTGCATCAAGAGGACTAGTACCGTTGTGCTTTGCTATAGAGACATTCGCACCTCCATGAAGCAAAGCTTTTATTACACACTTGTGCCCTCGTTTCACTGCCGCAAATAAAGCTGTTGCTCCACTGCTTGTTTGCACATCCCGTCCAGCACCAGCTTTCAACAGAAAATGTACAAGATTCACGTGGCCTTCTTCGCTTGCAATGTACAACGCTGTCAGTCCAGATCGAGTTTGGTCGTTTAACCAAGCACCATACTGTAGCAAGGCCCTGGAGACAGCTATGCGTCCCATGCGAGCAGCAATGTGTAGTGCAGTGGACATGTCATGCATCTTTGTATACACGTTAGTCCCCGCTTCAACAAGCAAACGGACAATCTGGTCATGCCCCTCCTGGGCAGCAATGTACAAGCAAGACACACCACCTTGTGGTCTGCGAAAGTTAGGGTCTGCGCCACGTGCTAACAGTAGTGACGCAATATCCACGTGCCCCATTTGACAAGCCAAGTAGAGTGGTGACACATTTTCGTCCATAAGAACATTAGCATCCAAATCTGTGAGTAGGAGTAGGTCGGATACCACAAACAAATGACCACCCTCACAAGCCAAGAACAACGCCTGTACCAGTTGATTCTTGCAAACGCGACCTCGTGTTTGCAATTCATCCTCCGCCTGCTTCTCAGCTGCAAGTAGTCTCAGCACAATCGACCGGTGGCCATTCTTTGCTGCAGCACATAACGCAGTCGCACCACCTTTGACTGCACAATCTCTTTGCGCATTTGCGTCAAGCAACATGTCCACCAGAACGTCCCAACCGTGCTCACTAGCGATGTAGAGTGGTGACGCTAACACTAATGAACGAGTATTGATGTCACTTCCTGCTTGCAGCAATAGACGTGTAGCTTCAATAAGACCGTTTGCAACCGCAAGACTCAGCGCAGAGTGGCCGACTGCGTCCGTATTTTCCAAATCAAGCGCAAAACCATTCTGATGGGCTTGTGTTGCTGCCACAATTGCTGATAGAACTCGAGTCCTTCCCGTAGCACACGCATACAATAGAGGCGATACTAATACAAAGCTGTCTTCTTCAGTCACATCAGTGTCATTAACGCTGTTCCTAGTGCTAGGAAGGACCAACGGGACATCCAGGAGCGCACGTGGTCCACTCGCTACTACCGTGCGCTCAAAGACTCCAGATTTACGTCCACGTTGACTACAACACCACTGACTGAATTCGTCAAGTAGCGCAGGCAACAATGGAAGCTCCACGAGCTCATTGCTCACCAGTAGCTGAAGCTCACGCAAGAGAGAGCTCAAAATCGAGTTCTGCTGGAAAAACGTGCGATGTGCTGGTGTGTGTAAAGCGCTCAAACGCTGCAGCGTCGAAAAGTGATCCTCGAGACACGCAACAAACGTACTAGTTACGCTAGTGTCGTCCAGATTAATATTCGTGAGCGACGGGTGTGATCCTGTCAGCCTCAAAACTTGACCAACAAATGGTTCACCCGTAACTTTTTTGCATCGACGCACGGACACGGAACGGAGTCGCAGGGATTGAGCGTTGAGCACAGCGAGCAATCCGAAATCCGAAATCTCAGAACAGTCGTCTGCAACAATCTCCTCAAGGTTTGTCCAGAAGGAAGACGTCAGCACGAGCAAGTCGTGGTCAGTAAGAAAACGTTGGCCGGACACATCAAGTCGACGAACACGACTGTAGGTCTGTAAAACAGCTTGACACGCGCGATGAAGTGTGCGTGGCGTTGATGGCAAAGTTACAACGGACAGATCGAGTCGATCTACTTCTAATGTCCGTACCCGTTGCCGCCATGATCGACTAGTTTCTCGAATAAGCTGATGTTCGCAAACGTTGAGAAATGAAAGAACCAAATGCAGCAACGCCTCTTCCCGTACAGCAGCCTCCAGATCACCGCATCTCCGGGCAGGCAAGAACGGTGAAGTTAGCAAGAACGAGACGTTGCAACAAGGAGGGAGATCATTGATCTGTTTTGAGCGCGCCAGCAGAGCTGACGATGCCTTGCGGTGCTTCCATGGTCGGTCGAAGTAGTTGATATCGCAGCTCGTAGCTCTGACAGCAACGGGTTCACTGTCGACCGTACTTGGTGTGTTATTGTCGACATCGGACCGAACTCCAGACACGTGCTGGAACGAGCGCTTCATGGCGAATGTAATAGAAGACTTGCTGTTTGTAAACGTGAACTGCAGTTTTACACTGGATAGCCAGGTAGCCAGATGGAAAGGTTCGTGATGAAAGAGAGAGAGAAAGAGTGAAGAGTGAGAGGATTGAGATGGAAACGTATAGACTTTGTATTGTGAAATAGGGCCAGGTTACGTCTTCTTTGGTTGTTGTGGAATGTCTTTGAAGTTTAGTCGTTGTGGCGACTTGGCATTCCTCTTACCTTCCAGCAATAGAACATAGAAAACAGAGGAAGATTGGCAGATGGCCATCCATGTTATTTCTTGCCACATGAAAGCTGGAAGACTGACTGTACGGTATCAATCAATCAATACAAGAATAAGACGAGAGGTAGAGTGCACTATTCATACATTTGGCAGTTACCTTCGTGACGTCCTATGCATATCTCCGCTAAAAATACTGCACATGTCCTGCAACTTCCTGTTGCGATTCACCAAACGGAATTAGATCGACGACGAATCGAGATGAGTAGTAAACTTAGTCCATTGAAACACTAGAATGTCGTATTCACTACTCATTGTAACGACTGCAAAAACAAACTGAACTTTGGTTTCAAGATGCCTTCATCTACTACTCCATAGTTGAAAGGGGTCTAGTGTCGTTTGTGTTCAAATGACGATGCGACCTTTATCTTACTACTACTAGCAGTAGTAACTAGTACAAGACAATGTTCTTTTCATATTCGATTTCGATCCAGTCCCGATCAATGGTACTGTAATCTTTGCTCGATTGCATGAAAAGTTGGTGGTGTGGATACGACTCCAGTAGCGACAATACTGTTTGTGACGATATTTGTACAGCCTCGGCAGAGTGTGAGTTGTGCTATCATACCTTCCTACCTTGTCATCATCAGTTGCCATTCTCAACACCCATTCACTCTATCAGTGCGCTTTCGACAACTTCTTGTCCTTCATATACTAGGACGATATTTCGATGTTGTCTTGACTCGCGTAGACCGTAGAAACATTGAATCAAAAGTTTGATATACCTTCTCGTTTAGCCACCAACGCTGACACAAAGATTGCAGTAACATGCGTAAACCGATTAAAACGTTTTGTCGTGCATCATGGCAACGTTTGTCTGTGTGTCGATGTGTCGATTCGTCAGGACTTCGTATAAAGTGTCAACCCGTTTTAGAAAAAAACGTTGGACCGTCCTCGAAACGCCATTGCCCAATGTATTTCTGAACCATCTATATCGTGTCAACTCGATTGATCTTGCTTATCAAGCACCATGAACATACGTTGATTGTATGCAAGTATAAGATCCATTCGATCAATCAATCTACTACTACTTACACGATAGTGAGTGTGTCATTCATTGCTAGCAGCTATGACCAGGTAACATTGGTCATAAAGATGGCTACAATATCGTTTGCCCCACATGGCTACATCCTAATATCTCAACCTAAACGGTCTCACATACTAAACCCAAGTCAACATCTTATTCTCGAGCATAATTAAATATTCAAGATGAAGACGACAGGCGGCGAGATAAAGAGCGATAAAGAGAGCGACGTGGAGCAGTATGAACTCACAGAAGACGACGAAGACGAAGAAGAAGAAGAAGAAGAAGAAGAGGAGGAGGAAGATACTAGGGCTATACAGAAGGATACAACTGTTGCTATTGATGCAATACCGAAGCGTAGAATGAGAAAGAGGAAGCGATCACTGGGGTCACAGCATGATGAAGATGAGATTGTACGTCGACGTCGACGACGTCAATCGCTGGTGTTTCAACAGAGACGACGTAAGTTAGCAACGAATGAGAGGAAGATAGTGCCATTACATGGTGGAAATGGGGTCATTCCAGCGTCTACACACAGTAAACAGTACATTAGTGACATGTACTCGACCATTATCAAGATGTCATCGGAAAATGTTGGTACAATGTCATTCTTTCGAGGGAGATACAATAGCTGAAGAAGGATAAAAGGTCAGTCAGTGTGTGTGTGTGTTCTGACTCTTGTGTGTCTTTGTATAGAAAATTAATGTAAAAAACTCATGGTCACTGCATTTGATCGATCATATGGAAGATATTCTGCATTCATCCAAGTACATAAAACAGAAAGAGAGAAGAGAGTGAGAAGATGGTGATTTTTAATGGATTGTGATGTTTTTGTGTGTGTGTTTTTCTTTCATAGACGAAATGCTACGGATGGCAATGATGATACGTATAATTTTCAAAAAGCGAGCTGTACGCTCGATGCAAGTATCAAGATTTACTCGTACCGAGTAGATGATACGTGGAACTCATCGTACAAGATTCTGGAAAACTTGTCACGAACAGAGCAAAAACATGGTATGGATGATAGAGGTAGCGATGCAGAGGATGGTGCGAGGACTGCACGCAAGACGACGAGAAAGACACATGCACGGACGATTGAAAAGAATCTGAATAATATTAACTTGAAAGCGTACGACACGGAATGTGAAGCTGACCCGCTGTTTCACAAGATGTCTCAGTCGTTTGATGAAGGGGGTGCGAAGGGAATGTTATTGGCCAATCTTAGCGTGTATGACGGGTGCAAAATTCTGTTGAATTCGTCTGATGTGAGTATGGTGACGCGCAAGCAGATTCATGAGGATGTAAACAAGTCTAACAAAGAACCTGAAGATCACGATCAACAGAAGTCTAACATTTCCGAAACAAACGATACTGTTGTGGAACCCAATGCCTCTCACGAAAATGATGCGGCTAAAGTTGAAAGTGAGATCAATGATGGACACAAGAATGAAAAGGATGGTAATGAAGAAGACGAAGAGGACGGTAACGGAAGTGGAGACGGCAATAGAAACAGTGAGGCTGTCGTAAAAAACCCTGCTGACGATAATGACGAGTTTGCAAAAGACATTACGATGGAGGAGGAACGTATTAAGGAGAAAGAATACATTGCCGAAAATGCCGCAATGGAAGAACCTGAGAAGGAAGATTCGATTGATAATGTCACCACAAAGGAGGAACTGATCAAAGCAACGACTGTTGATGCGGCGGACGTCATCGAGGAAAGCACCAAGGATAAGAAAGATGACAGTTCTGACGCTTCTGGGGCAAGGAGAGACGCAGAAGCTTTTGGCGAGCTTCCTGCTTGCAAAAAGCGTATTAGTCTATCACTGTTTGGCGATTTGTCATGTGTCAACCAAGACGTACAGAGCCTACGAGTTTGTCCTCCGTTGTACCGAATATATGATCAACTGGACGAGTTGTACGGAGACGATTCCCGTCACAAAGTCGGTATTCGAAACGACTTTTTACTGACTACTCCGGTAAAAGGCCGACGGCAGACGCTGCACAAGAAGGATGTCGTCACAATAAACCTAGCTGGTATTATGGAAGGTGCCAGTGAGGATGAACTGGATGGAGAAGACGCAGCACCCGGTATTTCAGTGGATGGTGATGAAAATAGTGCAGACTATGATGCTGATGAGGATGGTGGTAGCACCTACGGTGAAGCAGAAGATATGGTAGAAGTAGACACTGCTGAGGAAGTGGGAAAGGAAAAGGAGATTATTGATTTGGTCGAAAGTGGTGATGAAGAACACTTGTCTGATGATCTTGCCCAGGATGGTAGTGAAAGTGAACCAGTAGCTCTTGACAAGGAGTTGTCACTTGGATCGACTGCTGTAGACTTCTTTCGCAGAAAGGTGAATGAAAACTTACCGGAACATTATGAAAACAATTTGTTTTCGCAAATGATTGAGTCTGCACTCTTCCGGTCTGCAAGCTTGGAAGACGAGCAGATTGGCGAGGACCAAGACAGTAAGAATGACTATTCGTACTTTGATGTAAAGATGCTTCGTAACTGGGCAGGTCCCGGACACTGGAAGTTTCCTGCTGTTCGTAAGATTCAAATGAAACAGCGCCTGAAGGAGGAGAATGATAAGGATTGTCTCGAAGAAGCAACGGGAGAAGTTGCTGAAAATGGTGTTGCAATTAAGGCTGAACCGGCCGGTCTTTCTGCTGACCAAGTTCAGAAGGGAAACACCACTGGCGTGGATAAAAAGGCAGTGATAATGGTTGACTTTTTTGGCGAAGCACCTGATTTGTCAAAGCTAAACGCTCCAAAATCTGCTGCCAGTTTGGAGATCTCGAAAGGCAGCTTAAAAAAGCAAACCGAGAACGCTCCTGATCTGGTGTTACCTGTAGACACACATATTGAGCTTAGTCTCTTTTTCCGGCACTTTCTGAAAGAGAGACCCCGGTTCTTTAGAAAGCGGGGCGGTAATGGTGTCTTGGATGGCGCCCATCGGGAAGGCCCATTGGCAAGTGACATAAAGTATGGAGACAATAGTGACGAAACGGCTGATGATGATCGAAAGCAGCCGTTCACCTATAATGAGGATAGTGTCGGCTTTGAGGGAGGATATGATGATGAAGACGAAGAAGAAGGTGTCAGTGGTGCGGACGGAACACAAGAGTTGTATTCTGTAGAAGGTCTGGTTCAAGCTGATCGCGTGGTCGAGAAAATTGGCGTACACTACGAACGCTTTGCGAAACGTGTGGATGTGAAGAAGCTGAAGGGCAGCATTTGGGAACACTTGGAGACAAAGATCGACAAAAATAAAAGACTGAGTGAATGTGCGAACACGGATGCCGAAATACCCGACGCTGATGCTGTTTCCGTCATTGCAAGCGGAAAACGCTCTCGTGAACCGGAGGCAAGTGAATATGATGATAATCCAAATACGACTTTCGAAAACGTGGTCGAGAATGTTGCGAGCAAGGTACGATATGAGTAGCACTATCTGGTCGATGATGTGTTTTCGTGCGACGTTACTCACTTTTTATGTTGAATCACTGCTGTAGGTACCCTCGAACGTGACAGTATCCTTTTACTTCATTTGCGTTCTGCATCTTGCAAACGAGAAAGGTCTTGAGTTGATCGGGCAAGAAGGCTTGCGCAACTTTCAAATCCGCAAGGAGGACGCATCAGTCACTCCTCATCTCTGACGCGATGTCTACCCGAATATATAGCACCGAAGAAACGCTAGCAAAGCCTGTAAACGTCCGGCATGTGGCGGCAATTTCAGTTTCGTATGTATACCATCGATGTGTAATATTCAGACTATAGTGCCGAATCTACAGCTTCCAACCGCGCGAGCCTGTCTTACTACCTCTCAAATTCGAACCTGTCGAGCCACGTGAACCCCTCGGCTCCAAAGACGATTCGCTTTCGGCATCAGATGATTTTTCATCATCGTACAGCAGTCTTACAGTTTCCGTAGTTTCTGTAGCAAATAGATCCTTCGGATGGACCATTTCATACTTCTTCTTTGTCTTCAATGTGGCTGCGCCAGGTGTGAATGGCGTTGGTAATACCACAGGCATGACCTCGTTGAAATCGCGCATGGCATCTTCGAAAGCAAGATGGTCAGCCAAGATGTTTGTACGTAGTGCCGGATTTCCGTGCACGTATGGTTTATACGGGAACGCGTAATGGTGAGCTAGCGCTACAAAGAACATTTCAAAGCAAATGAGTAAATTTTGAATGCCCGTGGTGACATTTTCAACACTCCACGATCCAAGCTCGTGGATGATTTGAAAACGCGAGAGAAATGCTAGTACGACACTTTGCCAGAATGACAGGAATAGCACCACCTTGATACATAAAAACTTGGGTACGGGATTGTATGGCGCTAATTGTGCATTTAATGCCAAGTAAAAGAGTACGAGGTAGTAAAACGCGTACGTGATTGATGCATTGACGATCAAACTTGTGTACAAATACCCATTCTTGGCACTAAAATTACCCTGTTCATACATATCATTAAGTCTCAGCACAATTGCAATGAATGCCATCATGGGTTTCACAATGACAAATTGCATTGTTGCCAATTTGCAATCTCGTAAAAATTGAGGGCCCATCGGAATTGGTTTCAAACATTTCGTAAATGGCCATGGATGCTCGAGCAAATGTGATGAGACTCCATGCATCATATGAAGAACACGATCATTGCTGCCTTGACCCAAGTACGCAATCAATAGAGCCAGGAATAAATAAATGACGTAACTCTCGTACGAATCGCGCATTAAATCCAAATAAAGGGCCGCATCTTTAAATCGCAGTGATAACCACGAGTCAGTTGCATAAATGGGTACCATCCATAAAATACCGATAATCTATAAATACATTGAGAGTTTATAGGATCAAATGAACATAAAAAGGGTTAGAAGGAGTTGTAGAAAACAAATCGTGTATCAAGTATCAGAGATAATGATATCAAACAAGACAGGTAGTCAGACCAAACCTTGCTTTGGACATTGGGTTGTGTAAAGTGATTTAAATGAGCTCGGATTAATAATGCAGAGGAGACGACGGAAAATGCGACAAAAATGCCAGTGACGGCCCACACTAGTCGCTGTACATCAGCTTCTGGTGTTGCTAATGTATCCGTTGGCAATGCTAAATAAACATGTGATATCCTTAACTGCATTCTCAATAATCTTGACACTTTGAAAACTGATTTATGACTAATGAGAGAGACATAGAATACCTCATTGTAATGTAAAGTGGTGTTGGCCACACTAATCCATGACACGCATTTCTAACCGTTGCCACCAAACATGAACTCGTTATGGCTCGTTCGACGCTCGGGTGTATCATTAAGAGCGGCGCATGCACGCACATGTGCGTCTCTCTATTGTTCAACAAGTGTATTATCATCTGCATTGACTCCGTCGTATTCTCGTGTTTCTTCCACTACTTCGTCATCATCATCATCATCTTCTTTGCTGCGTTTCTCTCGACCCGTACTTGTCTCCATTGACAAATCAGGAAGCCATAGAAATCTTATTTCTATCCTTCCTCTTACTTCACGACGTTTCTATTCGTCGAGGAACTATTCACGTAACAACAATGACTGGAAATCCACATTAAAGACTGGAGGATTAGTCCTCTTAGGTACAGGAGCGCTCATTGCGTCTACATCCTGTATGTATTTGTTTACGTAATCATTCAGACTTGGGGGTATGTATAACTACGAGACTGACTATGGATTATCTCGATTGAAAAAATGCTCTTGTAGTGGCCTTTGGGTTTGTGATTGCAGGTGCAGCTGGATTTGGAGTGTATACTTTGTATCAGCGATTCTGGCGACCGTATCGATCGAATGAGCCATTTCATACCATGAACTCGAAGATTAATACGTCGAGTGACTTGTTGCGTCCCAATCGACCACGTGAAGAGGTGATAGGACAAGATGATTTGAACTCACTGCTGCAGGGAATGCCTTTTGTTGTGCGAGGTTTTGTAAAGACGGTGTTTTCGTTGGCGGGACGAGCGATGCAGCACTCAATGGAACGAGCGGGTGAGCTGCGACGACGGACGAATGAACATTTGCAAAGGAATAAACGAGTGCGTGAGCAAATGGGCGATGACGTCAGTGTGGATGGACCCGAGCAGTGGATCGAGTCGAGTAAGTAAAGAGGTGCATTGGATTGGTGAGACGCACTCGTGTTGACACTTTTTGTATTGAATGTTGCTGTGATGTAGCTCTGAATGGCGTTGGACGCATTGAAGCAGTTTTTCCAGTCAATGGGACGTACAGTTCAGCGAGGGTGACTGTGAAGGCTTCGATTGGTAAAGGTGACAACCTGAATCTGACAGAGCTCAAGTGTATGTTTTGTATTGTCATTGCTAGCTGCGTATCAAGTGTCTTATTCGTGTTTTGTGACGCTTCTGCAGATCGCAACCACGAAACTGGGGACACGATTGATTTGTTACGTGATTCATCTGTCGGAGGTCGAAAAAAGACCGTCATTGATGCCGAGTTCGTCGATCTAGATGATGAGAATGGCCGGTCACGTTGGTAAACGAAGAAATATTAGCCACAATTTGCATGAGCGGAGAGCAGAGCAAACAAAACTTGACAAAAAAAAGCTTGCACCAGTTGCGCAGCTGTCCAGCACATGGTATGGATAGCGTTTTGTATTTTCACCGCTTAGCGTCGAGACGTGTACATGACTAATTGTCATCTACATACAGCGAAAAGGTATCTCTTAGCTCTGGATAAGGCGCTTCGCAATGGGAAACGAGCCAAGGTGCTTAACGGCACAAACTGACTGTAGCTCTTCAACAGCCTGTCGCACACAAACGTCGTCAAAGTGGCCCACGATTTCCACGAAAAAATCGTAGCCACCCTGCTCTTGGCGGTAGATAGACTCGAGGCTTGTGAGGTTGATTGCGTGGTTCTTCCATACATCCAGCGCATTGAGCAGAGAGCCCACATGATGCTCGATCCCCATACTCAGACATGACTTGTCATTTCCGGTAGCCGCGGGGTAGCCCTTGGAAACAATCACAAAGCGGATGAAGGACGGCATTCCTTCCATAACATTAGCTTCAGACGCCAACGCATGGCTCGTGTCAACCTGCTGCAAACCTTTAGACTCTGCGGCGCCCAATGTAGTGACTGCTACCGTTGCCACTTCGTTGAACGCCAGACTCGCTGCCTCGAAAGCATTGGGAACAGAAACTATCTGTGCACTTGGCCATTTCTGCTCCGCCAGAGTGAGTAGCTGTGCGTCAGTATCCGTCGAGCAAAAGACTTTCTTAACGTCAGAGTTCTTGACAAGCTGTTTATCCTTGGTCGCAAAAATAAACGAGCGCGTAAGAACAACCTCGGCGGACACCTTCAGCGAGCTACGCATTAACTGCGCCTGCGTTTCCTTTATCATTCCCAAATGGGAATCCTCGATAGGGACGACACCGTAGGCCGTGCGGTTTGCGTTAACATCGTTGAACACCTTGCTAATGGAATCAACGTGTAGGAACTGTTCTTTCTGAAGTGCTTCACCTCCAAAATGAGCCTGTGCGGCTAGCCAGCAGAATGATCCCTCGGCGCCCGCAACAGCAATCGACGGGTGCGCAATGCGCTGCAGCAAGTACTGCACTTGCACTTCCTTCGTAAGAGGCATTACAAAGTCGCGGTACAGATCTGAGATAAGCTGCGGGTTGACTTTCAGCTCTTCCTGCGACGCAGCTGGGGCCTGTGGATCCTGGCCGTACGTCGAGGCTTTCTGCTTTACGCGCTCAAGTACTTTCTGATCAACACACAAGAACATATTGTAACCAGTTTAGTACAATCATTTTTCCTCAGTCCTCCATAATAAACACACAAGTGGATACACCACACCACAAAACCTTTTCAACTTCCAAATTGGTAAGTGCCTCCATAATTCCGTCCGCGTCATTTTCAAGAATGAGCTTCGTGTATCGCTCTGTTTCTGCTTGAAATTTGGCTTCAGCAATGAATTTTCCAAAGTGAATCCGCTTACTCAGCGCTTGTAGCACTGGAATATCCGCGGTTGCAGTAGATCCGTACTGTATATATTGTACATTACAAGAAAAACAATGTAATATCACCAATGTGAGCTCAATGCTGTGTGCTGTTCTAGCCCCATAGTTCACTCTTCTTTGCAATAGAACTTCAATGCTTCATACCACCGTATCATCACTAGCATCCATGGTAAGTCCAGGTAGAATCTTTTCTTGATAGACACTCATAATGTGATGATTGATATTAATCCGATTGGGATTTAAGACACGCGGATAATCCACAATGGGTAGAATGGGTTCAGGTAAAAGATGAGGGAAGAAAGCATTCTCATCCGGAGATGTGTATCGACGTGTTAATGCGTGTAATTTCTCCGTCTCAAGCAGCATAAAGTCCAGTAAACTACCATCAAAGGTCGTATACTTGCCTCGAAGACCACCAAATGCTGCACTCTTACTATCATATCATATCATACAGTTTTAGTCATTTCAGTAATTAGTTGCTATAATAATACTAGTAGTAATAGTAATACTAATAGTAGGTAGTACTATTACTAGTAGTAGATAGTATTACTACTACTAATAGTCGTACTGGTAATAGTAGTAGTACAAGTGCTAGTAGTACGTTATATTATTTACATAAATGACCTACCTGTCTTTCATATTTACATAAACCTCTGGATTATGCGGAAATTGAGCACGTTCAATTAATGCAAAGATAATTGTTTCTTCTTGACTAGAAACAAAGAGCTTATAGGTTAGATCATTTAGGTTTTGATTGATTGATTGGTTGATCATTATTATTAATGTTACAATACAGACACAAATACAAAAACACTGTACCGGATAAGGACATTGCGAAAATCATCGAGCTTTACAGGCGCAAAAGAGCCTTTTGAAATGATATCGCGTGACATTTGGATACTGAGGGTGGTATGTAGCTTTTGAATTAATGGTCATGCAGTGAACGTTTACGGGTTTAGTGGTGATAATAAGAAAAAGACATGTGATTGGATAAAAAGATCATGAAAGGATGGATGTCATTAAATCAAGAGTTTTTCTACTGCTTCGAATGACTGACATGAAAACTCAGTAGCGACGCTGTTTCATCCTATTCCGTAGTAAGAAAACAATACGATGTCAATGTCATGCATCATCAATCTATCAATCAGTGGAAATAGATGATAGAAAAATCCCATTGCAACAGATGAAATTACCGGAATTTCTTGGCAGGAAAACCAGTTGGATCCTGACGAACAAACTCTGTCGTTTCATCCAACGACTCGGGGATACAAAGTCCACGCTCCACACGTTTCGTAAGCCAAGTGTGAAGAGCAGCCAGCTGTTCGTAGTTGCGCAACATATTGTTAATCTCTTCAGGAGACTGTCGTCACCAAAACACTTGCAGTTAGGAGCCGTACTACACCTGATCCACAACAAAAGATAGGAAACATGAGAGACCAGTACGTACATGACCAGCCTTTTCTGATATCTTTCTCTTCACCTTGCCATTGATAAGGCGAGGATTTTCACGGTACTCAGGCTGCAAAATGACAGGAAACACAAACGTCAGTATCAACAATCAAACAGCAACTGTGATGTCTGTACATCTGTCTTGCATACCTCCATGGACTCCAAGATAGTCATGGACGTCTTTATCTGTTGTACAGCAGTCTATACAGATATCAAAACACATACAGTAGTAGCATCACCATGTAAGGACGAGTCAAGAGGAGTTAAAGCGCAACATCTATAGTCTCACCATCGTCGACACGCCAGGGATCATGGATCGCCAACCACTTGCACCACTAGCCTCGGCATTTTTCTATCATACGATATAGTAAGTATTTGCATCCATTGTCCATTAGTTAGCCTAAAAGCCTCAATGATTACTTGTCAATTCTTCTTCTCTCCTTCCATTACCTTTAAATGCTCATAAAAGCTATTCAAATCAAACTTCTCCTGTTGTGAAAGATCAATCATCTGCTGCTTATATGACTCCTCTATATCAATCACCACCATACATTTATCAACATGATTCCAGACACTGCCGTATTCTTCTCCTTGCTACGGTCTTTACCCTGTTTAAGCTTATTGCGCTCCTCCAATTTGCCCGACACTGTCTTCTTGATATTGGAAAACACACCCATCGAGCGCTTTTGCATCTGCATCATCATGGGTTGATGCATAGATGCATCACGCACCACTGCTGTCACCTGTGGCGTCTGATGCTGCAGCTTCATCGCCAAGCGCATCACGTTCATTCGCATAGCACTCGCCATTAAAAATTGGTCTTTTTAGAACCAAATGTACATTTGACCAAATTATATTTGTGTGACACAAAAATGGAAAAGTCAAGTACGTGTTAAGTTCGATTTTCAAGCTAGTGAGTGGTGCAGTCTTTCAAGACTGAGCACATGCCATGTAGTTGAATGGACGCACGCACGCATGACGTACATAAAAGTAGGGCATGCGTCAAAGGAACAGATTAAGTAAATGTAAACTATACTATCTAAGCCATCGCGAGAATAAAAAATGATCTGCAGACTGCAGATGCGTGATTCCATGCTTAGCAAAGCAAGAGATACGTAGGCACGCAGGTAACGCAAAGCAACGCGGAGTCGGGAACGAGGGCTGGCCGCGAGCAGAGCGTTGAGTTCATCTCATCTCATGTTTTCGTTAAGCTACGACCCCCCACCAACTGTGTCTTCCCCGTGATCTTGAGTATTCTTTGTGTATTCCTTCCACCAAAGCAAAAGACGACCAAAGTACCAACAACACAAATAGCACGAGCCACAGCTCACCAACATCTCCTCCTCTACTTCCCGCCCCTCACCAAATCACGCATAACCAAACGAAGGAAACTGCAAGATGCGCGCGCAGGCTACAGGCCACTTAGCCCTGATGGGCTTCCAGCACAGCCAAAGCCTCCTGAATCTTAGCCTCCAGAGCCTCCGGACTCTCCAACAGATGCAGCAGCTCGCCGTTGTCCATCTCCAGCAGCATACCCGTGATCTTGCCAGCTAGCTCAGGCTGCTGGCGGTGGATGAGCGGATACAGACGCTCACCAATCATGTTCTTCTGAATCTCCGGTGAAGCTGCGGCCAGAGCAGCCGACGTTAGCGGTTCTGGACCAGCATTCTGTACGGGAGCGGGAGGCGGCATCACACCCTGAGGTGGCATGTCACGAGCCGGGTGATTGCGAGCGTTAGCCGTGTACTTGAAGTTGCGGCGATTAGCAGGTGCGCCCTGGGGTCCCTGCGGACCAGGTCCTTGGCGGCCACGACGCGGCTGGCCACGCTGCTGTTGCATGGGCATGCCATAACCAGGCATTGGGTAGCCACCCGGAGCTGGAGCACCAGGCACGCGGGCACCGTACGGGATCGGTCCACGCTGGACACCACGCGGCATCATCTGCTGCGGGTACATAAAGCCCTGGCGAGCCTGTGGCGGCATCTGACCAGGCTGCCCGTAAAACATTGGAGCAGCTCCGTACATGGGTGGCTGGCCCATCGGCATGCCGCGGCCCATTGCCATACCAGCACGCTGCTGAGCGTGCTGGGCCTCTAGCTGAGCACGACGCACCTCTTTCCGTTGAGCAAGAGCCACATAAACAGGTTTGCCAGAGATCAGCTTGCCGTTCATCTCGGCGACAGCTTTGTTCGCCTCTTCGGGAGTCGAAAAGCACACAAAGCCAAAACCGCGAGAATTTCCGTTAGGATCGCGCATCACACGCGACGATGTAATAACGCCGCATTCTGTAAAAGCCTCACGCAGCTCGTCGTCGCTTAGCTGGTCATCCAGGTTCTTTACGTACAAATTGACGCCCTGATATTTGTTAATGCGCTCAATCTTAAGCTGCTCAAACTTGTTGCGCAGCTCACGCTCACGCTCCGAGCGCTTCTGAGCCTTGCCAACGTAAATCTCCGTCTCCATACCCTCACCAGTCGGATACGCCTTGCCATTCAGAGCGTCCACGGCCCGGTGGGCGGCATCTGAGTCCTCATAATTTACAAAACCAAACCCACGGTTTTGGTCCGGGTTCGCATTGTCCTTCATCACAACAGCGCTAAGAACATTGCCAAACGGCTCAAACTCCTTAAATAGGTCAGCATCCGTCCACTGGGTGGGAATGTTCTTCACATAGCAATTGGTCCATTCGTCAATGTCCGGACGATCCTGACGCTTCTGAAAGTGGCCTACGAAAACCTCAGTGCCTGCAATAAGCATACCGTTGATCTTTGCAATAGCCTCCGTAGCGGCCTCTGCCGTCTCATAATGCACATAGCCGTATCCCTTGCTGTTGCCCGTCGTGTGATCAATTGCAACTTTGCAGCTGAGAATATTGCCAAACAAAGAGAATGTATCATACAGCGCCTTGTTATCAATGGACGTATCCAGATTCTTGACAAAAATATTGCCCACGCCTGACTTGCGCAGCGATGGGTCACGCTGCGACCACATAATACGACATGGCACGCCCTTAATGCTTGTAAAATTCATCGTGTCCAGTGCGCGCTCAGCGTCTGCTACATTGTGAAAGTTCACGTAAGCGTAGCCCAGCGAGCGACGGGTCACTGCGTCTCGGCACACACGAATACTGGCAACAGGTCCCACAGCATTAAAAATTTCAAATAGCAATGCCTCCGTCACGTCCGGATGAATGTCTCCGACATACAGCGAAGCCGTGTGGAACGGCTGCGCGGCGCCAGTCGCTGACGGAGCCGTTGAGGCCGAGGCCGTTGACATCGCCACGGCTGGAACGACATTGGTAGAGGCAGGAGAAGGGCTGTTGGTTGGGGAAGTCGAGGAGTTGGCCATGCTACAACATGAACAAGAGACAACACAAAAGTCAGTGATTGCACCCGATAGAAAAAGACGTGGAGTGTGATGAAAGTATCGATAGAGTGCCAAGATAGCAGACAAGATAGCTCAAGGGTCGAAATGCACTGGCATGGAGCAAAACAGGATGCAATTGCTACCTGTTGTTGAGCGGAGGAGGGGAAAAACCTTTTTTTTCTTTTTTTTATTGAAAGAGAGAGAAAGAGACTGGCATCATTGGTGGAGCACGACGGAGATTTTCATGGTTGAGAATAAGAATGATGGTAGGGTGAAGAACACTTTTAACGTCTGCTGATTGGACAGATTGTACAATATTTTGGGATAAACCCAAGTCAACAAGTCTAATTTGATGGTCAAATTCCTACAATCAATGTGTGTCGGCCTCCCAACCAGTCATCAAACTAGAGTTGTCGATTGGCTGAAAACGGAGTGGGATCATCTGTAGCAAATAGTGTAGCCATCTTATGCGAAAGGTCGTATTCAATCGATCATGGTGCTGGTGTCAATGAGATACTTGCCATTACCTGTAAGCTATGGGGACATTTTGTATGATCATGACGCACGGCGTTAGGTGCTGGTTGATCTATTGCACAAGCTCAAAATGCACCTTTGTAAGTTGGTCTGTGCTTGCTCTTTTGGTTACTAGGGGTCACTTTACGATGGAATGTGACGTGGGTCGCTAGAGACTACTCAATGACGCTATGCTAGTAGCTTTCGTGTTGTATCTATTGAGCACTCGTATTCATTCATCATTTTATCCTTATCAGCTACAATGCGACTTTCTTCATTGTTCATTTGCAGCAACAGAAAGCTACTACTGCAATTAGTAGCTGTCGAGCATACACTGATTGTGACCACTGCTAACGTCGCAATAGTTTTGCAGCAATGCTTAGACGTGCATTTGATTCTGTCTTGCGTTTAACTCTATGAGAAACAACCAGTATGTCTAGATTTATAGTTCATTTGTAGCCTATATGGACTCCTAGCACTTCAACAAGTCACAGTCAACAAGGTTTTGTCGTCACCGTAAGCACACGTCAGATCTGACTTTCAGCACTACCAGACGATAGAAATAGTATCAAGACAAAGACAAGCTCGTACATGAACGAGATGATCTTCCAATGTGAAAGGCATTAGCATGCTCAGTGAGCATGGACGTTTCGAGGTTTGAAATGCGTCAAATGTGATTGGTCGTTGTAGACTAGACACTTCGCATCTTCGTCATCTATGAGCACGATGGCAAAGCGTTTGTACGTATGGGGATCAGGTACGCATCTCAACACCTTCTCACTTGTAATACAGCACTACGTTTTGACTATAAAACACTTATATGCAGGTGGATCTGGACAGCTCGGAGTGGGAACAAAAGACGACTATACGCTTCCTCAATGTTGGAACAATAAAGAAGTATCCGTGCAAATTGAGTCCATCACGTCCGGTGGTTGCCATAGTGCAGGTTTGTTCATGTTGCGATAGTACTTGTCAACAACAACACCATTACATCACGTTGTTACATTTAGGAATACATCGCGATGGACGACTTTTCCTGTGGGGATCAGATGATCGAGGTCAGCTTGGACGCATTGCATCGGACCGAGGACAGAATGTCGTGCATGCACCCAGTCAGCACGTGGAATGCCTTCCACACGACAGTGTAAAGCTGCTAATAGTTGATTATGACCCAGATTGTGAATGCAAGCTTTGACTTCGTACGACCCATGCCTTCTTTGTGCAATAGAAAACAAGGCTAGTAGCTTGTGGGTGGTGGAATACACTTGCTGTTGTCTCGTCGATATTCAACGACAATCAAGGAGATCGGGTCTTTTCGTGGGGTTCAAATGATCACCACCAATTGGGCCGCAAGGAAAGCTCTGACAGGAATCAAGCTTTAGACTCGGCACAAATCGGGCATTTGCCTTCACGCTTGCAAGTTGCGAGTATTGCCTGTGGCTGGAAACATTCACTTCTCGCCACTGCTGAGGGCGATGTATTTGCATGGGGAAGTGGACGTCATGGTCAGCTTGCACTAGGAACTGATACTTTGGTGGCATACATCCCCCAACGCATTCATGCGTTAACGAACACAACTGTATCCAATGTTTTCTGTGGGTGGGAACACTCCGTCTTTCAGTCCTCTAAGGGAGAGGTATTTACTTGCGGCAATAATCGGCACGGACAACTAGGCGTGCAGGAGGTCTCCGTTTCTGCCACCATCAAGAACCCAAGTGAGAGACGAAAGCAGGTGAATGCATTACCCGTTCGGGTGCCAGCGCCAGGTAGCAGGAGTGAAGGTCTCCGCACGATGCAAATTAGCTGCGGTTGGCACTATGTTTTGTGCCTTACCGAGAGTGAAGAACTGGTGGCTTGGGGCAAAGGCAGTCACGGACAGCTGGGTCTTGGACAATTTGTAAACGCAAACAAGCCAACGAAAGTGGCGTTTTCTCACGCCATCCGACAGATTGCGTGCGGTAGTGAGCACTCAATGGTGGTTACACGAAATGGAGATCTGTACACATGTGGCTGGGGAGAACACGGCAATCTCGGTAAGTTTGACCTCGTTTTTGCTGGTGCCTATAGACAGATACTGACATCTTTACAGGTCATGGCGATAATACCAACCGTGCCACGTTGGACAAGGTAGCATTCTTTGAGAACACAAACCAAGAGGTCATCAGTGTTGTTGCCGGTGGGGCTGTCTCTCTTGCTGTTGCGAGTGCTAGACGTCCCTCCGAATCAACTTCAGCCGACAAACCGCTTCGTTGTTGTTAAAACACACGTCTATTTCATTGGTCGTCAAGCAATAGCTACACGATGTCTCCTCGCTTTCATTTTGTTTACAGACGTTTGATCTGCAGCTTAACCTGCTCCTTTTGTATGTCAATCATGCGCACTTGATGTTCCAGTTCGTCCTTTGCAGCACCTACAACGCTACAAATCTGCTTTTGCAATCGCTTCTGATTCATTCGCAACTGTGTGAGTTGCTGCTCCAGTTCTTCTTTCGACATAGAGTGACGTGCATTCGTCTTCATTTGCATGGACATCCCCGGCACAAGGAATGGCATCCAACAAGATGATCCAACACTTGAGTTCAGCATCGTTGGTGGAGCCATCACCGCCATCGTCTCCTCACTTGAAGGAGCTGGCATAGTCTGAAAAGCAGCTGAGCTGTCCTTCTGACGTACATCATTCATAGCTACAAGCTCGTTCGTTTCTTCCTGGACGCCCAACTTTTCGTCCACCTTTTTCTTGAGCTTCTCCACTAGAAACGATTCATCCTTACCACCAAAGTACGTGTACAAGCCATTGACTAGTACAACCGTAAAGACAATCCAATACATGCGCATAGGTAGTGACACGGGCTGATGCGAGCGATCACCCCAATCAGAGCCAATGACGCGAGCAAGAGTTGAGTCTAGCTCCGCCTCGTGTTTGTCAGCACCGTATCCCTTGGTCACACGTAGCATACCAGGCGTTGAAATACGAGACGAGACATTCATCGTTGACTCTACAGTAGTATCAGTAATAGCAGGAGAAGGAGGAGGAACAGGAGGAGGAGTGGACGATGTAGACTTGGCACTGGAGCTCCATCGACGCCCACGCACGCGATTACAGACCCGTCGATACATTCCTTTTCTACTACGAAAATATTACTTTGACGTAATATATCAATTCTGTATTAGTTTACAAAAATATTACTTTAGTGTAATATATCAATTCTGTATTAGTTTTTAAAAGACAAGTCAGGACGCAATGACACCATGGTCGTCACGGGAAGTGTGGTAATACCGGTATGTTTATCAGTACGTAGTTACTCGTATTTGACACCCAAACTTGCTAGTGTTACAACATTCAAAGTCATGGGGGACACGCCAAATAGGTCCTCACTTGAGCGTTCTAATGACGTAATTATAATGCAGACGGATATGATTCCATTCAAACCAAAGAGATCATTAAAACCCTCGGTACCTGTTCGTGCACTTCCAGCTCCATCACAATTTAATCGCTTGGATGAAACGGATTTAAAGGATGCCATGGCATTAGGATTGCTGCTTAAGGACTTGCCCGTGAATCATGATGCGTCAGCACCAGAATATGGTGTCGTATATGAGAAGAATGGAGGTAATCGTGATTCAGGATGTGGTGCTTTTACATTCAGTAGTCAACGCTTACTACAAGAACGATGCAAGGAGTTTGCTATGCGTCGTGGCTTCCAATTGTTCGTGTCTGGTAGCAGTACGCGGCCCAATGGTGGTGGTAATGTCAAGTATCGATGCAAGAAGCTTCATGATCAACAATTCTTTGACTCGAGTACACCAGTCAGTGAACTGCACTGTCCCTTTTACATTAATGGCTACGGCAAGGACCAGCATTGGAAAATCACACAGGCCTGCTTCTTGCACAACCACTACAAATTCATTGGCTGGCGGTCGGCACTAGCGTCAAAGTCAAAGTCGAGATCAGTATTGGGGATAAATGGGTCTCGTATACCACCACCATCCATTGCCACTACAGTCGATCCAGAGATGCCCATTGCCGTAGCAAAAACTGCTGTTGTTATGTTGGAAAACCAAGAGAATGCTCCACTGCAGCTGCCAGTACTATCAGTCGAGCAGGAAGCGCTAGCTGCAAAAGATACGGAGATAGCTACATCTATGCAGTCGCAGCAAGTAAAAGCTCAACGGAATACAACAATGTCCATGAAAGCATTTTGTCGGGTGGTGGTAGACGAGGTGAACAACTATCCGGCATCCAACTTATTGATGTCTAAATTGGACGGGAAGATGATCCGACGCATTTTGCTTCGCCAGGGTTACACTATCAACCACATGATGTCTTCCCGAATCAAAAGACACCTTCAAGACGAGAGAATCACGAAAGTGCGGACTTCATTCCAGAAGTTGCGTGAGTATTTAAGAGTAGTTTCGGAAAAGAACCCGGGGTCATTGTTTCGGTTTGAGAAGAGGGACGATGGTGCGTTCTCACGCGTGCTATTCATTCCAAATGCAATGCTGAATGCCGTCAAATATTGTCGCAAAATTGTGTCCCTAGATCATATCACACAAGGCGACGAGCTATCCGAAACACCTTTGGGGAAACTAGACTATGATGAAAATGACGACATGATTTGCGGGGTCTACCTCAAGGCTTCTATCAAGGATTTCAACGACGAAGTCATCACTTTTGCGCTTGCACTTGTGGCGGAAGAGAACAAACTTGCTTGGGAGTGGTTCCTGCACGGACTACAATGTACAGAAGTGACGGATTGGAATGAGTACACTGTGATTGCAGGGCGTGCCCGTGGATTGCAGACAGCTATTCAGACTGTATGGCCTGGAGCAAGCCTCCACTTTTGTATGCGCCGCGTTGTTGAAGACGAGCTTATGGTGATCAAAAAGATCCCCATGACGCCCGATAAAAAGCAAAGCATTTTTGACCTAGCGCGCAGCGACAGCGAAACCAAATTTAATACACTGCGCGAAGCTTTAGTTCACACGAACGAGGCAGCTGTGGCGTACTTGGACGAATTGGACCGCAAACACTGGGTGAAATACGCTTTCCTTGCGGCATTTCAGCGACCAACATTTAATGAGCTTACTTCCGATCTCTCTATGGCATTGGGAAGCGGCGAGCTTTTTTCACAGCACGCAAGCACAAGTCATACGAAATGGTTCGGTGAAGATCCCGTTTGTAGCTCTCAACCTCTCGAAACGTATTGCCAGTATTTTATGAAGATTGCTGAAAACTTTCACCAGCGTCGTCAATCGGTGAAGCTACGACCAGCACACGAACTTGTCCCACTGCGAGAAATGCAGTTACAGCAGATTCTGCAAGGCAGTCAGCGCTGCGAGGTAATATGGTGTGGTTATGGTGATGTGTATTGAAGACGTCTCGATGCTCACTTATTTGAGTGTACGCTTTGTAGTCAATTCCTTGTGCAAACGGACTTTACATGGTACGCTATCTAGGTCCAACGCGACTAGATATCCCAGATAGTTGGCGTCACGTGGATCTTGCTCAATGGGAATGCACGTGTCAAGATTGGCAAGATCAGCACTTTCCGTGCTTGCATGCGATACACGCTGCAGAGTTAGATCAGCGCCGCATTGATTCGCTCTACGACACCAAGCAAAACTCAATCGAGACTTATCTGAACTGCTACGCAACTTCGTTCACGCCCTGGCCAATGGATGCATCTCCAATTGAACCTGATGTATCAATAAAGACACCTCTTGACCTTTTCTTCTCAGAGGTTGGTTCTGGTCGACGAAAGCCTGGTCCGCGTCCAAAGAATCGAAAAAAACAAGTATTATATCAATTCTGACAAGGTATTGACACAGGATATCAGTGAGGATATCGTTGAGTGAAGCAACAAACTGCAAGCAATATGAGAATTGAATGTCAATCAATTTAGTGCTCCAAGTATTTAATCACATACATAACCTTTAGCCACGATCACGTACCGATACAATCGATTATAATCATAAAATCATCGTAGCAAACCGAAAAGAAAAGGTGTTTTTACCGGACATAAAACTGGTCTATACAATGGTATGAAATGGCCGGAGAGGTAAGATCTTATCAGGTTTAAAACGTCTACACAATAACAGATACCAAGTACGTGTATGTATATTATGTATGTATGTAATGTATGCAATTCAATAGATACTAGTAGTTTAGATAAGTCCACTCAATCATAACGTCATGCTAACACATGATCACGGGCATGGCATATCCATCGACGATATTGATGCAGTAGACGCCGTTGAGTCAGCACTACACTCACTCAGACTCCTCTTCTTTCGCGGCATACTCGCCACCTCCTTTGCTAATGCAATGTGATTGCTTCTCTTGAGTTCCTCGATTCGACTCTTCATACTCTTAATCTGTTCCAACCATCGTTCATTCTTCTTAAAATCAAGCAGACGAGACTCCGAGCTCTCAATCCAAGCAACAAAAGCACCGTAGTACGCAGCAGGAGAATGCACTCGGTTAGAAACAGCGACCGGCGGTGATACGACTACTGGCTCATTCGCGTCCTTTGAGCTAGAAGAAGACACGCGAGTGCGAAATGCATCGGCTACAGTAGGTTCCCTCTTTAAACAGACAGCTAAATGGAACTCGCGTGATTTTTTGGCTGCGGGATCTTGCTCACAAAGTTCGGTAGTTCACGCGACTGAGATAGTCTAGTGCCTTTGCTCACTGTCGGTCGAGTACTTGACTCCTGACATCTGATACTCGACTGGATGTGTTTCTGCTGTACCTCCATCTTCTCCATCTGTACCTCCATCTTCTTAGGTTGTTGGAACTCCTTGATCACGACAGACTTGTGATGACGGACACTCTTGGTCACAACAGGATCTTTAGGCTGTTTCAGTCATCGTAGTACGTAGCCAATCAAAGAACGTTACTGCGGCAGGTAACGATGATTCCAGTAATTGTTTCGATGTATCCACCCTTGCCGAAACGGCCATGGTTTCAAACATCTTAACAAGACTTTGCACAGTCATCACTGAAGTAGACTTAGAAATGAACTGAGCTTGATAGTAAAACTATTTTCGACGTACGTGAAGACGACACGACGAGAGCTTTTTGAAAAATGAAAGTCAGTCCCTCGAATGTTTTTGGATGATAGCGTCAATGGATGGAATGACGCGCTTGTCTGTTTTCTTTTCAAAACATTTTGGCGCCAATCTTCATGGAATGATTCGATTGGGTACAAGACAGACAGAAGAGACAGACAGACAGAAGCGACAGATAGAAGAGACACAGAGACACAAAAGCGACTTAGTTTCGTTAACATGAGGTTTCTTGATATAATAGTATTCTCTCCTTCATTTGTTCTTTTTTTATTTTTTCCATATATACATGATCATGATTGATTAAACGTAATATAGAATATGTCTCATTGTATGTACTGACTACGTTGATAAAGTGATGGACTAACTATGAGTCAGTCACAACCGCGCCGGGAGTAATTCAGGGTATCCCGCTGAGTCTAAAACGGGTAAGGAAGTGCCCATTTGTCTGCTTCTGGGGAGCCCAGGGATCCACTAGAAATTTCAAGGGGGTATCCCTCAGCTTGGGGTTCAATCAGAAGCTCCACACAGACCATACGTACTTACAGCAAAGAACACAGTCGGTTCTATCTACTCTGAGTAACGTGTATACGAAATTGTCATGAGCAACGAATGGTGTACATCGTGGTCACGGACAATCATCACGCAAGAATACCACTTTCAATATGTTGCTACCAAATACTATGAAAGACCTTCTACTTGGCTTTGCACTCGTGTTTTCAAGTGGTATGTTAAGTATGGTTTCTTAGTATGTATCAGTTCACTTCACTATCATTTTTCGTCTAGAACAGACTATCGTAACAACCCAAGCAATATTCACTTCACAGATCGAGTGTACGAAGTTTTGACGATCTTCGATGGATGAAGACTCATGAATCGGTGCTTGAATCTAGAGCGTTTCCAGTAGCTCCTAACATGGTAAGAAGAAATACAAATGTAGTTATGGAGCTCGAATGATTAATGCAAGCTTTACTTCGTTTGTAGGAATGTAGCCATTTAGCACTCTACCATATAGCCTAGAGCAGTACACTAGTGCTCATGTTGCCGGCACTCTTGCCTATACTGATAGTAAATGGGGCACAAAGAGGGTTCGTGATGTTCTTGTACAGGTTGCACCACGTGTCTGGCTTGATTGCCACGACTTATTTGCTGTCCTCGACGATCCTGTTTAGACCATATCCTATTTGCGGTTTGTAGATGCCCCAATCCTCCACCGACAGTAAGAATGTCACGTTTATGGTACAACCCGGTTGCAACTCGATCTTCTTGAACCTCTTCAGTAGCTTTATCTCTGGCACCAAGGTTTTGCGGAACGGAAGGATGAGAAACAGCACGACTGTCTCCTTGCCAACATACGAGCCGACGTTCGTCACGGTGACTGGCCGTGAGCGTGTCATCCGCGTTGATGATGGTTGTCTTATCCAGCGAAACCGAGGAGTAGTTGAACTTGGTGTAGCTGAAACTGGCACCGAATTCCCATCGCATCGCGCAGTTGTCCCACAAACAGCGCGTCGAGACAAGATGATTGTACGGGATCTCAGTGTTGGTCGGATCCTTTGGGTACGTGATCGGCAGCTTGCCACTGCAAATGGGATTCTGCGATTGCCTGCCCGTTGCGCTCACACGGAAGCATGCCGTTAATGATAGCAACAACATTGGAAGGGATTGAACCAAGCAGACGTGGACGACTCCCAATCAGCACCACAATCACTTTGGTAAAAAAAAAGAACAAATGAAGGAGAGAATACTATTATATCAAGAAACCTCATGTTAACGAAACTAAGTCGCTTTTGTGTCTCTGTGTCTCTTCTATCTGTCGCTTCTGTCTGTCTGTCTCTTCTGTCTGTCTTGTACCCAATCGAATCATTCCATGAAGATTGGCGCCAAAATGTTTTGAAAAGAAAACAGACAAGCGCGTCATTCCATCCATTGACGCTATCATCCAAAAACATTCGAGGGACTGACTTTCATTTTTCAAAAAGCTCTCGTCGTGTCGTCTTCACGTACGTCGAAAATAGTTTTTCTATCAAGCTCAGTTCATTTCTAAGTCTACTTCAGTGATGACTGTGCAAAGTCTTGTTAAGATGTTTGAAACCATGGCCGTTTCGGCAAGGGTGGATACATCGAAACAATTACTGGAATCATCGTTACCTGCCGCAGTAACGTTCTTTGATTGGCTACGTACTACGATGGACTGAAACAGCCTGAAGATCCTATTGTGACCAAGAGTGTCCGTCATGACAAGTCTGTCGTGATCAAGGAGTTTCAACAACCTAAGAAGATGGAGGTACAGATGGAGAAGATGGAGGTACAGCAGAAACACATCCAGTCGAGTATCAGATGTCAGGAGTCAAGTACTCGACCGACAGTGAGCAAAGGCACTAGACTATCTCAGTCGCGTGAACTACCGAACTTTGTGAGCAAGATCCCGCAGCCAAAAAATCACGCGAGTTCCATTTAGCTGTCTGTTTAAAGAGGGAACCTACTGTAGCCGATGCATTTCGCACTCGCGTGTCTTCTTCTAGCTCAAAGGACGCGAATGAGCCAGTAGTCGTATCACCGCCGGTCGCTGTTTCTAACCGAGTGCATTCTCCTGCTGCGTACTACGGTGCTTTTGTTGCTTGGATTGAGAGCTCGGAGTCTCGTCTGCTTGATTTTAAGAAGAATGAACGATGGTTGGAACAGATTAAGAGTATGAAGAGTCGAATCGAGGAACTCAAGAGAAGCAATCACATTGCATTAGCAAAGGAGGTGGCGAGTATGCCGCGAAAGAAGAGGAGTCTGAGTGAGTGTAGTGCTGACTCAACGGCGTCTACTGCATCAATATCGTCGATGGATATGCCATGCCCGTGATCATGTGTTAGCATGACGTTATGATTGAGTGGACTTATCTAAACTATTAGTATCTATTGAACTGCATACATTACATACATACATATAATACATACATAAATATATGCATTACTTACATACAATACACACAGTACATAACACGTTCCACGTGTTGTCGACATGAATCTAATGTAAACCTTGTGTACATTCTGATTATGTTGTTAACTATTCTACCAAGTTTATGTGTTGTACACATAAATATGCATGTGTCTGAAGTAATCAAGTAACTCGATGAAGTAAAACAATCGATATCAAAAACTAAGCTCATAATAGCATGGAGCTCCAAGTTGGTGCTCAAGTCACGTTTGGTGCTGGGAAGACCGGTATTGTACGATTTATAGGAGAGACAGAATTTGCAAGTGGTGAATGGGTTGGTATTGAATTAGAAAAACCTGAAGGAAAGAATAATGGAGAGCTCAATGGCCGTGTTTACTTTACTTGTGAGCCTAATTACGGTCTCTTTGTAAAGAAATCAATGGTTCGCTCGGTCTTATCATCACCTTCTACTGTATCTAAGACACCTCAGAGTCACCGATTGTCTGTATCTAGTACGCAAGCGTCGAACATGAGCAAATCGTCAATTATAGCGCCTGGTTTGGGCTTCAATAGCTCCCGACTTGCAGCTCCTAAGTCACGAACGTCTTTGACTACAACAAGCAGTCGGAACAGTCTTTCGACTACTTCATCTGGTACTTCAAGGCTTTCGATTGACAGACGAACGTCTACGGGTGGTGCAATGGTGGGGAGTGGTGCAATGGCGGACAATCAGTTGATGGAGGCACGAGCGAAAATTTCACGGCTAGAAGAAGAATTGGAGCAGAAAAGCAGACATGTAGAGCAGTTGAGGCAGAGTGTTGCCGTAATGAAAGAGGCAGCTACAGCTAACAGTGATAAGCTCAAGTTACAAGGACAGGAAGAGGAAAAGCAAAAGCAAATGGATGACGTGGTTGTTAAATCCAAACAAGTGGATACTGATGGAGACGAAAAGATGGAGGAGTTTGTGGATATGGAGGAAGAGAGGGTGCTGCTGCAGGAAGACTTGGCGCAGAAAATCAGGATTATCCGAGAAGAAGCGGAGGAACACGTGCGATCGGTGCGTTCCGAGCTAGAAGACCACATTATGGAGCGGCAGCATGAACACGAAAAGCAGCTAAATGAATTGCAACTTGAGAATGCGATACAGGCGTCGGAGGTGAAGGCATTGGAGGCGGAAGTTGCACAGCAGAAGTTGCGCATTGCGGCATTCACGGCGGCCGAGCAAAAGAAAGCGGAGGAGGTTGCTATGGCTGTGGCCAAGTCAAGCTCAGGTGCTCGTAAGGTAGAGACACTTGAAAAACAGGTGGCTGAGCTCCAGGACGTGATCGAGACGATGACTTTGGAGAAAGAGACTGTTGAGATGGATAAGGAAATCGCGCAGGAGCATGCTGAGGAATTGCAGCAAGAGGTGAAAAGGCTTAAAACTGCAATGGCGCTATCAGCGAGTACAGAGCGTGATTGCTCGGAAGGATCGTTGGCTGATGCTGGGGACTTGGCAAGTGAAAACAATAAGCTTCGGGCTGCTGTAAAGATGTTGCATGAGCGTGGGTCTGAGGAAAAGGCTGAACTTAGCAAGAAGCTGCGTCAGGCTCAACGTGAGAATGCTGAACTCGTAACGCTGAGGGAGGAGGTAGAAGAACTGGTACGTGACAGTGGTTGTGCTTGCATTGATACTAAGTTGTACTGACATGATATTATGCTACGTTGTATGCAAAAGACGGCAAAAAAAAAACAAGCTGGAACGCGAAGCAGAGGAACTGAAAGAAATGCTGGACATTGCGAATGCCTACGAGACAATGGTAGAAGATCTTACCGAAAAAAATCTAACACTCGGTGAGAAACTCGCAGAGTTAGAGACAACGGTGCAGTCACTTGAGTCGTTGCGCGAGATGGACCAGGAAATGGAACATCAACACACGGAGTATGAAGCAGAGCTAAGGGACGAAATTGACTCGCAGCGTGCAACACTACAGGAATTGAAACAGGCGGCATTGGACCAGAAGACCGTACTTGAGGATAAGGAGCGCACAATTGCTCGCTTCCGCGACCTTGCACGCAGTCACCGAGAAGAGATTGCGCAACTGAAGGCAAAGCTTCGTGCCGAGAGCGGTGCTGTAGAGTCGCTGAAGGATACGGCACATCTAGCGCTTAACCAAACCATGGGGCTGCGCGCCCTGGTAGCATCTGCACGTGAGCATGAAATCGAGGCAGCCAAGCAGAAGATAATTGCTGACCAGGCAAGGTTGGAGAATTCGTTTTTGCGTGCTGTGGTACCCAGCTCAATTTTCTCCGAAACCGACCAAAAGGTACTGCGCGTCCGGTTGACGCTTGGACGTATCAGCGGTAAGTCTGATATTTTGTTGCAGCACTTGAAGAAGGATCTGGACACCGTTGCACATCAGCAACCTTCTGGTGGTCAACGGGAAAATGAAAAGGATGAGGGTGGGCTGATTACGACAGTCAGTGTCGAGCGATTAGTTTTGGGCGACAAGCTTGCGGCGGTCTCGTGTCAAGCAAAGGAGGATCTTTATATGCTTGAGTGTCACTTGACTACGGAAGACGAATTTTTTCAGGGTTGCTTAGCGCTCGACACTGTGCAGACTGCGGCGCTGGAGAATGTGTTGGACTCAGCACTGACGGCGTTTTCCGAGGGTGCATTGCTGAACAGTGCTCGCAGCGGCAGCGACGCTGCGTCGTTATATGACCGCCTGGTTGAAGCTTCGGAGGAATGGCACAATGCCCGAATCCTCCAGGCTTCGTCAGCTTTGGGTGCTGAGAGCTTTGGCGCTCGTTGTGCTGTATTGAAGTTGCGTGCGAGAAAAAGCGTGGCTGAGCTGGCGTTCTCAATCTCGTCGATGGTGACATTCTTGCGTACTACAAAGAGTCTGCTGGCAAGTGCAGAAATGTCTGATGATGAATACACTGCTGCGCTGCGCACAGATTTGATGCCGGTTCTGGATACGTGCCTGGGAGAGCTACTATCGCTACTTAATGTGGCACATTTGTTCTACCGTCGTGCTGAGATCGATTTAGCGCCTTCGGACGATGACCTTGACGGACTTGTGGCGGCGGGTGGTGACGCAATTACTTCCATCCAGAGTTTTGCTATGGAGGCACAAGCTTTATCAGCTACGCTGCAATCGCATCTTGGCCGAGACAGTCTATTGGAGCATGCCGCTTTGGCAGAAGAGCTAGTGCAGTTCATGCAGCAGGCTGTGTATGACCACACAGTAGCGTTCAAGGAGAAACTGGCATTGCTGTACAAACTGGTGTGTCGTGGTGCTTTCACTGATGCGGTGGCTCCTCGTATGCGCAACGAGAACACAGATAATATTAACGGGCGGCCGCAGTGGCGAATCCGTGCGCAAGCCATCCATCAACAGTTGGTGGATGCGTCAACACTTCAGAGTAACCTGACTCAAATGACTGAGCTGTGCAATGCGCTGCACCAGCGTATTCGTGAATTCGAGCGTGCAGACAGCCAACACCGCGTGGTGGCCCAGAAATTGGAAAGCCAAGTGCTTCAATTGACTGAAAGCGTAAATGCGATGACGAGTGAGAAGGCGCATCTAGAAGCGCAGCTCTCAAAAGAACGCGAGCAGTTCATTGTAGCGCTTGACGAATCCAACAAGGAAAAGACGCTATTAAGCTCTTTGAACCGAGATCTGCGGAAGCAACTGAAGCGTATGAGTGACACTGACAGCAGTATGAAGGGCAGTGGTGGCGTTAGTGGAGCCGCAAAGGGATCGGCGATGAGTGCAGCAGATGCTGAAGCCTTTCAGCGTGCGTTTCATCAAGTGTACACTGAGTTGCAGACTGTACGGTCCACTCTTGCCAAGGAGCGGTTGGAAAAGCTGCTTGGATCGAGTACTGAATTAAAGACGCGTATTTTACCGCCGAAGAAATCGGATCGGTTAGCAAACTCACTCGTACAGGTGGCTAAATTCTCGCGGCAGGTGAAGGCTCAACTGTCGATGCCGCGTATAGTGGATTTGAAGCAATCCGCATCGCTCGCTGGTGCGTCTGCACACGATCAGCTTATGGTTGAGAAATTACAGCAGTCGCGTGTGCAGCGAGACCTGGTAGCCCTTCGTGAACGCGTTGGTGCGACGATGCGCGAGGATGGCTGGGACCATGATGTGACGAACGCTATTGCTCGTGGCGAGAGCGTGTTTGGCTGGCAACCGCCAGAGACCGAGCGTCCACCCGTGCTTCTGGGACGCGTGAAGCTTGGCAACAGTTCTGCAAACAACTCACAACACGTGCAGCTTGTTTTAAATCGATCTGAAGTGAAGCAATTATCACAAACTTTGATGTGCTGAGTGCAACTAAAAGGAAGGCAAGCAATGAGACGGACGTGAGAAGTGCTGCCTATGCATGATTCTGCGCACATGAGTTGAAATTGAAAGACATTTGATCACGAAGATGTGGAACCAAACCCCGAGTGATCATCAATGACATGCTTCACGAATGTTACCCGTGGGTATTACTGATACCATAACGAGTTCTCGTCCGACGTAGCAGATCATCAGATGATGGAAGGGTCAAGCTCAAATATTTCTGAACATTTCAGTCGGGTTCGACCTAGGCGTTTTGCATTTGATAATGCTCATAGTAGTTTTTCAGTGGCAAAAAAGACGTAATGGAATGCTAACTTGAAAATGTAACGCAGGAATGTTGAATGTCAATGAAATGTCTAAATTTGACTCTTATGGTGGCATGATAAGTTAAATTTGTGAAAGGCATATTACATTCGAAAGTATCCGATTATTCGCTTGCGTATGTGCAAATCGCATGATTTATCGGACACAAATTCTTTATTTCTTGACGTTTGACAAATATCAAGTAAGAAATTTTTCACCTGAAAATTTCGTTTCAGTCTCGTTTTGCGCAGAGGACAAAAATGGGTGCAGCTGAAAGTTCGGAACGCCATTGGGACGGCTCCATGATGCCGTCTCAAAAGGGAAAGCTAGTAATTATCACTGGTGCAAATTCAGGCATTGGGTTTGAAGCAGCAAAAGCACTGGCAAAGCATGGAGCCCATGTGGTTCTCGCTTACCGCAACGAAAGCCGTAGACGAGACGCTGAGAAAGTGATTACGGAAGAACTTGTGCACGTTCCTCGTGATGTTGTTGGGTCTGTGGAATTTATGAAACTTGATGTTAGTGATCCGTCCAGTGTCAACAAATTTGCACGTCAATGTCATGAAAAGTTTGATCACCTTGATCTCCTGATTAACAATGCTGGGCTGTCTGTACCTGATCAGCGTCTTACATCTAATGGCGTGGAAATACAGTTTGCAGTGAATCATTTGGGACATTTTTACTTGACAAGTAAACTGCTTGACTTGCTGCGCTGTTCAAAGTCTCAAGCTCGTGTGGTTAATGTGAGTAGCCTTACTCATTACCTTGCGTGGCTGTTCCTGAACTTTTCGTCGCTAGGACGCACGGGCGGTGGCTTTAGCGGCTATTCGACATCAAAATTGTCCAATCTACTTTTTACCTATGAGCTACAGCGTCGTCTACACTCTAAACAAGTGGAGAATGTGATATCGGTGGCCGCACACCCGGGTATTGCTTACACTAACATTTGGCAACGCCATTTTGAGACCGGGTATCCACATTGGCTGGCCAAGACCGTGTTGTGGCTGGTGTCATGGATGCCGATAATGTCGCCTGAAATGGGTGCACTTCCTATTTTGTATGCTGCAACCATGAAGAACGTCAAGGGTGGAGAGTACTATGGCCCTAACGGCTTGTTGCACGTGAGAGGCTACCCTACACTAGAGACTGGTGCGAAATCAAGCCACTCTCTAGAAAATGCAAGCGCCCTCTGGACGCTTAGCGAGACCATCTTGGGTGAGAAGTTTGAACTGTAAGCGGTGTGTAAGACAATGCAAGACATTGGGTCAGCTTTGTCTAATGTGCGCAAAAGTACTGAGAAAAGTAGTGTTAATTGATTGAATGGGTACTACTGACTTAAGATGGCTTATTTTTACTGAATATACCTACCCTGAGTCACATTTCTTCCAATCATAGCTCAAACTCGACGTCATCCAGTGAAAAGCTCCATTACGGACGCATTGTCATCTCTACTTGCTCTTGTTGCTCCTGTTGCTCCTGTTGCTCCTGTTGTTGTTGTTGTTGTTGTTGTTCTTACTCGTGCCATGAAGGTCAAGACCATTTCCCGTATTGAGAAAGCCTTTACACAAGAAGTACAATCTGACAAGCTCAAGGTTTTTCGCAATTATGATCCAGTCCTGCATCCATTCGAACGTCCACGAGAGTACACACGAGCTCTGAATGCCGTGAAATTGGAGCGACTATTTGCAAAACCATTCATTGGGGCTCTGGACGGCCACTGTGACGGTGTGACAGCACTGGCAACGAATCCCAAGAGTCTTGTGGCATTCGTGAGTGGTGCTGCAGATGGTGAAGTACGTGTGTGGGACTTGCCTCGACGTAAATGCGTCTGGAACGTCTATGGTCATCGTGGCTTTGTTTGTGGTCTGGCTGTGACCCCAGATGGCAGCACTTTCTACTCGTGCAGTGAGGACAAAACAGTGAAGCAGTGGGCCCTGCGTATAAAGGAGGAAGATGAGGATGCGCCGACTGCATTGGCCACTTTTACTTCCAAAGAGCCATTCCTGTATGTACAATGCATGCATATGGAGGGTACAGTATGAAAGGGCTGATAGAACTCTGTGCATGTTTTCGTGACATTGTTGTAGTGGTATTGACCACCATTGGTCTCAGAATATGTTTGCAACGTGCAGCTCCAAGGTACAGGTGTGGGACCCATCCCGTTCAACGCCTACACACGAGTTTGCGTGGGGTGCGGACTCGATTAACTCGGTGCATTATAACCCGGCAGAAGCGTCGTTGCTGGCTTCTACAGGATCTGATCGCAATATCACTTTGTACGACATTCGAATGGCGTCCTCTATGCGTAAGATCATTATGGAAATGCGGTCCAACGCGCTGGCATGGAACCCCATGGAACCCATGAACTTTACAGTCGTAAGTGTTTTCTCTGCACGATAGCTATACTTTGCAATCCTTTTTGCCTGGGCTATTTTATAGGCACTAACTTAGCACTGGAACCTATCTACTCGATGACTGTTGCTAGGCCAACGAGGATCACAATTTGTACACCTTTGATATGCGCAAGATGAACCGCGCAATGATGGCGCATAAGGACCACGTATCGGCAGTGTACGTCAGTTGAGTCGAGTTTTGACACTAGCTAACATAGTATGGGTGTCTTACTGTTACGAGCTGCTTGCATGTGCTTTCACAGTATGGACGTGGCGTACTCTCCGACGGGTCGGGAGTTTGTGGCAGGCTCATATGACCGGACCGTCCGCATTTTTAACGTGCGCTCAGCGAAGAGCCGCGAGGTTTACCACACCCAGCGGATGCAACGGTATGTTGGGTCACGTAACTTCCTAATTTGCGATAAGTCGTGCATGAGGAAGCTCCCGCCGCCTCAACGTGACAAAATATTACCGGCATAACGCCGTTTTACTGTCGGTCTGACATGGACATTTGCTTTAATGGGGCGGCGTGGAAACGCTTAGTTGCACGCAACTCCTATCAGAAAACCGCTTTCTTATTCGATTTGACACGTTTCGATGTTTGCTTATTCTTGTGCGATTACATATCACAGCATTTTTTCCGTCAAGTTCAGTGCCGACTCCAACTTTATTCTATCCGGAAGTGACGACACTAACATTCGTATTTGGAAAGCAGAAGCCTCGAAGAAGCTATCAAAGGTACGTCTGTTTGATACCTTTACCACTTCTGTGGACGGCCATATATGGTCGTTTTGAGATATAGTTCTGAAGTTGCTGACGTATGTTGTACGGTTTCGATGCTACCATCTTGTGTTGTTTTGTGATTGACTAGGTTGCTCCCCGTGAACGTCGCAAGATGGAGTACAATGAGTCACTTAAGGAGCGCTATCAACACCTTCGTGAAATTAGTCGTATCTCAAGGTACGTTATGACTGAAAAGGATTGCTATTGAGATTGCTCACATCCGAATTGCACCGGTGTAATCCCACTGACGCTTGGCGTGTTGCGTCTTCTGCTCTGTTAAATGATATTGTTGAACCACAGGCATCGTCACGTCCCTAAAGCTATCAAAAAGGCCGCACAGGCCAAGCGCGAGACAGGTGCGCGCGAGAAACAGAAGATGGCAAACCGCCGCGCCCATGCCAAAGAGGGAGCCGTACCTCACACCAACATTCGAGAAAAGGTTGTCGTCAAAGAAATGGAGTAGAATATTGCTGGCAGATGAGCTCTATCTCGGGCGGGCATTATCAGACTAGGGCAGTTGAGTCGACTCTAGATAGGTGGAGCTGCCGTTTTATTTGGCCTTTGGTGGCGATAGAATCTGGTGGTGCATGCAAGCTTGTTTTTTTGCTTTGCGTTGATTGTACGTTGCTAATGTGCTTGACGAACGTTCGCGGCCACTGCTGCGGTGTATATACACTAGATATATCACATATAGCCGTGCGTAATGAGCAAGAACAAGTCTGAATTGTTTGATAATCATGAGTGGAATTCAAGGATTGTGTAGGTGGCGTGCTTGCCATCAGATCGCCCTTCTCGACGTGGGATATCTCTTCCGCACGGTCTGTCTCGACTTAATGCTGGCGTGCTAGTGTCGTGGTGGGTGGAGTCCGCGCACAGTGCTGTCTTTGAGCACACTGAGCAGTATGTCGTCTAAGTTCGCGGCTGCCATTCGTATGACCGTTCCAACGAGTGATTACAAGCGCGCACTCGTCAGAGATACGATGCTCTGTAGCAACATTTGGCTGCTAGCACTGGTAGACGTGGCGGTTTGTCGAACGACATAATCTTTCGTGGCAAGATTGAGCAATTAGCATCTTTTCTGCGATATATAACATGTCTGACATTAAACGACACGAGCATGACTGTTGTGCTCCATGTACAAGTCTTGGTAGATTTGCGCTCTTTATTTCTGGACACGAATATGAGTCTCTTGAACTTGATTGAAGCAGCAAAACTTTCTCTTGTTCCCGTTCGCATTCACCGCTGTATCCGCTTGAAGTTTCAAAGCTTCTCCTAGCAGTACGTCAAGCTTCCAAAACATACCCATGTCATTGATTTTGAACGTCGATTACCACAAACAGAGGTGGCCATCAGTTTTCGATAATGTATGCACATGGAGAATGCTTTGTTTTCACCACGACAAGCTACCATATAGATATAGATATATGTACATGAATCTATCTGTTGTATGCATGCATGCATAAAGTTTACCATAGTGATATGATATTTCATTGGATTGGATTTTTAAGCACCAGCTGCTGCTGCTGGAAGAAAAAAAGCACGTCAAGCTTAACACCTTTTTCACGTAACATCTGCCTCTCCACTTGTTGCCTTTTGGCACAGAAGAGGCAACTTTCTCTGTTCCGGTTTTGTACTTGGCGACAGACAGGCCATACGCAGCCGACTGACCATCATTCCTGTTACCACCCCCTCTCTCTCCTCTCTCCCCCCCCGCGGCTCACAGCATGGTCTCACAACCAAAACCACCTTAAACCCCGTAAGTTAAATATTAACCGCGCATTTGAAGAGCCATAAGATAATAGAGAGAGATTCAGTATAGGAGACAATAATAACACCACCACCACCAACTGAACTGATTCAATGAAGCCTAAGGCGTATATTAATGATGCTAAGACAGCACTGGAATTAGCTGAGTCCAGTGAATGGAGTGCATTACACCGTCTTGTTACCGCACAAGCCGAGCGCGCTGATGACATGGATGACTTTGGTATGATGCCATTGCACTGGGCTTGTACGGATACACATGTACCTTTGCGTGTCGTAAAGAAGTTAGTAGACGTAGCTCCGTCTGCTTTAAGCCACAAGAATAAGGGTGGTTTGTTACCGCTGCATATTGCCGTTAAGGCAGCTACAAAGCTGGAAGTTCTACGCGCACTTGTGCAAGCGGCACCTGATATGGCCATGTGTCTTTTTGAGGAAACACCGACAGGAGAAACGCCTGCTGAATTGGCTAGAGCGTACCAACTTACAGATGATAAAGTGAATTTCTTAGTAGAGGCAGAAGCGAAGCTCCGTGCAGAAGGTAAAGCACCGGATCGTCCGAGTGCAAGGTTCCAAGCCTTTTTAAACCAACCAGGTGGCTTTCCTTTTTCATCGAATCGTATGGCAAGAGTCAGTAGCTTTAGGAAGTGTCCATCAATGGGTGGAAGTGATAAGGAAGGAGTTGCTGGACATGACGATTGGGTGAACACTAGGACGACGGCTTATTCTGTTAGCAGTTCATCAAGACTGCCTGACGGATTATCAGACGTTCCGTTGCCGCCACGTTGGCGACTGGATAAGAGATGTAACATTTGCCAGCTCAAGTTTAGCTACTTTAAGACACGCCACCACTGCCGTTCGTGCGGTGAGTCGGTGTGCAGCACGCACTCGAACAAGCGCGCCCCGCTGCATCACTTGGGACTCAAGACCCCACAGCGCGTGTGTATTTTGTGCTACGATGATTTGCGGGAGAATGGTGCACCATCAGCTGTAGTCAACATGTATGGTCATGGACGTCACGTTAGCTTACCGTTAATGGAATCTAACATAATGCGAGAGGAATCAATGCCACCTACTGACTATGAAAAGGGTACAGGTCGACCGCCACTGCGCTCCATCAACAGCATGGTGTCACTGACGGATACATCATCAAGCAGTCGCGACTCGACGTTTCAGAGCCAGTCGGATGCCGACCGTACTTTACCTACTTCAAACACTCCACCCCGCGTTACTTTGGACGATAAAAGCGCAGAAGCGATAGGTAACCGGGATGACCGCGAACCAGTTTTGACGACGGCATTGCCTTTTGAGGATGATTCTTGGGGACGTCCACGTGCCTGGACAGACGTAGACTCAACCGAGAAATATCAGGACATGCACGAGCAAGTGCGCGAGCTGGAGTCGCATGTGCAGGAGCTGACGTTAGCGAAATCTCGCATTGAAAAGAAACTTGAAGATGCAACTCGTATGGCTGCAGAGGCAAAGAAGGAGCGTAGTGTAGTGGACGCGGATGTAGCTAAGCTTCGTAACAACCGGATTATTGATGTTAATCGTATCTCACTGGATGATGATAACGACGAAGGCGAAGAGAATCAGGAGAATGTGAACGGCAAGACGGATGATTTCGATGACACCCAAGTTCAGAACCGCCGATTGTCCATGCAGGTTGAAAAGACGATTGAATTGGTTGAGGATATGGAAGTGAACGTTGCTGAGACGTGCAACTATCTAGGGCAGGTTTTCCTTGATCGTAGCGAGTACAATAGCGCTGTTGTGGAATTTCGCAAGTCGGTGGAAGCTAACCGAAAAGACGTGGACGCATGGATTAACCTGGCGCGTGCTCTCCACGGCGCTGGCGAGTTTTACGATGCCGAGATTGCTGTCCGGCGTGCATTGGCTTTAGCTCCCAAAAACTACATATCACTTTCGTTGCTGGGCAAGATTCTTCACTCGAAGGGAGAACACGACAGAGCTGTCGATATGTTCCGTGAGGCGTTGAGCTTAATGGACCAGCAGGAAGATTCTGATGATGATGTCGGTTCAATGACCGTTGGATGGTGAGCGAGCGAACGTCTTTTCTTCCTTTTGAGCATCATGAAGCAAGAGTGAACGTATCCGACCAGCATAGCGCTGAACCTCACAAACCACAGGCTTGTTATTTAGGAAGTAGAGACCGTTTGTCCGACCGAGACTTTTCAGCCGCGATAATTTGTTGCTAGCGGTGGTAGCCGCTGTAGAGACATTGGAAAAAACACACGCGCACGTACAGTAGGAACAAGCGATCCCAAGAACTAGCAGTAAAGTATGTTTGTATTCAGGGGTTGGAATTTGTAACAAAGTGTTCGACAACACCAACAGGGTTACGTTTGCTCACCATTATTATGTGATGCTTCTTGTCATAAACGTGTTAACAAGTTGTCAAGAACTTGATGACAATCCACTTTCTAATTGATCAGCTACTTTCATAAGTGCAGGCATTTCCTGCCTATTCAAATGTTATGCTGCTCTCATGCACCACCACTTTAAAGTAAACGAAAAGCGTGTCCATCCATTGGAACGCAATATACATGAAACACCGGACAAGATGCATGTGACGTATGTAAATAAAACCAGGCATACGCCACGCTGCTCCTTTGTCGGCTTCGTCCTTACATTCTTTTGTGTAGACATTAAAGCATGTACAATGGTATTGTCTTGTTCACGGATCAAAGCTTTCCTACACTATACCTTCGTCAATATTGGTAGAAGTAGAATGTGCAGGAGGTACTGATTGCGGAGCTGCAGCTGCTGAGCTCGATGCCATGTCTCTTTCCTCCAAATGAAGCTCATCCAACTCCTGCGATAGATCCGTCTTGTGACTAGCACGTGGTGGCGAATCAAAGATCATCATGTCCTTCGTCTTGGTCTTGCTGTACTCCTCCAAAGTCTTCATCAAATTGTCATTCACGTTAAGACACTGTTCCAGTGTATGTTCGTCAATCTTGCCCATCACTCCCCCTTCAATCAACGTGTTCATTCTCGGCTGACATTGCCGCAAGAAATCCAGGACATCTTCCAGCTGCTCGCCAGTCTCTCCACAAGTGTACAAATGCCTCATCAACTCAATCTTCTGCTGTACCAACTTCAAATCAGCTTGTAGCTTTTTCAATTGCTGCTCTCTTGTACGACTCCCAGGTGCAGCAGCTACATAGCTCTCGTCTCGTCCACTAGCAGCAGCAGCAGCAGTGGCGTCGCCCTCGTCCCGTCCACTAGCAGCAGAAACTGACGATGTGGATGATGGAGGTGTGAAGATAGGCACATCGTTTTCTACTGCTGGAAACTCAATACCCTGTATCTTGAGCTGTCTGTAAGTATCTTGGAAAGTTTGAAATTCACTGGTTTTAAAAGCAGCGGCCCATTGACGAATCAGTAGCAGCGCTTGATTCTGCACATCGACACCCAAACTTCCATCCGAAAGTGCTGCAATCTCTTTCAAAAACATTGTCGATCCAACTTGTCGATGGATTGCAGGCGGTCCATTCTTCACAAGAGTCTCAGTTAGAATCAAAGCCAGTAATGTCACTTTGGCATTGCCACTTTGCAAACGACGCTGCAAGAAACGCACAATATCGTCACAAACAGTATGATTTGCATTAGCACAATCACATAGTGCAAGATTTAGTGCCCATTCAGGTCCTGCAAGCGTTGGATCCGTTGCACGTGCGACCAGGTCCTCAGCTTTAATTCCATTCTGTGCATACTCGGTCATATTTGTTTTGATCTAAATTAAGAAGTAAGAGTTAAGAATTAGAAAAATAGAAATATAAAAACATTCAGAAGTCGTGTTGTAATGATGTAAACCACATCAATCATTATGTAACCCACTTCAACTAGATCTCATCGAACAAGATGTTACGTCTTCTATATGGCGCCGTGGCCATGTCAACAGGTGTCTTTATCTTCTCTTTCCTACAAGAGCGTGAGAAGAATGAGGATAAAGAACTGAAATCCTCAAAGCGTCTTGTAAATGCAGAGTTATTCTTTCAAGCAATTGAGAATATGCCACACTTGTCGACCCACGAGCGGCTTGAAATGCGACGGTTTTGGCGTCATTTGGTCAAGAAACAACAACAAAAACGCCGTGAGAAACGAAGAAGAAACGACTTGGATGCAATATTGAGTGACAAAAATAAGGAGGAGGAGGAGGAAGAGTCGATTATGCTTGATGATGGTGAAGATCAATTCGTGGTAAAGGATATTCAGCTGTTTGCACAGGAATACAAACGTGTGTTTCCAGACCTTTTTCCAGAGAAACAAGTGTTGGAAGCAGTAGAAAAAGCAGCTGATGCAGTGAAAGTAATTCCAAGTGGATGGACTGGATTTATGGATAGTACAAGCACAATGATATTGTCAACAGGCAAGAGATTAAATCATATTGCAAAGGATACGAAGGATGAGGTTCAACTTGCAATGCATCGGACTGTGAGAAAAGTGTTGGAGAGTGCATTGGATATTGTTGCGTCAAGGCTGAAACAAACATTAAAAGATCCAGATATGCCCAAGTATTTAAAGGTAAGAAGAGTGAGTGGGTGATTGGATTGAAAGAGTTGGGGCTAACATACTTGTGTTCCTCTTGTGATAGTCAAATATTGATATTGCCATTGAACAATTTATGCCGGATGTTAAGATGGAGATTTTTAAAAAAACACGTGAATTGTTTGGTCAGGACGTACCAATGAATCAAATGGAGGAAATTGCCAATGGATATACGAGTAAAGGTGGAAGTGTTTTGCTGACGGAACGAGGAGACGTTAGTGTTGCTCCAGTCTTGAGTCAAAGGTTTAGCTATTTTCGCTACGTTCGTGGACATATCTTGCATCACTTGTTTCCACATGATAAGACGATCTGGCGATCGTTCAAGGACCCTTGGTGGATTGTGTACACGAGTGTGGGTCTTTTGCCGGCAGTGGGCCAGTTGTGGTGGATTTTTCTGTTTATTATCAAGGACAAGACGAACGAGCACCAGTTGTGTGAGTTCATTGTCGGCTTCAAAGCAGCGCAATTCGTTACACTAGGCATCATGCACATGATGTTTGGAACTTGTATGTATGTGATGTGTGTCGTGCAAGGATCCATGTTGGCCTGTCAAGATGGAGGTGGTCCTGCTCTGAGTGAAGGGATGGCTAGCTTCTTTGTGCTGCAGATCGTGCTTGTCTGGGCGGCATTTTTCCGATTACCTTACACGCACCGTCCACAGGAGACTACATCGTATCGGAAAAAATCAATGGAGTTACGAGAACGTGGTGTATTTCACGATGCATTTCGTAATGAAGTGCACTTGAATCGTGGCGGCTATCTGGTAAAGTTTTGCGGGTACGAGACAGTATCCTTCATCGTGATCATGGCCCTTGCGGGTCTTGTGCTCTGGTTACCATTCGAATCGTGGCAACGTCAGGCACTTTTCTATTGGATTCGCACGGCCTACGGACTCTTTTCGTTCCCATTTCTGATTTTCAAGATCCCTGTACTGGCAAAGGTATTGATGCACACACGACAAATGGGCTACAACGAGCAAGGTGATACGGTCCGTTTTTTTGTCAAGAAGCGGGTTGAGTGATTGCACATACAAGCAGACATGGAAGTTGACAGTGACTTGAGTCTTGACTTGAGGCAACATCGTGTGTGTTTAATGTTAAAAGGAAAACATAGTCTTGTCCACAAGGCAAGAGAGCGAATCATATTGCGAAGGATCTATGAACGAGGTGCAGTTGCTATGCATCGGACTGCTGAGCGTTACGTTTGAAAGTGAGAAGTGCGTGAGTACAGCAGTCTCGTGTTGTATAAAGTTGACTTATTCCGAGACATCCTGAAATTCAGTCGGTAAGAGTATGGAAGGTGGCTGAAGAAAACGCAGGAAGCAGAGCATAATAGTACTTCACGTATGCTGATGATAACGTTACAGTGGTCGACACATTCGTAGTTTCTGTGTACCCAACATCTCGGTATGTTTCAAGCTGAGCGAGCAAATCCTTGTAAAACCTTTTTGTTGGCGTTGTAGGCCCACGTAAAATTCAAGTGGTTGTACTCCTCCACTTCATATTCATGCACAATGGTACCCCAGGGTAGCGCATGACGTAATTGATCAATGTCCGTTGCAGTCGCAATGGTGTCGGCTTTTCCAATATAGAACCCTGTTCTTGGGTACACCATTTGTTTGACAGGAACTGCAGGCGGGTCAAAGCTGCCGTAAACCTCTTTATTCTTTCACTTTGATTCGGAACACTTGTCAAGTCCTTTCTTCCGTTTGCATTTGCAGCCGTAGTCGTAGGATGCAAAGGTATTGTCGCGAATATTCTGAGCGTAATGAGCCATGTTCTTGACCGAGGTCCCCGCTGGCGTCTGTGAAATGTAAACTGCTATCCGGGATACATTTGTGTTAACGGATGAACCAACAACCATAGTTATTGCAGACGTGCAGAGATCATCAGCTATTGTGCAAGCAAAGCCGCCAACGAGTTCCTGGATAAACTTGTTTTTCGTTGTAAACTCTCGAATACCGAGGATTTGATAAAGTTTATCAAGATGCGTTACTGCCATGGTCTTGAAGATTCTAGCAGTCAGGTGACCAGTCCAAGCCACTGGTGCAAGCGCTGCAAAGTATGACACTTGTTTTGCAAGTTCTTGATCGAAGGAGAAACCCGCAAATGCTACTGTGGTCTCCTCTGAATGGCCGACATAGCTCAATGTTGATTATCCTGTTTTATTCAGGACATAGTTTATTTCCGCTGGAAGATCAAACTTACCCATATCTTCCCACGTAAAGTCCCAGAACTCGTCATCATCGTCAGTATAAGTCACATGCTCTCTCGACCATGTTGTTCCACGATTATTAGCAAGCCATACATCATACCCTGCATCTGCTAACAAGAAAGCCAAGCTCTAGTGGCGAAAATGGTTGACAAACGTAAAGCAGCTGTCCATGAGCCCATGCTCGAGCAGAACGACTGGTTTTCTATCTGCAGCTTCCATTTTTGCCTGACTTTCTTCGTACGTCTTGAGTAAGCGATACATGGTCAGGATATAGTTGTCTGCAGTTGTTACCTTATGCGTTTGGACATCAAAACCTCGTGCTTGTACAATTTCCACGATATTCTTGCCAACATCTTCGTCAATGAACTTTGGTTTTCCAGCAACCTCCACCAATCCAACTGCAAGAAAGAGGGCGACATACGCGAGAAAGCATGTAAAGAACGAAGGTCGTGCAAATGTCATTGAACATTCACGCGTCGGGTATAAGATAAATGGATTGAATTGCAATCTCTTGAAAAACGAAGAGTGAACAACATGAAAGGAAGAGATGAAGGAGAGAACCAGATAGTTTAATGGAATTACAGACAGCGTCTATAGAAAAGTCCTTCTGATCCTATTTTTATCAATATACTACAGCACACCAGAAGACCTTGATCATGAAAGATGGTAGAGATACTGATCCGATCAAAGGTTGATTTCAAACCCCTTTGAGTCGTCGTGTTCGTCATGTGGTTGAAATTTCGCATGAGTTATCGCAATAAAAGAATATTGAAAGTGTATGAAGGTATATATTTATGATCCATGACCTTCTGATACATCCATCACACACAACACATCAACAAGACTGCATACACGATGGTAGACAATCTGATCCGATCGAGATTTCATTGCAAAACTTCAAGTCGTTTCGGTTCGTCTCTTGGTTTAAATTTCAGCCACTTCAGTGGCCATGAAATAAATTTCAAAATATCTTCGCTTTTCAAATAGAGATATATCAATCAATCAGACGAGTGTCACGTACCATAGAAATTTCGAGTCAAAATTTATCGTCATGGAAATGCAGTGGCAGCTTATAAGCCAGGGGCGCCGAGGCGGTATGATGTAAATGGTGATCTCGCTTTCGTTTCCTAATGACGTTATAACGTTTGAAATTGATTGTATCTATTGGTTCTTGGCATTTATTAGAAAGTATTTGAGACGGACTTTGCTGGTCGCGCGTGTGTTATCAAGGAACGCATTACGAAGAGCTACCGCCTTTCAGTGCTGGATAAAAAACTCTCACATCGTCGTTTGATACAAGAAGCTCGATGTATTCTCAAGTGTCGTCGTGCTGGGGTTCTTACACCCGTCATCTTTCTAGTAGATGAAGATACGAGTCGCCTTTACCTGGAAAAAGTCCAAGGTGGTAGTCTGAAAGACTATTTACGACGGGCTTATCAGCTTGGTACGACGACAGCTGGAAAATGAAGAATTGTTAATATAGTGTACTGATACTGGTCGTATGTTATGGAGCAGATCTTAATTATGGCCCCATGGCGTTGAAAATGGCCTATCAGATTGGCGAAGCGATTGCCAAGATGCACGACGCTGATATTGTCCATGGTGACCTGACAACGTCTAATATGATGCTGAGCAGTGATGATGCGACGGATGTGGTACGTAACAAGTGGATGGGGTATGTTCTAGTACGAGGATTGATGTTTTGATGGGATCTAGACGATGATTGACTTTGGCTTGGCTAATTCGCAACCGCTACCGGAGGACAAGGCCGTGGATCTTTATGTCATGGAGCGCGCGTTTGCTAGCACACATGTCAATTCGGAGCTCTTGGTATGCCCGCTACCGTATTCTGAATCATAGTGAAGAATGACAGCTGACTTCGTTGTCTGTGGGTGTCTATCTCATTTACAGGTCGAAGAGGTGCTGCGCGCGTATCGAGCAAAATCTCGTCGCTCTGACGCAATTTTCCAGAAGCTTTCTCAAGTGCGTATGCGAGGCCGCAAACGCACCATGCTCGGATAGGCAGGTTTGGGACAAAGAGCTCGCTTTCATGGTATTGTTTGATGCTGCAGTACATTAGAACGCGGAATGAGGTGAAGGAGAAAGTACAAGGCCAGGAAGCAGACAAGTCGTGAGTAAGGTGGGCCTCAAATGCATCAACAAACTACTATAGGAACAAACCGCTCAAGAAAGTATAGTCTGTGAAGACGATGCCAGCTTAGATGCACAAGAGTTTGGTCCCATGGTCCACTCCCTATTTTGTTGCCGGTACGAACTACTTGACTATAGGTGATGTAGTTTTTTGCTTCTTGGCTGTTCAGTGGCAACCACAACGAGAGTTAATTACTGCCAGAAACTTACTAGTGTAAGAAACATCAACCATAAATGCATTACGCGACCCACCTGGCGGGGCCCCCTCATCTTCCACTTCTTCATCTGCGTCATCTTCGTCAACGTCGTCATCGGCATCACCATTCTCCTTATCATCTACGTTAACCTGCTCGCCATCGCCTTTATTCCCCACAATATCAAGACTATCTTCATCTTCCTCCTCTTCCTCATCATCATCTTGACCGGCGGCGTCCTCGTTAAAGTCCTCATCATTGTCATCATCCTCAAAGTTCGTGTACAAATACGATAGCCCTACTTCCTCATCATCTTCTTCTCCAGTATCTTCTTCATCATCATTGTCACCCTCGTCTTTAGCTTCTTCATCCTCTGTCTCTCCTACTGAATCATCCTGCTCGTCGTTCGCCTCGACATTTTTGTCATCACTCTTCGCAACACTGTCCTCATCTTCCTCCTCTTCCACATCCTCTGGAACTCGGTTCTCTGAATCCTTTAAGCTCGCATTCTTTGTCGAATCATCCTTCGTCGTTACAGCCGTAATCTTTCGAGAAACCAAGACCAGAAACAGCAGCAAAATACATTTCAAGAAATTAGTATCTTGGTTGTCAGCTATATCATCACCATTTTCTTATCAGTATAAGATCGCTCTTGGTAGAAACCAAGAGAAGGTGTAAGTTCGACAGAACTATCCAACTACTCACCGTCATACTCTTGTAAGAGATTCTTCTGTTCAGTAGTTCGTTTAAGTGACAAAGTGAGAAGCGAGAGATACACAGCTTACGAGATTTCGAATCCGGGTACGAGCTGGACTATCAAACCAGCAAGTCTTTTTTGCATGCAAGACAGTTCATGTGACCCACACAATTTCCGCGTGTTTATGAGATAGCATACACTTTTCAAGATACAGTATACGGTAGTAATCTTATGACTGACTCGTTTGAATAAAAAACTGAGAAAAGTGCCACCCCACCTCCAAATCTCTACTTACTTGATATTTGTATACAATCCACTTCAAAGCACCAAAGAGAAAACACCATTTCCAGTCATTTCTCAATCTACTTTCAACCATCAACTGCTCCACCTCTTCTCTCTCTCTTCTTCTTCTTCTTCGATTCAGTATGCAACGTAACACAACTACTACCATTTTGACAATGATTTCCTTGTTGTTTCCAATGATACAAAGCTATACAAACCCTATTACTATGAAAGGATCGAAATTATTTGATGCTAAAACAGGTATTCCCTTTCCAGTAAAAGGTATTGCCTATTATCCACGACCTAATACAGGAGAGCTTGATAAAAATAACATTGACTTTTTTACGGACGAGCACGAAGACATTTGGCAATCTCATATTGAGTACCTTGCAAGAAGCGGTGCAAATATTGTACGAGTGTACGCCGTCGATCCATCCAAGTCTCATGATCTCTTTATGTGTGCTCTACGTGCCAAAAACATGTATGCAGTCATTGATCTTGGTGCAAATTGCAAGAATTGTTCCATTACGAAAGACAAGTATCCATTATGTTACCCCAGTGAACTCAAAAGTCGTGGAGAACAAATTATCTCGGAATTTGCACAATATGATAATGTCCTGGCGTTTAGTGCTGGGAATGAAATTAATCATATTGTTGATGATGCATGGACGAATGCTCCGTGTCAAAAGAAATTTATTCGAGATATGAGAGCATTTCTAGGTCAGTGTTCGAGTTTTCGAGATATTTTAGTGGGGGGCGGTCCTAGCGGATCCCGATACTACGACTAATAATCGAGAGATTAATGCCAAGTACTATAACTGCAGAACTGACTCGAGTGATGAGTATGAAAATGCACAGTGGTATGGACTCAATACGTATCAGTATTGTGATGCAACGATCACGGACTTAGAATCTTCAGGTGGTTTTCTAAAACTCTTGACCGACTTTTCGTCCTATGATTTGACAATTCCTGTCATGCTCACGGAGTTTGGATGCGTGAACCCGAGCTTTCCAACGATAGATGGATACAAAGCTCAACGTACGTGGATTCAGGCTCGATGGCTCTTTGATCCGACGTTTCGTGATGTGTTTGCAGGTGGATTTGCATTTGAGTTCTCAACTGAGAATGCTAATGCGAAGGACGAATCACCCTATCCATTCACGAGCTTTGGTGCTCAAAATTATGGACTGGGCTACTTTTCGCCTGAGGACTGTGATCATGACTCCGTTCCGTGCGTTTACAATCCAATGCCAAACTTTGACAATTTGGCAAAACAGTACAATGCAACTGACGTCTCTAGTGAACCTTCTATGGATGACTTCACCCCAGATGAAACCACGCTGCCATCATGTCCGGATGGGTTTCCAGCACTTGCCGATGTCACGTGGGAGGCGGATAGCGTCGAAAGTTTGACTTGTCCATCCACTGTTCAGCAGTACGAGTGTCCTAATCAGGAGCCAAGTGGTGAGTGGGCTGCCGACGCTGACGGGGAGGGTGCTGACAGGGCTGCATCGGGGGCAGGCACTGGTAAGATCAGTTCTACCTCGTCGATTATGACTCGATCTATCGTGCTAGCTACCGTCGTCATTGCATTTGCTACCGTTTTTTAAGCTAAGTATTCGACTACTAGAGCTTCAATTAATTTACTGAAAGCATGACGCTAATAAGATTGAATAAATCGCAGTTTTGTCCGAGATTTCGTTCAATTACGAGACTGAAAGCAGGCTAAGATAGTTCTTGTCAGAACATGACAATCAAGAACCGGATGCAATCAGCAGCAATATGTCTTGCCATCCTCAATCAATCGTGAGACTTACTGCAAAGTGACTGATAGGTCGATTGACGAATGCAATCGCAATATCGTATTATTTGCCGAAGCTAGGCGACTAACAAAAGTGAGATTGATCAGCTGTAACCTTAAAGTCTACATGAAAACTGTAAAAGAGCGTCACGAAAACAGCACGTCATTTTCTCGATTGCCCATTCTGGAGTTTCAGGTGTGACTGGCAGGTACACCAAGCTATAAGAGTATCTGTCAGTCATGTGTTACATCTACAATCTCATACAATGCTGCAAACTGACCTTGTCATGATATTCTTGGCGTGTACAGGATCATAATCGCGTCCACGAGAGCTACAAACAAGATCAAAAATCAACAGCCCATCCAAACGAACACAATGAACCTCGCCCGATGATTGTACCTTGGTACGTAAGTCAGCTGCGTAGCACCGGAAGTGACGTCAAACCCCTATCAAGTAAATCCATACGGTCAATCGACAACTGTAGACAGTACATTGCATCGTTGCAAAGTCTCAACTCACATGTTTGTTCATGTAGCAGACGACATCTCTCGGGGACGGAACGCAAACAGGAAGCAACCAATAATAGTGCTTATCAGCATGATAGCCCGGAATCTATAACAGAGAACACTTTAGATGAGATACAACCCAAAGCAGCATATCTATCGCGATGATCAAATTCGTTTGACAAAGCAGCCGTACAAAGACATTCGGAAGATCTTTAATGGCGTTAGCTACTTGCTCGCTTTTCGATCTGAAGTCATCACGACAAAGTCAAATGGTATCAGTATAATTGCATAGTCTCGAAACTATTCTACAAAGCATTCTTACTTTCTCAAGAAAACATACTGCTCATCCATGCAGGTTAGACGGTGATGCATTAGCCCGAGCAAAGCCATAGACGGTCGATACTGGATAAGAGATACTAATTCTCCACCACTGAAGCCACGAATTGCCGACGTAATGAGTGTATCATGGTTTGCTGCATCAATATGCAATTTTGAACACAAGAAGTCCGATTGGCTGACTAGTTAGCCAACATCAAATGTAAGGAAAATGATAAAAACATACCGCCAACTGCGCGGCAAGCGTGGATAAATAATCCGCATAAAGCAGGGGTTGACATGCCGTGCAGCACACCGTATTTCACCAGTTTCTTGAAAAAGAATACGTTTGTCTGGCATGGATATCTGCACAGCAAAACAATTGACAAAACATCCATATCAATAAGTATGCGTCGACTTTGAAATCACACACAACGCACACATTTTACCTCCTCTCACGACGACGCATTTCATCTAGCACAGCAGGATTCTTTACATGAATGATGGCACCTCCAAACGACGTCGCCGTTTTAATCGTGCCAAAACTGAACATGGACACGTCAGCTCGGTTTTCATCCTTGTCTGGAATTCCTACAAACGCTTGCGCACAGTCCTCTACAACCAACAGATCGTGATTGCGCGCGACTTCAAGCACTTCATCCAACGGGAATCGAGAGCCAAAAATATGAGCAATCAGTATCGCTTGTGTTTTCTACATTTACGCACAATCAGCAAATGAGCATCGTCACATCAATCAACAAACTTCCACATATCTGTAGCTATCTACTCACATCGGTTACCGCGTCCTTAAGTACTTCAACATCCACGGCTAACGTTTTCGGGTTTACATCCACAGGTACAGGTACCAGACCATGGTATCGCAGTACGTACATCATGTCGGAAATAGTAATAGCACTGCAAAGTACCTCACTACCTCTTGGAAGCTTAAGTGTCTGCAAGAGCAGATCAAAGCCCGTTCTAATCAATTCAATTCAAGATAAGTAAGTAGTCGTCAGCTTGCGTAAATTCCATTCTGACAATACCGGATCGAGAGCGTGATCATTGTATTACAACCACTGGGATCCCATAATTGTGTAATCTTCTCTTCATATTCCAAGCGTTCGAGTTCTCTTAATTGTAAACAAGCACTTAACCCCACACCAATATCTCGAAACGTTACGTCCAATTTCTTGCGGGGAAAAATTGCCCATGGAACGGATGCAGAGAATGATTCGAATGGACCTGATGCATGGAAAGAAATACCGAATAAGTTAAGAAGTTAATGGAATAGATGAAAGAAGAAGAGAAGGACAAGACCGAATGGTTTTAATTGAGCTTGTCGATTGGTCATGGTAGACAAGGCACTTGTGATTTGTCAATTGACAAATGAAGAGTCGATTGACGATTGGTTGTCGATTGACGATTGGTTGTCGATTGACGACTGTGTACATTGAGACAGCTATTGTCCCCGACTGCATGGGTGGTATAGAACTGTATTATAAATGTCAGACCTGACCCTAATGTCATCACGTAGGACAAGTAGGCAGCATAAGAATAATAATGAATTAATCCATCAGCCTTTGGATAAAATCCAAACAACAGTCGGATCGTGCTGAAAACGTCGTAGTTCTACTTCATTACCTAATGAAGTAAGCAGAGTTAACTAAATTCAGTACGATCACTCTTGACCATATCGTCAAGCGTCTTGACATCACGCATATTTTTTGTCATTTTGTCTGTCTAAGGTAGAATTGATGCAGGTTGTACCTAATAACGGTATGAAATTAAGCACTTCGTTCACTATTTGAAGCCATTGTATGTATTTTACTACGCATGCGTCAAAGGGTTTTCACGTTTACATCTTTGCGTCGACTGCAGTCCAGTACAGTGTAGTTACTATTGATAGTCCATAGCCAACTTGAATGTCGGCGTAGTCGATATCTCTTGATACTCAAATCATAAATTGTACAGCTTTCATAGCTTTCATTTCACTGTAGTGTTTGATCATGCATCTCGATCTATGTAAAGACCCTATTGCTCACTTTGGTGGCAGGGTATAAAAGGTGAAAGCAAGACCAAGTTGTAGTACCTAGAAGATGATTACCACCAACTACAGAAGTGTGAAGGATTGACAATGTATTGTTACAAGGTCAAAATGCGACCACAAAACGATTTTAGAGTAGCGTGAGTTTTTTACATTAGCGCAAGCCAGTGGCAACGATTCGAAAGAGAGCGATCTGAATGGAAACGATCGCTTTGTGATGACTATCAGCGGTACGTGAGTAGTCCTGATGATGTAGACTAAATCTTTACCACATTGTCGGTGACATTGCGTACACTGGATTCTTACTGTCAGCACCTGCGGGAAGTCGGACTAGTTTCGACGCTAACCCGAGTATCCACGGATTTACGTAGACAGCGCCCGAGACAGTCTCGAACTGTACTGGCTTACCTAAACGGTTGGCCTATCGACACCTCAAAAGGACTTTCAATAAACCTTTGGTGGCAATCATTAAGCGTCTTACCGCGAAGGCGGAGGCAAACAGCTGGCAGTTTGACCTTCTGAGTCAGATATCCAGGTCCGTTTGGGCGCAACAGCATAGCCTAACGGACTATCAGGTCAGGACGGTGTTCGGCTCGCGCCACACCAACTCAATTTCTACTACGCCAGTCGACCCGCTGGGAGTCCCTCTATGGTGGGGACTCAATTCGCAGGCTAGTCGGAATCGTACGATAACTGCTTCTGGAGTTGCCTTTGCTCAAGCGATCTGGGCGCAAACTCATCAGTCATTGGGAAGCAAACTGAGTACCGTCGGAGTGTTTGCAGCCTTGGAAACGCGCCTGTGCGACGAGAACGCCGCCGACCCTTTCGTCTTATGTTTGTCGGATGAATGCTCAGTGGTACCCGGGTGAGCAGGGGTGCTTTGCGGCGGACTGGGATTGCAGCTGGTCGATCCTCTGTGCGGTAGCAACCACGAGTCTATGGATCCGTCGCGTGCAGCGGGTATTCCGCGGTGAGCACATCACGGCTCGGGAAGGAGCGACGGCATACTGGGCGGAAAATGGCGAGACAACTCGAAGTAGTGACCAGGCGAGAATTTCGCAAGGGAGGGGAGGGCACGGGAGTACAAGGAGCTAAAGTGCAGGCGTGTCTTGAGATCTTAGCTCAAGCACCAAGTAAGTCCTTGGTTCCACTCGTGGCTGGCCCTACCGAGACGTTGCGGACAACAATCCCTGCGTACTTGACATGGCTGCAGAGATATCAGAATCTTGTACCTAATTGTTATTAGACACTTCTCTCTTTCATGTATGTATTACGTTGATAGTGTGATGGACTAACGATGAGTCACCACGATAACATGTGGAAGGTGTATAAGTGTATATATGTATGTATGTAATGTATGCAGTTCAATAGATACTAGTAGTTTAGTAAGTCCACTCAATCTTGACGTCATGCTAAGATATGATCACGGGCATGGCATATCCATCGACGATATTGATGCAGTAGACGCCGTTGAATCAGCACTACACTCACTCAGACTCCTTTTCTTTCGCGGCATACTCGCCGCCTTCTTTGCTAATGCAATGTGATTGCTTCTCTTGAGTTCCTCAATTCGACTCTTCATGCTCTTAATCTGTTCCAACCATCGTTTATTCTTCTTAAAATCAAGCAGACGAGACTCCGAGCTCTCAATCCGAGCAACAAAAGCACCGTAGTACGCAGCAGGAGAACGCACTCGGTTATAAACAGCGACCGGCGGTGATACGACTACTGGCTCATTCGCGTCCTTTGAGCTAGAAGAAGACACGCGAGTGCGAAATGCATCGGCTACAGTAGGTTCCCTCTTTAAACAGACAGCTAAATGGAACTCGCGTGATTTTTTGGCTGCGGGATCTTGCTCACAAAGTTCGGTAGTACACGCGACTGAGATAGTCTAGTGCCTTTGCTCACTGTCGGTCGAGTGCTTGACTCCTGACATCTGATACTCGACTGGATGTGTTTCTGCTGTACCTCCATCTGTACCTCCATCTGTACCTCCATCTTCTTAGGTTGTTGGAACTCCTTGATCACGACAGACTTGTGATGACGGACACTCTTGGTCACAACAGGATCTTTAGGCTGTTTCAGTCCATCGTAGTACGTAGCCAATCAAAGAACGTTACTGCGGCAGGTAACGATGATTCCAGTAATTGTTTCGATGTATCCACCCTTGCCGAAACGGCCATGGTTTCAAACATCTTAACAAGACTTTGCACAGTCATCACTGAAGTAGACTTAGAAATGAACTGAGCTTGATAGTAAAACTATTTTTGACGTAAGTGAAGATGACACGACGAGAGCTTTTTGAAAAATGAAAGTCAGTCCCTCGAATGTTTTTGGATGATAGCGTCAATGGATGGAATGACGCGCTTGTCTGTTTTCTTTTCGAAACATTTTGGCGCCAATCTTCATGGAATGATTCGATTGGGTACAAGACAGACAGAAGAGACAGACAGACAGAAGCGACAGATAGAAGAGACACAAAGACACAAAAGCGACTTAGTTTCGTTAACATGAGGTTTCTTGATATAATAGTGTTCTCTCCTTCATTTTTATGGAGTAGTTGAAGGCAAAAGCCGAAGTAAATATATTAAAGGTCCTTAGTTCATACCATGAGCTATTTAAGCCTTTATGTAACGCTGTTCCATGGTATTCCTCTGAAACTACCATGAAACTCCCTGCTGATTTATCTTAAAAATCATTATTCTAATAACATGAAACGTACCTGTCAGCGGTGTAATATCAACACTCCCACTCACCGCTACTGCTTGGTAATCTTGCACTGGATACCATTCGCATCGCGCAGGAACTTGAACGTCTTGGATCCTAAAGCCTTGGTCAGTACGTCGGCCAACTGATGTTTGGTGTCCACATACGCTAGCGCAACTGTTCCGGCTTCGATCGTCTTTCTGATGAAGTGATGACGGATGTCCACATGCTTGGTCCGAGCATGATAACCAGTTTTCTGAGCCAAAGCAATTGCGCCTTGATTGTCCTCCCAGATCTTAGTAGCGTTTCTTTGTACCACTCCCATGTCCGTCAGCATCACACGCGTCCACAGTACTTCTTGCACGCATAGGCTTAGGGCCATATACTCAGCTTCCGCTGAGCTGAGGGCAACCGTTCGTTGAACTTAGACTTGAACACCACGGAAGCGTTCCCAATCATGATCATAACACCCGAGACAGAACGCCTATCGTCGAGATTAGATCCCCAGTCCACATCCGAGTAGGCTTCAGCTGTGACGCTGCTAGTACCACCTTTGTAGATGATCACGTGCTGGTGGGTCGTCTTTAAGAAGCGTAGAACACGTATAGCAGCACTCCAATACTGCTGCTCAGGATTATCGAGAAAACGAGAAAGTTGCGTTACTACGAATGCAATGTCCGGGCGAGTACACGTCGTGATGTACAGCAGGCATCCAATCAAGGAATGGTTAGATCTTAATTGCATCTTGCTTCGTTCTGCATCCGATGCTGGCGATTGCGACTTTGGCAACTTTAGACCGGTTGCACACGGGTTGTCCACCGTCCTAGCGTTTTCTTGCCCAAACCGGTTTGCCACATCATCGATGTATCGCGTTTGCTTGATCATAAGCGTTCCAGCAGTCATGTCATGGTCGATCTCCATTCCCAGAATAAACTTCGCCGGTCCAAGCTCCTTCATCTTGAAGGCATTTTTGAGTGCGTCCTTCACGTCACTAATTTCATCACTAGTCTTTGCCGCAATGATCATATCATCGACGTAAAGGCAGACGTAAATAAAATTGTTCTTGGAGCGCTTGAAATAGACGCATTGGTCCGCACCACAGCTTTTGAAACCGCAGTCGAGAAATACACGATTAATGGTCTTGTTCCAGGCACTTGCAGCTTGCTTCAATCCATAAATGGCCTTGTTCAGCTGCACACATAGTCCTGGATGTTCTCAACTCCTATAGGTACCTCCATGTAGACACGGTCCTCCAACTCACTGTTAAGAAACGATGTATCAGCGTCCAGCTGTTCCATCTCGTATGCGTAAGCAGCGCAGACGGAGAGCACAACTCGAATCGAGTTCATGTTCGACACTAGAGAGTACGTTTCAAAGAAGTCCGTATTTCTGCTTAAAACCTTTCGCCACCAGTCGCGCTTTGAATCGCACCACGCGACCGTTCTGGTCACGCTTCTTGGCGAAAACTCACCTGCACTAATGGTACGGATGGCTGTTTTGCTTGGAACCAATGTCCAGGTAATGTTCCGTTTATGTAAGAGCAGTTCAGCCTCCATGGCTTCACGACACTGCGTAGCATCTTCACTGTCGATTGCCTGAGCGTACGTTGTAGAAAGATCGTCAATGCTTGCCGCGTACGCATGAACAGCTTCACCAATAAGGCCTCTTCATCGATCCTGACACGCTTTGGAGAGGACGGTCCATCACTTCCTTCCGATTTCCGTTCTTCCTCGTCGTCCGTCCCATTTTCAAGAAGGAAAACGGGTTTGCGAGGTCGTCTGTAACGGTTTGTCGGGGTATGGAACACCACTTGATCTTCCTCAAAGCTAGTAGGTGGTTTACGGTACGGTTCCAGCTCAAATCCAGTCGGAGCCGATTGTCCTTGCGGCATCAGCAGCGAAGGTATAGCATCCTGTTCCGGTTGCATGTCTCCATCTCTATGTCCGGTGCGTCGTTCGCAACGCCTTCCATTGGCTTCGCTTCAACGGGTTGACGTTCCAATGGTGCGAGCGTGACTGCTTAGTCAACGTTCGTGGTAACATGGGTGACTGGTTCATTCTGAGGCGGTAGTGTAACGTAGATACCACCCACCTCACGCTCGTCCAGCTTTACTGAGCGACACACTTTGATCTTGGAAGCGTCCAAGTCATAGACACGGTAACCCTTGACGTTTTCTGAGTATCCAAGCAGCAGACACCTAAAGCTCTTAGGTTCAAGCTTCGTCCTCTTTGCCTTGTCTATATAGACGTAGCCGCGAGAACCAAATACGCGTAAGTGGTCTAATGTAGGCTTTACTTTAAAACCCAGCTAAAACGGTGCCACAGTTGCGTTTTGCGTGTTCGTGGAACGGTTGATCAGATATACCGCAGTATTGACTGCTTCAGCCCACCACTCCATTGAAACGCCCTTGTAGTGTAGCATACTTCGAGATTTCTCCATGATGGTACGGATCATCCGTTCTGCCAAGGACTATACGGGACAGTCCGTTGATGCACGATACCATTCAGCATACATATCTGGTTCACAAACTCCGTTCCATTATCCGATCGTAAACACTTGATACGTTCTCGGCGGTCATGACCAGTAGGAGTCTTTGGGTATCCAATAACGTGTTTGATGCAAGCAGCGGTTTCGTTGTAGCTCTGAAGTCCACGGACGAGAGCGGCTCCCATGATCGAGCACAAATGTGTCTATTCACTGTCGAGCCACAAGATTTCTGCTACGTCCGTAGACGAGATAAGAATGCCGGCACCAAAGGGACCAACGTTGTGTCAGAGGACTCTTCATGGCCGTGGATGACAGCGTCTGCCTTGAGGTGGTCGTGCCTGGCGACGGCTTCAAGTTGCCGGACTGCCTCAGTACAGATAGGCCGTCGTACGCCTGTCGGTTCAGGTGGACCAACCGGCTGCCGTTCAGAATCATCCGAGGAGCCAAAGAAAACCGTGGATGCTAGGATATGTTTCAAAGATAAGCCCGGTGTCCCTCAGATTGCGGCTGTAAACGGCACGGAGTCGCCGGTTGCATTTCAAAATCACGCCGAGAAGCCAAATTGGCGTAGCGCTCCATCCAAAACTTTAGCAGGCTCATTCTCCTTTTAGACATCAAGAAGGCATATTATACCTTAGACAGGGAAAGTCAGTAGTTACCACCTCCTGTTAGGCACCGTCATCAACTGGGCTAGCATCATGACGACTGCTCTTTGCATCAGGCGCCCCCAAACAAACCCTGGTGCGAATCGCTAATTACATGCGAAACGATCACCTGCAGTCTCGTCGAATAATCCTTAGCTACCACCTTGGACGAAATTGCAGCAAGAAGATGGGGCGATAATCTATTGCGTCGAATGACGTCCCCCGCTTGTTTCAGAAGAGGCATGATTAGTCGATAATCAAAAAGGATGGCGCACAGACATTAACCAAGATCTTCCCGTTGTAAGAACGAAACGCGTTTTTTGACGGCTGGTACAAAGAAGCTGGCCCCGCTTGGCGAAGCCAGGCAAGAGCAGGATTACGACCGTGCCCGAAGCGTTCATTTTACAGAAGATGTAGTAATGCATTTCTAGCAAATGGATTTGATTGCACTAGCACCCCTCAATGATTTTATGTGGATAGGCAACAACGTTGGTTCTAATCGCGAGACAAACAGAATATACGATGACATTGTAGCTCCAGGACTGGTCCTGACGTGGTATCTAGCACTTTCTATAACTTCAGATGGCACTTGATCCTTTACAGCGTTTCCATTCATTCTTTGACATGGAAAAAGCAGCCTCTGAACAAGGATCGACACTAAAAGTCGCGTTGTCGTATTTTGAGTGAGCGTGATGGTGGCACTTGTCAGGCTCACTCAACATCCGATCGCACTGATCCTTCGTGGCACATCTTTTTTTGTCTATGCTTAGATCTGGCATCAACTACGCGTTCGCAAGCACGCAAGTGATTGACTAGGATAGAAGAGCAATTGATGGTGGATGGAGTTTGCCATAAACAATCACGGCTACTGTGACTATCCGCTGGTATGGAAATGGCGGTCAAATTGCTTGGGCCAAGCAACATAAGAGACTTTGTAGCTATATACTATGACTAAAATCTCCTTGTTATGCACAGTGCTACGAAAAACTACGCTTGTGGATCAGACAGACACTCGTAGTTTCAACATGCTTTTGACGAATCTCTTAGGTAGTAAGAAGCTTCTGAGGAATAAGTAGATAGATAAAAGCTTTTGGAACTTGTAAACGGCTCCATGCGTCTGTCACCCGCATGAATTGCAGTTTGCCAAAGGAATTTACATCCGAACAGTGTAACAGCACTCCCTTGCTGTCATCAGACCATTGACGGAATGAAAGCCTTATGCAATGAAAAATCTATCAATATGCTTCCTAAGCAAACGTCAATTTTGAGAATGGGTCTGAGACGGCCTATAAAAGCTGTAACTTGCTCAGATACATCGTCTACGCTTTTGTGGTTACGTAGTTCAAATTTTAGACGAGTTCCTACCGAGTCATTCATTATTATCTGTACTGGAATACTGTGAGCGAACAATTAACTGATATCAACATACTATGACTTAGAAATTAGAAATCTAGAATGCATTATATTTTTTGTATTTCTAGTAACTTGATTCAGGCTACAGATTCCTTTTTCTACTAGCTTACACTCTTTTTGGTCATGAAATAGGTAAAAACGATCCCTCTTTTTGCAATTATCAGCCATTTTTTTCGTTTAGACATAAAAAAACGCATATCTTACGCCATCTAGTGAATAAAAACGTTTGATTAGCGTTTCGATACACATCCAGTCCGGAATTTTGTTTCTTTCTATTTCGTATACAAAGAGCTCCTCTTAATATAATGTCGGATACTGCCGCCCCTGCCCAGGACGCACCCAAGCAAGAGGAAGACTCACGTAAGGTTAACTTGGTATCCATGGACGGTGATAGCTTTGAAGTCTCTCGCAGTGTTGCTTCCATGAGTGAGCTGGTGAAGACACTTATTTCCGGTAAATGCAGTTTATTGACCAATGAATGGAAAGATATTTGTTCGGCTGACAAAAGTGTATGCTTTGTATACGCTATTGTATACAGATGATGCCGATGACGATGAAGTACAAGAGATCCCATTGCCTAATGTAAAAAGTCCCGTGCTGTCCAAGGTGATTGAGTTCTGTAGCCATCATCACAATAGTCCCATGCGTGAGATTGAAAAGGTTGGTGGAGAAATTAAAGAGCTGGATGTATACATGAAAACAAAAGGCCGTGAGTATACTACTAACTAACTATGGTGATTGTATATACATTTGTTGTTATTGTGTAATGTAGCCACTCAAGAGCGCCGATATGCACGACGTTGTGTCGGACTGGGACGCCAACTTTATTGATATTGAGCAGGAGATTCTGTTTGAACTCATCTTGGCTGCTAATTACATGGATATTAAGAGTCTATTGGACTTGGCCTGTGCAAAAGTAGCGAGTATGATCAAAGGCAAAACACCCCAGGAGATTCGCGAGACGTTTAACATTGTTAATGACTTTACGCCTGAGGAAGAAGCTCAGATTCGTGAGGAGAACAAATGGTGCGAAGAGGCGTAAAGCCGAAAGGAATTTGAGGAAACACTGTCATGGAATTTGCAAAGGAGGAGGAGGAAGCATGAAACGCAATTAAAATTCGATATGTGTGATCGTCTTTCTTCTCTTTTAGTAGCGGCTGATGAAAATGGCCAAGTGATGAAGAGCAACAAGGTGTCTTTTTTAATATTGAGGCAGCGTGTGCTCCATAGCGACTAGCAGTGGATTAAGTTGAGCTTCACAGGAGCTCGTGTTATCCAATGTGAAGCTAAAATCCGATTGCATTCTATTTCATACAATGCACAAAGTGTTGTTTGCTTTGATTCTAATGCAACATTAACAACATGTTTGTCACTACTAGGTAAATGCAAGACTATGCAGAGTATACATCACTCTGATGTGACTACAAAAGATGTTTCATCCGTAATTGCGCGGTCTTTTTGAGAGAAACAAGACCGCAAACTCAACGGGATGGGTCGCTGGTATAAACGTTTGCTATTGCGGTCACTTGTAAGATCTGGCTGCATGAGAAAGCAATGCCGAATCTGTCGCAAATAGGACTGCGAGGTAATAAAGAACTCGTGGACATTCAATGGGTTCTAGATAAATGATGTAGCATAGATACAATAACCATGTTGCTTATCATCTTCTAATCAAGACTCACGTTTGAATAATGAGGAGCTCCGTTACGCTTCATGTATACGTTATAAACGACTGGCTGACAGGAAGTACACACAACCGATTGAAACCGGTTTCAAACCGACAAAAACACCACCAAATGACTTCAACATGTAACATGAGTTCCTGTCAATCGTTATCATGTTTGTTAACTCCAGGTCCTCCTCATATTGTCTTCTTGTATTGCACTCATCGCATTTGAGTGAAGCTGGAGCTATTGAATGCACTTGGTTTGCCGAAGCTGCTTGTCGTTGCATTACTACCAAAACTGGAGCCAAAGCTTCCAGTGTTGGCAGCAGCAGCACCAAAGCTACCAGACTGCTGCGGAGCTCCACCGAATGTAACGGGTTGAGAACCGAAAGCGCTAAATCCTGATCCGGCAGTTCCTCCGCTAGAAGAAGCAGGAGCAGTCGAGCCAAATCCGCCGCCCATACGCGACGCCATTCCAAAGCTCGAGCCCGCAGCTCCACCACCAAACGATGGTTGTGCCGTGCCTCCCAAAGTCGAAGCCGATCCAAATGTAGAAGCTGCATTCGCTACCCCCAAGCCCGACGGTGCCCCAAACCCACTACTGCCACCGCCAAATGTTGAGGTGCTAGGAATACCAAAACCGCCAGGGGTCGGAGCTGTCAGGGTCTTCTTGACATACTTTTGCTCGAGCATTGCAAAGAGTTGGTCTTCGCGACCCCGGTACTTCTCCAACGTCGCATCCACTGAGCTTAGCTTGGCGGGGTTGTGTTGCTGATAAAATGCTATGAGCTTTTCACGGTAATTTACACCACCAGAAGCTCCAAACCCACTAGCTGTCGCTCCAAACGAAGATGGTGCACCAAATGCAGGAGTCGTGACAGAGGTCGATTGAAACCCACTACCGAACCCGCTTCGACCTGCAGAACTGAAGCCACTAGAAGTCTGAGAAGCAGCTCCAAATGGAGAAGAAGCGGGGGGTCTGAGCTGCGCCAAACGGAGATGCTGCTGGGAAAGGCTTTGCTGCACCGAAACCAACCGAGCTAGCGGACCCAAATGTTGGTCCACTTGAAGTAGTGGGGGGCTGAAAATGCTCCAGCTTTACCAAAAGGGCTTGCAGCTGCATTGGGTGTAGCAGGCTGCACAGCCGGACTTGCCGGCGGGACCGTCACTCCACCGTGTGCATCATTCACCTTGTACTTTGCAGCCAGATTCTGAAAAAGCTTCTCTTCGTTTCCTTTGTACTTTTGAAGCGTAGAATCTACACTGCTGAGCTTGCCAGGGTTGTGCTTCTGGTAAAACTCCACCAGCTTCTGGCGGTAGTCAACAGCTGACTTGCCAAAAGGTGTAGTGGTTGTCGATGGTGTTGAAGAAGATATCGTCGTTGTCGATCCAAAGCCACCAAAATTAATTGACTTGCTTGCAGTGGGACCAAGACCAAACGCCGATGACGATGCCCCAAACGGACTCAACTGAGCAGTAGCTGAGTCACCAAACGGGCTCTTAGCTGCTGCAACTGGTGCAGAAGATTTTGAACCCGCCGCCACAGACTCTGATTTTGGCGGGACTGGTCCACCATTTATATACTTCTTGACAGCGTCGGGCGTTGAATGAGGGACGTAAGTACTGAAGAGTTGGGCGAACAAGTCTTCCTCCCTGCCCTTATATGCAGTCAGAGCCTTCTCGATCACCCCTGCGTCAGCGTTTGACGGATTGTGTACCTTGTAAAACGTTTCCAAAAGTGCCTTGTAGTCCGGCTTAACAGAATCAGTAGAAAGCGGCTGTCCAGTACTCTTTGCGTCCATAGATCCAACGCTAAAGGAAGAAGACGACGGGGCTTCTTTTCCTCCTAGCGAGAAGGCAGAAGATGGCCTGACGTTAGCTTTTAGTCTCGGCGTCACAGCCGACGAGTTGACTCCGAAATCACTAAACGAGGAAATAGTCGATGCAGTCTTCGTGTCGCCTGTTTTACCAAAAGCTGGTACAAACGAACTCTCAGTTCCTTCAGCAGCGTTCGAGAAACTAAACACGTTAGATTTTTCTGCAGCTGAAGAAGTTGTCAAAGCAGGTTTTAACTCGGTAGTCGGTGTACCTAGACTTGGTCTCTGGGGCGCTTTCCCAACACCTACGCTAGGCTTCGCTGGCTGTGGGGTTTGAACAAATTTGGCAGGCTCCTCCTTTGGTGCCATAGCTTCTGCCAGCGAGAACAGCTTTGTCCCAGACTTAATAGGAGTATTCTTGAACGAGACGGACCTTGATGACAGCTTTGCTGAGCTTATTGGAGAAGCAACACTCAGGTGCATTTTTGGCATCAGCTTGCTGCAGGCTTTGACTTGGAGTGGCGATGTCGAAGAGTTTGAAGGCGTGGCAGGAGCCAGTTTTCGCCGCGGCGTTGAGAATACATCACGAGGAGTAACCACATTGTTGCATAGAGACAAAAAGTTACGACGCACATCCTGGCTACGTTGTTCAGTCTCCACGATCATCTCAATCATGGCTGCCTTCGTTGCTTGGGGACGAGATTCGGTTTCACTAGCAGTATCCCGACCTACACCGTTAGCTTGACGCATGCGGTCGCCACGCAAACTCAGGCTTTCCAGATGTTCAGCTAACTTACACACTTTGTTGTACTGCATCTTCGAATTGTCATAAGTCTGCTTCAGTACACGGAACAAATGCGCTGACGTCACTGAACCAGTTCCACCAGCACCGATTTTGAAAGATGAGAGGTGGCTGTCAAGTTCAAGACAGCATTGCTCTACCTCATGTAATATACGCTTCAACGATTCCCAAGTTTCTTTCGATCGCTGGTCAAGAGGCTGCGCTTCCAAAGTACTCTTGAGGGCCTCGTCATTGAAGCTGTTCAGAATCTCACGGCCATACTCAAGTTGCTCGTGCACATCACCATCACTTCCGATAACAAATAAAACATCGTTCTCAATTTTATCCCGCAACTCGTCTAAGTTGTTCACCTCATCGCAGAGATTTGATATCTGAGTGCGCAGCTTATCCACTTTTGCCAGAAAATTCGTTGAGAACGTAGGATCTCTAGATAAAATGTTCGTCGAGCGTTGTTTCACTCGCTGAAGGGACTTATTAAAGTCTATAATTAATTTCCACAGCTGACCCTCCATTTGTGAAGAAGGAATGCTTTTAGAGGACTCAGACGGGACAACAACGGGCATTGCTTTCATCTTCGCAGTTGAAATCGGGCTCGTCTCTGCTTCAAATGCGTTCAAATCTCCAAAATTCAATGTCCGCTTCGTCGAGGGTTGGTCTTCAACACTGTCACGCTCCTCACCTGTGCCCGTCGTTAAGGCAGAAGTATCGAATGAAAAGTCCGGTCGCACTGCGTTAGCTTTTCGAGTAACATTATTTAGGTCACTGGAACGCGTTGAGCCAAACGAAAATACGCTCTTCGAGGTTGATTTTGGAACGACGCCAAATGGTGATGAAGATGTATCCATAGCCCTACCATTACCAAATGCATTTCCAAACATAGATTGTGTCTTTGTCGAGGTGACGGTAGACAAAGTGTTACCTTGCACAGAAGAGTTTATCGATGCTGACATTCCTGTGTGCGACCCAAATTGATTCTTGTTGAAAGCAAACGAGGACACAGATGTTGCTTTGTCAGGGATGGTCGACGGTCCAAACGCAGGAGGCTTCGGCTTTGGTGTCGTGTCGGGAGGGTACCCGCTTCCACTTGTCGTAACAAAAGCAGGAGGCTTCGGCTTTGATGTCGTGTCGGGAGGGTACCCGCTTCCACTTGTCGTGCCAAACGCAGGAGGCTTCGGCTTTGATGTCGTGTCGGGAGGGTACCCGCTTCCACTTGTCGTAACAAAAGCAGGAGGCTTCGGCTTTGATGTCGTGTCAGGAGGGTACCCGCTTCCACTTGTCGTGCCAAACGCAGGAGGCTTCGGCTTTGATGTCGTGTCGGGAGGGTATCCACTTCCACTTGTCGTACCAAAAGCAGGAGGCTTCGGCTTTGATGTCGTGTCGGGAGGGTACCCGCTTCCACTTGTCGTGCCAAACGCAGGAGGCTTCGGCTTTGATGTCGTGTCGGGAGGGTATTCACTTCCACTTGTCGTACCAAAAGCAGGAGGCTTCGGCTTTGATGTCGTGTCGGGCGGGTATGCACCATTACCAGCCGCACGTGCAGAATTACTTGAGCTTCCAAAACTTAGTCCAGCCGCAGGCTTTGCGGTAGTCAAAACTCGAAAGTCTGTTCCCGAAGTAGTCGAGCCACTTGAGAAGCTAAAGCCCGAGGTTGGCGTCGTGCTACCAAAAGAAAATCCACCAGGTTTGGAACCATCAACCGTAGCAGCACCCGGAGTTGTACCGAAGGAAAAGGACGACGCTGTTGAGGCTTCTTTCATGGAAACTGGAAAAGAAAATCCACCTGATCCGATCGAGCCTGCAGACGTAGCACTTGCCAAGGTTACAGGAGTCACCACCTTTGGCGCAGCAGGGTTTAGAGCCTCGCAAGCGCTGCACTTTGTTGCTTCGGGGTCGTTATTCACCATACACACACCGCACTTCCAGCTTCCCTCCTTGGCCAAAAACCTCGAAAATGCTGCAACAATTTCCTCCTTCGATTTCATTTCGCCGGGCTTTGCCTCCGATGATGCATGTGTATCTGCATCGTCATCTGATTCCGAGTCATCGTCGCCAAAAATCCAATTGACATACCACGAAACGAAGTCGGACTCATATATCTTTCCATCCTTCTCGAGACTTTTCAATGTGCTCGTATGCTCTTCCTCAGAATACGTGGATCCCAATGCTTTAATCAACTTTGGAAACTGCACCGAAGGAATAAGGCCCACACCGTCGGACGCAATCGAACGAAACGTGGTTCTGGCTCTATCTTCTTCTTCTTTGCGCTCTTCTTCCTCATCCCTCGATTCTCCGTCAGATTCCGCAAACTCGTTCTCATCATTCTGACCATATTCATGCAAGACTGTCTGTTTTAGAGACAACAGTCCATTTTCTTCATCAGCTTCAGAGTCGGAGTCATCAAAAATCCAGTCACGGTACCACGAGATGAAGTCAACCTCATACACCTTTCCGTTTTTTTTCAGACTATCAAAGGTGCTACCATGCACTTCCTCAGAATATGTTGAACCCAATACCTTAAATAACTTAGGAACTTGCTCCATGCTGATATAATCAGCTCCCTTTGACGCAATAGAGCGGAACACCTTCCTAACGTTGGCTTCCTCTTCCTTGCGCTCTTCCTCCTCATCATTCTCATCCTCTTCTGATGCAGCAATATCGTATTTTTCATTGTTACGACCGTTCTCGTGTGACATTGTCATCGGTAGAGAAGAAGGCTTACTACAGTCCGTTTCATAAGCAGTCGAGCCACTTGAGAAGCTAAAGCCCGAGGTTGGCGTCGTGCTACCAAAAGAAAATCCACCAGGTTTGGAACCATCAACCGTAGCAGCACCCGGAGTTGTACCGAAGGAAAAGGACGACGCTGTTGAGGCTTCTTTCATGGGAACTGGAAAAGAAAATCCACCTGAATCCGATCGAGCCTGCAGACGTAGCACTTGCCAAAGTTACAGGAGTCACCACCTTTGGCGCAGCAGGGTTTAGAGCCTCGCAAGCGCTGCACTTTGTTGCTTCGGGGTCGTTATTCACCATACACACACCGCACTTCCAGCTTCCCTCCTTGGCCAAAAACCTCGAAAATGCTGCAACAATTTCCTCCTTCGATTTCATTTCGTCGGGCTTTGCCTCCGATGATGCATGTGTATCTGCATCGTCATCTGATTCCGAGTCATCGTCGCCAAAAATCCAATTGACATACCACGAAACGAAGTCGGACTCATATATCTTTCCATCCTTCTCGAGACTTTTCAATGTGCTTGTATGCTCTTCCTCAGAATACGTGGATCCCAATGCTTTAATCAACTTTGGAAACTGCACCGAAGGAATAAAGCCCACACCGTCGGACGCAATCGAACGAAACGTGGTTCTGGCTCTATCTTCTTCTTCTTTGCGCTCTTCTTCCTCATCACTCGATTCTCCGTCAGATTCCGCAAACTCGTTCTCATCATTCTGACCATATTCATGCGAGACTATCTGTTTTGGGGATACAAGAGTATCTGGAGATGCAGTGTCTGATGTAGGCTTGGACTCACTTGTTGCCTCAGTTTCGAATGTCTTGAATTCCTCCGTTACAGCAGCATTACGAGTCACACTCTTTTCAAATGGCAATGGGCTTTTTACAAACTCGACTTCGTTTACAGTCGTGTCAACAAATGCAAAGTTAACGAGTAGTCCTTCTGTGTTCGCGCATGAAACGATTGGGACAGACAAACATGCGTCTTCATCGAGAGAAATTGGTGAGGTCGAATTTAAGTTCAAGGCAAGTCCCATGGGAAATGATTCCTCATCCTCGACATTCATAGGAAGGCGTGCTTGATACTTTTCCAAAGGTTTCCATAGTTCCCATTCACCACCTTCAGGATCCGAAACAAGTAGCTCGATGTCTGCGCTCAGCGAGCAGCCAATGAAGAACATTCGCCAATCCGGTAAGAATGCAGAAAAATATTGATGCCTTCGGTTCTTTATATCAAAAAACCCGACAATCTCATCAAGCTCCACGCATTTACCACTCTCAAAAATGCAAGCCAAAGCGCTCGTTTCCTCGCTTTCTTTGTCGTACTTATAATATCCAGCCAAAATTAATTCTTCCTCCACCCAGTTAACGTGATGAACTTCAAAGCTCGCATCTTCGCAGCAATCTGGCTTGCCGATAGATCGAACTACTTGAAGCGATTCTTGGTCATAAATGGCAATTGTGCTATTAACCAAACCAAGCGCAATCTGCTTTCCCGACGGAGACCAGGAAACTAAACATAGACCAAGAACAAGTTAGCTTAGCATAATATCACTGAAAATTTAAGAACAACAAGATCCACGCACGTACTGGATGACACGTCAGTCTGTGTATTAATACTACTCTTTACTCCATCAAGTGTGCATACGACCACTTGCTTCTCAAGTGTCAAGATCGCCAATCGTTCACTCTCAGGATCTGTACACCACGCGATTTCCTGCGCTTGGAGGTTGGAAAACGTGTGAAAAGGCGCTGGATTTACCTGTATCATCAATAACAATAAAGAAAACCACATTGTACGTAAGTAACCATAAAGAAAGAAAAGAGAGAATAACCACTAGACAACAGTTAAAAATTACAACATACCGCTTCAATAATGTGTGCAACTTCAAAGAGTGCGACTGAATCGGTATATGCGACAGCAAGCATCAATTCATCGGATGAAAGTGCAATCCAATAGACAATAGATGGTAATTGAACCCTTTTAGTGACTGGAACTGGATCAATTTCGTCGAATGTAAGTTTTTGTCCGTGATCGAAAGCTTCTTGTCGTCGTTTACAGTAATCATTGCACGATCGTTCAAACGCTTGATTCGTCATCATTATAAAACCTATCAAACAGAATCATAACATAGCATAACATATATGTGAAGTAACATTAGTAAATGGAGTTGTGAATTATATTGGACACTTTATTCCGGACGCACCATTTTCGGTCCCTAGGAAACTTAGACCATAGATATTACCATGTTGTAACAACTGTGTCTTTGTAGAGAGCATAGAATCAAAGCAATTTGAAGCAAAAGGTGAAGAATGTCCAAGACGTTGTCTCCCAGCGTCCAACATGCGCACATGTTCTGTCGCTAGCTCCATCCTTTGGTCTTGAATGGATCACGATGTATTTGTGTTGTACATAAATTAATTGTAAAAAAGATTTGATACAATTTATTGGCTATATTTAGAGATAGTCGTCTGATTGAAATTGGACAAAAAGGTTAATTGCGCTTTTTTTAATTCCACAGCAAAAAAGCGCAATTTGTGCATCTTCAATTTACAGAGAGCCTTTCATTTTTCATACTTTCGTACAAATAGTACAAAACAACCATCCAAAACAAATAAAAAAAAAAAAATTATTTCAATGGTCGATATACGATACGTCTGCAAGTACACACTTCTCTCTCAAATGCTTATGCACTTAACTCGCCCCGTATCTAAGCATAAACAGGAGCGAAATAATCCTTAAGCCCAGACTTCAAGTGCAAAAGAATGACAAATTTCAGTGAGTCATTCTTCCATCGGCGAAAAAGACGCATCTGCAATCAAACAGGGTTGTTGTGCAAGAAGCAAAGCAGTTGACTGACCATTTGCCGTCTTGGCACTGCATCCACTTGCAGTAGCTTCATGAAGCATTGCTTGTGCCAGGTTTCGAGAAATCAAGCTTTCAATCCGCTCCTTTAGTTGCTTGTTTGAGCCCGACTCGGAGAATTGATGGCGGTCAAATGATCGATCCAATTGCTGTAGATATGCCATCAATGAGTACAGGTGTCGTGATCCAAATACAGTTGGAGATTCCTTCAGCAGACGCTCAGCTTGTTGAAGTAAGTCCGACTGGAGCACCTTTGGTGCATTGATTGAGCTAAGTAGCCAATCAAGCCGCTTGGCAGCTTCCATAGACACAAACCGAAGTTTACATTGCAGGCTTGCATCTTCTTCCTTGCTATCGGTAATTATAGAATTGCCACCCCTCAACTGAGTCCGTAATGACTCGCGATCGTCCAGTACCACATGGAACTCGCGGTAGCGCACCAACCATGCCAGCTTTTCTGGACGCGCTAGCTCAGGGTGTAGCTCCAAGAACTGCACTGCTTCGTGCAAGGGGGTCCGTGAGTTTCTGTCGTTGCACTCTTTCAATATTTCGTCACATAGAGCATCCACGTCGTCGAGGCTGTTGCTACGCAACAACCACTGTAACGCAGATGCATACGCCTGCTTCGTCTTGCACTCCTGTGCTCTCTCGATTGTAATACGCCTAGAAGTTTGTGTCAAAATCTTTCTCCCGTGGCAATACGCAAGGAGCCGCTCAGCCTTGTGGTCTGTTAATATGGGTTCACGCTCCAACGCCGATCGAATCGCGATAGCTCCAAACTTAGGACAATGCTCATAGTACCTCACTGAAAACTGCCACATGCCACTGCTCGCACCGATCTCCATGGCATACTCCAGTAGTAGCCGCTCCCGCAAAGAACACTCTGCTTGTGGCAACAAGTCGTCGGCCACGATCACATTATTCTTATGCAATAGGTCCGCTAAATGTGCAGCCATCCACGAAAAACCAAGACCAATGATACCCTCCAACGCGCTCTGGATGTCATACTCCATGATGGCCAGTATAATGCAATCAAAGTTGCCCATCCGGGTCTCATCGCTATTGTAAGCGCAAATGCAGTTGGTCATCAAAAACTGAAAGCGGTGTGCGATAGGTTTTGGCTCATCCAGGAATAGCCGCGCCATCATCAGTTCGTACCAATTGGTTGCACAGCTCTTCAGTACGTCTTCCTTTCCTGCCATTATCTGCAACAGTGTCTTCAGCCCGTCGTTTGACTTGATATGGCTGTCTGTATTGAGCAAGTATTCGCACGCATCGTTCCAGTTCTTCCACTCATCTGGTGCATTCTGGTTCAAGTTCACATTCTTTCTTCCAGGCATGGTCAGCAACAGCTTTTGTACTGCCTGAAACGCTGCCTTCATCGATGCTCCTGTCACTGACATGGCATCACGGGAAAACAGCGACTTGTAGCTCGAGTGCGAGGCCAATAAGTTCCAGGCACTAGGACCACTTCCCATCATCACAAATGACTGTATCGTGGTCCAAAATACCGTGTCCTGTTCAGGTTTTTGCTCATTCTTTAGTCGTTCACTCTCACTCTCTGTCTTATCCAACAATGTACTACAGTAATGCTCCTGTAGCCACCGAGCAAGGTCATACGCAAGTGTTTTGTCTGTTCCTCTCGCTCCTCCACGAAGTAAAAGTAATTCACACAAGTGCCAGATTGCTAATGAAACCTTGAGTAATTCCATCAACTCTCTCTCTTCTTCTGCATTCATCTTTCCTTCTTCTTTTTGCATCTCCAGACTGTTTTCCACAGCAATAATACACGTCTTCAAAGCATTACGGTACTCTCGACTTGCACATTCAACATTAAGTTTTGCACCGATGTGATGTGTCTGTGTGCGCATAAATACGTCATATGATGCTGCCACTACGGTACACAATGCTTGCGGCATGGCATCACCAAACTCACGAGTGGAAGAAGAAGAAGAAGAAGAGGTCACTGTCACCCATTTGCGTGTGCTCTTGCCCCATGCACCACACGATGTAGAGTACACGGATGCTTCATTTATCGACCGCTTACTAAACGACATCTCTTTCTCCACTACGGGCAGTTGTCGTGTCGTACGCAAGATCTCAAAGGCGCTGGGACATGATGTCATGACGCTTTGTATCTCTTTTTTTAGTCTAACATGTCTGGTGGTCGGGAGAGAAAGTGTCCAGTTAGTGGTGCATTGTTGAAACAGACTATCGTCACATGTACGAGACAGAAGAATGATGGTCATTCAAATGCAACCAAAGCATGAACCGTGCGCGCAATGTGCGGCTGTTGGTACTTGGAAATGGTGCACCAGGGGCCGAGAAGCAAGCAATAGCACTGGGAAAAAGGTTGGGTCATAATCTACTAAAACATACGCTTTTGCACAGATCTCATGTGCTCTGTCCACCCGTCGAGTGTGTACGTGTGACGCTGGAAAATTCGTGTCTACTTTCTCCATTGCTACAGATTTTTGGTGCTCGTCTCACTGGGAATCCACTCTTTGGCTATGAAAAACATGTAACAAACCAGTTGTTTCCAGTGCAACCGTCTGTGCGAGATCTGAATGTTGTTATTGGATGTGGGAGAAGCACGGTATCATTATGTGCCGTGATGAAGCAGCTGGAACCTCAAAGGACCTTTAACGTGCAGATCCAGCACCCGCGTGTGCCACTCACGTGGTTTAACGCTGTCATAGCACCTAGACATGATTTCCCACGAGGTGAAGGTGGTGTGAGCAATCTGTTCCTTACGTCGGGAGCAGTGCATGATATTACACCGGAAATGTTACAGCAACATGGCCGTGAATGGTGTCAAGAACTTGATGAGAAGTTACGAGGTCGACAAAAGCGCGTGGTGTGGCTGCTGGGAGGACCTTGTCGTGGTTTTGCATTCATAGAAAGAGATGCAGAAAGAATGGTAGAGGAATTGGTGCGAGCACTTTCATGCGACGATGAGGTGGCACTGTTGGTGACATTTTCACGGCGGACACCAAAGAATGTGCAAAAGGTTGTTCGTCGTGAACTCAAAATAAGGTTTCCAATACCTGGACAACTTCTTTTGTGGGAAGGTACTGAACGTCGCAATCCGTACTATGCGCTGCTGTCCACGGCATCCTGCATTGTCACAACTCCTGACTCCATTTCCATGACTACGGAAGCCATTGCGTCAGGAAAGCCGGTGTTCACGATTGGCCTCGAGACTTGCACGGTAAAGAAACACCGATAATTTGAGCTGTTTCTTTGCATTGTAGCAACTAACTGTATGCTGTTCTTTTGACAATCAGGGTAAATTCCTGCGGTTCCACGAGTATCTGTTCAAGGCCAAAGCTATGACACCCTTTACACCAGATGCCGTAACAGCCCTCCTGCGACACGACATCCAGAACAACAATGCATTATCTGCTGCCTTAAATAACGAGATCTCTACGATCGTCGATGCCATCACTAAAGACATCCACCGCACATTGGAACATATTGAAACTACTACATAATTCAAAGTAAAGATTGTTAGTTTGACATTTGCTATCTTGATAGCATCTGCAACTTGAAAGTGAATGGAACGACCTAAAAACTTCTGAAAACATGCAATTAGCAAATCGCTTCCTGCAATTTTAAGAAAGTCGTCGCTCTTGAAAAAAATATGCAACTGCTAAACTGGACAATCAGGCACGGAGTACACTGAAGTACCCATCGCGTCGGAAACAAATCGCCGACATTTACTCGTCGTCGCTCTCATCCTCACTCTCTTCTTCAGCGTTCTCCAGCCACTCAATGAACGGCTGCAACAGCGCCTTCAGTTTAACAGCCAGCTCGTCCGTGACAGACCAATGCGCATATTCCTTGCGCACGCCGTTATTAACCCAAGCCACGAGACACTCCTCATCCAACAAGTCCTCGTCATAGAGCAGCTTCAAAAGAATCGGATACGACGTTAGCAGCTCAGAGTGTTCAACAGCACAAAAATGCTCAACAAGTGCGAGCAGTTGGTACTGCGAATGCTGTCCGTCGATGATTTGCTCCAACACAGGAGCGAATTTGGCCACTTGGTTGCTTGCAAGCACCTGCTCAGTAAAAGCAGAGCGGAAGAAGATCACAAGACGGTCCGTGATAGGCAGAGCCGAATAGGTCTGCTGACGGCACAATTCCTCGAAAACCTCCGTCTCCGAGTGGCTCTCGGACAGGTAACGCTTCAGGTTTGACACAGCCGAATCCAAGGCGTTTTCGTCATCCACCTGAAGGTTATCAAGCGTCGCCACGACCTCTTCCGTCGCTGCAGCTTCCATGGCGGCCGCAGCAGCAGCTTCGATGGCCTCGGCCTCCGCAGCACGAGCTGCTACAGCTTCAGCGGACAGGTCTGTATGCCACACCACTTCATCGTCGTCCTTATCGGCATGCAGCGCCTCTTTGTCCAAGTTTTTGTCCTTATAGTGCTTTTTTTTTCTTGTCCTTCCTGTCTTTCTTGTCCTTTTTGTCCTTCTTGTCTTTCTTTTCCTTCTTTTCCTTTTTCTCCTTGGTAACAATTTCATCTTCAGGTTCGTCATGCAGCTTCTTTACCTTCTTCTCCTTTTTGTCCTTCTTATCTTTCTTCTTCTTGTCGTCCTTGCTGCCACGTTTCGCAGCAGTGTGCTCCTTGAAGATGAACGTCGTGAGCTTGTGATTCATATCTACCGGCTCCACAGCGCCACAAGCGTAACATTTGTGGAAGATCAACTGACCCTTAAACTTGTACTTGGTCTCAGGCAGACGGCAACCAGGGCACAGCACGAAGCCTTCGATGTACTTGGACAAATGCTGCTGCATCATACCAGCATCAAAAGCGCCGTTCACAATGGCACGATCGGTCTTGTCATCGTACTTGGACTGGGCACCAAGCTCGCAGCCAAAGAACTTGCACACTTCAGCAGTGGAGCGGTGGAGTGACGCCGCAATATCAGCACAGTTGACGACCAACGTCTTAATGCCGTTACCACGGCCTTCAATCTTGGCTTGCAACCTTGGCATCTTGTAGCGATATTCAGGATCATCCACCGATTGTGTGCCTGCAATATTTATAGATGACATCTTTGACGATCAATTGCTGCTAGTCTTGCTATCTTGGTGAAGAAACTAATTATTCTTTTACTAGCTAGAAAAGCGTTTGGTCCTGTATCGTGAGCAAAATCACGTGTTTGATTGAAACAAAAGAGATGAATGGTGGCAGAGGGGGTGATCCGGGGGATGATGCACAACTTCCTGTTTCTTTTGTTTCCAGGTCGACGTACTATTTGAATCAATTTGGTCACACGGAATTTGCAAACGCATGCACTGTAGCCAAATTGCAACGGTCGCTGGGTGGAGAAGAGAAAGAAAGAGAAGACAGAAGAGACGGTAAACGGTCAGTCAAGACTGTCGAAGCGAGGAGGGTGCGCGAAAGAGCAGTTATGAAGCTTTCTTAAGGCTCAAAGAAGACGTCGACGCTTGCGAGCCAACGGTGCCGAATCGAAACTGATCCCGACTCTTTAACACCTTCGCGAAGCCAAACGGCACAGGAGTGGCTAAAATTAGATACTAAAAGTGAGATGATTGATGGAAATAGAAAGCCACAGCCCATACTGAAATCAAGATCACGCTTTGCGGACATCACCAATTCGTCCGAATATTCTGATTTCTAATTGGTAATAAAGTTGTCTGTAGCGCTGGTTTTAGTCTTCGATAGCATACAACAAAGCTATGCATGCTCCTTTAATCTTGCTATTGGTCCGACCTATGAGTACGCCACTAGTTCAAATTCGAGCCAGCATCTAGTTTATTACACTTTGGAACTGTGATTGAAAATTGACTTCAGAAACGCTAGCATAAAACCATATTACATTCTATAACCGTTTATAATAATGGGTTCACTTGTACAGCACTTCAACCCAGAATTTTTCGAAACACGCACAAAATAGAAGCCATCTGTTTTGGTATGGTCAACAAAAAAATACGTAGCTTGTAGGTATGGAAAGACCGTCGGGACTAGAACTTTAACGGTCAGCTAGACCTCTGCGGTGAGAAGGAATAGAAGAGGAGCAAACGGGCAGCCTTTTCGAATACCGGATTTAATGGGCAAAGGGGTAGATAGGTCCCATTCACCTTAAGCGTGCCGTAATTCCCTGATGTAATTAATGCACCAAGTGTGAAGAAGGGATTACACAAAGGTGTAAATTTTACATACACACTTGCCACACCATTGTGGTGTGGCTGTATCTTGGGTACATTGGTAGGTTGAGGTGACCGACCGTACCTAAGGTACGAAGGGTCGCAACGTGGCAGAGAGCCACGTGGTCACTATACTTAGTTAAGTATAGTGACTATACATGTTTACATATTAGGTGGCTACAGAGCCAGATAAATAGTGACTAGCGTTAAGTATAAAGTTGGTGCTTCTATATTCAGTGCTAGAAGATAAAGTTAAATAAATCAGTCTGGAACCTGCTCTGAATATCACACGTGCTAGACCGTTCTAATCCTTGCATGAAAGGAAGTGTATCTTTGATGCTGGTCTCTTGGAGACGTGGTTATGTATAACCAAAAGGCACAAGCTGGCAAAGATAGCCTTGGGAGGGTTAAGAACTCTAAGACATACAGCTCTTGGAGCTAGTCTTCCTCTGAATTCAGTGCATAAGTAGCTTTGTTACAGGGGCTTGGCTACATCTGGTATGTGGTACTTGACGGATGTATTTCTGCTTCTTTAGTTCTTTCTCCTCCATCTGTAGCACCATCATCTTGGGTTGTTGTAACTCCTTCTTGATCGTGACAGACTTGTCTTGACGGACACTCTTGGTCACAACAGATTCTTCAGTCTGTATCAGTCCATCATAGTATGTTGCCGGTCGAAGAACGTTGCTTCGTTCAGGCAATGATGATTTCAGCACTTGTTTCGATGTATCCACTCTTGCCGAAACGGCCATGGTTTCAAACATCTTAACAAGACTTTGTACGGTCATCACTGAACTAGACTGAGAGGGTGAACTGAGCTTGATGAACTGTGATGAAAAAACTACGTCCGACGTAATGATAGTGACACGTCGAGAGCTTTTTCAGAAATGAGAGTCTGTCCCTCGAATGTTTCTGGATGATAGTGTCAATAGATGGAATGACGCGGTTGGCTGTTTTTTTTCGAAGCACTTTGGCGCCAATCTTCATGGAATGATTCGACTGTTTCCATAAATACATGATTATGATTGGTTAAAAGGAATATGTTTTATTGTATGCATTTATTACGTTACAGCGGCAATCTTCGCGATCCCGCCTTGGGCCAATCGACAAATCCAGCTTCTATACAAGCAGTTCTTCTACAACGATTCCACCGAGGCGGAACCCGCTCGTCACAAGGTCAACCCAGGGTTGTTGTACGCAACACGACGTGCAGGTGGGGTTGTCTTAGTCTACGTCACGGTGGCAGAAACAACGCAGCGGCAGAAGCACGCCCTGCAATGGTTATTACGTAGAGAGGACCCGTACAAGAGGGCGTGGGTCATGTGGGTGACAAATAGGCAGGCGCGAGCCAGGCGGTTCACCGTCACACCACGCAATCCCTCCATGTCCTTGGGGGCTTAGCGGAAAAGACTCGGTCTCGAATTCGAAACGGGGACCTATCTGGCACCGCAACAGTGGCTGTCCTCCTTGATAAGCGCCGTGTTACGTCGCTTTTGATGCGGGATGAAAGAGGCTGCAGAGAGCTGGTGGAAAGGGTTGGCCTGGATCTTGCATTTACAGCATTCCGTTCTCCCACGGAAGCTGTGGCATACGAAGATCACTTTTGGACGAAAAAAGTGCCCTACGGTCGTTTTGGAGTACGTTCTCATGGGCGGACAAGCCCTGAATTTTGGGCCCAACTTCGCGGTGCTGCGTCCACAGCTTTATAACCGGGTAGCAGAGGGCTCTATGAGTGATTTTGACATGAGGAGGACAGGGCAATCCGAATACGTTTTCACGTTTCCGCCGTTTTCTCCACGTCACTCACCGATTAAGTTACGTCGGTGGGCAATATTCGTCCTTCCGTCATTGTCTCTTCTAGCCGTAGGGGCTCACCTCATCGCGGCAGGTACCCTTACGCTCCGATAGTCGTCGCCATTTGCACAAGCTTACCAGTGGTGCGTCACCGCGTCGAGAGTAATTCAGGGTATCCCCGCTGAGTCCAAACGGGTAAGGAGGTGCCCATATGCCTGCTGCAGGAGAGCTCAGGGATTCAGTGGAAATGTCACGGGGATATCCCTCAGCTTGAGGTGTAATCAGGAGCCCCACTGGACTCTTACTGTCAGCACTTGCGGGAAGTCGGACTAGCTTTCGACGCTCACCCGTATCCACGGATATCCGTGTACAGCGCCGAGACAGTCTCGAACAGCTATATGCTGGCTTACGTGGACGGTTGGCCTATCGACACTGCAAAAGGGATTTCAACAAACCCTTGATGGCAATCACTAAGCGTCTTACCGCGAAGGCGGATGCGAACAGCTGACAGTTTGACCTTCTGTATCTGGTTCCCAGGTCTGTTTGGGGGGCATTAGCATAGCCCAACGGACTGTCAGGTCTGGACGGTGTTTCGGCTCGCGACACACCAACTCAATTTCTACTACGCCGGTCGACCCGCTGTCTGGTGGAGACACAATGCACAGGCCAGGTGGAATCGTACGATCCCTTCTTCTGGAGTTGTCCCTTTTTCAGCCGAACCGGGCACAAACTCACCAGTCATTGAAAAGGGACCTGGGTACCGTCGGAGTGTTTGCAGCCTTTGAAACGCGCCTATGTGACGAGAACGCCGCCACCCCTTTCGTCTTATGTTCGTCGGATGGTTGCTCAGCGGTACTTGGATGATCAGTGCTGCTTTGTGGCGGACTGGTATCGCTGCTGGTCGATCCTCTGTGCGGTAGCGACCATGCGTCTATGGATTCGTCGCGTGCAGCGGGTATTCCGAGGTGAGCACATTACGGCTCGGGAAGGAGCGAGGGCATACTGGGCGGAAATGGTGAGGCAACGCGAAGTAGTGACCAGGCGAAAATCTTGCAAGGGAGGGGGGGCACGGTAGTACAAGGAACTAAAGTGCAGTCGTGTCTTGAGATCTTAACTCAAGCCCCAAGTAAGTCCGCGGTTCCACTCGTGGCTGTCCCTACCGAGACGTTACGGACAGCAATCCCTGCGTACTTGATATGGCTGCAGAGATTTCAGAAATCTTGTACTTAATTGTTAATAACCCATGTATTTATTACGTTGATAATGTGATATTACGTTGATAAAGTGATGGACTAACGATGAGTCACCACGATAACATGTGGAAAGTGTATTAATGTATGTATATATGCATGTATTAAATGTATGTTTGTATGTAATGCATGCAGTTCAATAGATACTGATAACTTGGATAAATATGGATGGAATGACGCGGTTGTCTGTTTTTTATTCGAAGCATTTTGACGCCAATCTTCATGGAATGATTCAATCGGTTACAAGACAGTGAGAAGAGTCAGAGAGACACAAAGCGACTAGTTTTTTAAAATGAGGTTTCTTAATATTATAGTATTCTCTGCTTTCGACCGGAGGATGCTTATCTCATAGCGTGGATGTCCTGGATAACGCATGGTGCCTAGACATGCCCGTCAGCTCCCATCAGCCGAGCGTGAAACACATAACAGCGCCGTCTTCCGAGCGGTATCCGGGTCTGCTTCATGATCTCGGATGCACTTTGCCGCCAGCTATCACGCACACGGCGGACATCCTCGCACGAGTTAGGGAGCATCTATCGAACCTTCTCTCATCATCGGGAAGCGAACGACTGGATATTGCACCTCGCAGAACCCCTCCCCGGTCGACCTCACGAATCCGAGTTTCAGCTCCAGGAGATCACAGATTTCTGACAGACTTAAGTGAAGTAGTAAACCTTGGATTCTCGCACCACAGGGAGCGGAGCTGTCTCGGTCCAAGTATGACAGTGTTTGCGATGTTTCCATCGCCCAACTCCACATTCAGTGGACGGGACCCTATGAACACGTCTTTGGCGGAATCTTCACGGACATACACGTCCCTCGTCATTCTCATGCAAAACT